AGCCAGAGAGAGAGAGAGAGAGAGAGAGAGAGAGAGAGAGGGAGAGAGGGAGAGAGAGAGGGAGAGAGCAAGTTGGACAATTCATCGTTGAATAATCTGCTCGCCCTGAATTCCCGGAATTGCATGCCGTAAACAGTTGGCGCTGAGCCCGGCCCCTGAATTGAATGCCGACGAGCCACATCCAATTAGAATGGGCTACGTGCCTTTTTGCAAAAAATCCTAGCGTATATATCGAGGATAGGCAAAAGACCGTACTAAATGAAAGGCTAAATGTTATTGCCTGAAATTACTCCCCAGGGCTTTATCCAATTATAATTTCTGCATATCGATGCTTAAGAGAAGCGCATTAAAAACCATAGTAAATCTTGTAGATATTAATAAATAACCGGAAATGCAAAAAATAGTATGGTTACTGTCTTGTCTTTTGTTGCAATCTATTATACCAAGTGAGTACGTGCGCTGAGAAATAGGAAAAACAACTCGAAGAAAACGTCTGTTTAAAATTTTTACCTGAAAAAGTTGGGCTACCACAACCTACCGTAATCTATCGTAATGCTACTGTAATTGTAAACGAACCCTTTAGCCGGTTTTTGCAAATACGAGAAAGCTGACTATGCAGGATTCCCAAGAAAAACAAAAGCTTGGCATTTTTCCAGCACGCCTGAATACAGTAACCTCAGAAAATACATTTTTTTTAGTTTAGGGTGTATTGGCCCAAATGAGCATATTGTAGCAGTTCGACACCGCTAGTCCGACTCGTACCTTCAAATAGCGTCAAATACCGTAAATCTCGGCTGAAGAGTGCGTAATCAGACTGATTTTGTTGTTGATGACTTCAAAGCACACCAAATGGCGATATTCGAAATTTTACGAATTGCCGTAATTAGCGTGAGATTTGTACTGGGCGGGCGGGGGTTCGGATTCAAAGAAAAGAGTGAGTGCCGGGTCGAATTCAGCTCTTTTCTGCAAGGAGAGAGAGGGGAGAGAGAGAGAGAACGAGAGAGTCGAAGGAGTTCGAGCGAGGGTGAGCAAGAAAGAGAGGGTCGAAAGAGTGCGAGCCAGAGTGAGAAAGAAAGAGAGAGTCAAAAGAGTGCGAGAGAGAGTGAGTGAGTCGAAAGTGGGAGAGAGGTAGCGAGCGAGAGAAAAAGGCTAACTTAAGTCTTAACTCCTAACTTAAAAAGCATCTGTAGTTTAGAAAATCTGGATTTAGTGCGAAAATCGTAGAAAAAACGATTGAAATACAAAAACATTACCTATTGCAACAAATTATAGCTTTGTAAAATTTCGAAATTCCACCGGAAACCGGACCTTATGAGATCCATTTGGGTAGTTTTATACCAGCTGGTAGTGGGGGTTATATAGGGATTGGCGCTCCTCTCTCTCTCTTTTCCACCTCCATTTCTTGCCCATTCCTCCCCTCAAAAGGCTTCTTCCTCCACTACCCCTTTTCAGAGGAGCACCCCGGGAATTCTGGGAATACGCTCGATTCCGGGAAACACCCGGCCAAGCCCCCCCCCCCCTCTTGCTCCCCTCTCAAAGCATTCTCACGCTTCATTCAAGGAAACCTCGAAAACACCATCGCTAGAAGGGGATGAGGTCAGCTTAAGAAGCTCAGAAAACTGGAGCTTACCGGAAAACGGAGTCCAACGGAATCGGCTACAGAATAGAGGGATGACGGTTGGGGAAAAACCGTACCAGTTAGGAATTTGGATTTCGGGTGCTTGGGCATTATCGGGGGTGAGGGGCAAATCCTGAACCCTCAAAAATTATTGAGAAAAACCTGGACAATACGGCCTGGCTGTAGGATGGAGTAGGCTTAAACAATCCGGAAAGACCGTAGCTTAAGGGAAAACCGAGCTCAATTCAACCTCTACAAGAATTAAGGGATTACGGTATTCAAAAACTCTCAAAAAATATATTGAAAGACACCTCAAAAGCACATTCTGCATACAGGATCGGGTCGGCTCAGAAATTCGGAAACACCGGATCGTACTGGAAACTGGAGTCCAGTGGAACCGTTAGGAAATGGAGTACGGTATGTAAAGGAACTCACAAGCTGGGGTCTTATGGCTGCAGTAGAAAATGGGCAGGATACCAGAGAAAGATGTTCGGTTTCTGGCTCGAAGGTTTGCGTAGCTTAACTTACCGATGTAAAGAATCTAATTTTTTGAATTTTGAAAGTAGTGTTCACCCCTTTCGGGATGTGCGCCGATCCCAGCAGTAAGTGCAATGCGGGGCCGACGCTATTCGGCGAGAAGCAAGCTTCTGCTAACCGAACCATTTCCAAAAAATATGTTAATCTCGTTGTACACAATAGTGTACGTATCGGAGATTAAGCCGATAAGAACATATTTAAATTTATCAGTACATGCTCGGCCCGAGGGCCGGAAATACAGTAGTCATATGCGCGATTAAAAGGGAATACATGATTGACGGGTAAGCGCCAATTTGGGGGAATTACAGTCAATTTTGGGGGTGAATGATAAACTCTTATATCACAAGTGATTGTAGAGTTGTAAGGGTGGGCATAGAGCACAACGTGGGATTTGAGATGGAAATTCCGGGAGCCCGTGACACGGGGGCGGAATGTATTTACCCGGGACGGGGTTCATGTCAATTCTTGGGGTGATGGCGCATTGCAGAGCTTGTCGATGAAGGCGCATTGCAGAGCTTGTCGATGAAGGCGCATTGCAGAGCTTGTCGATGAAGGCGCATTGCAGTGGAACACGGGCACGGCTTGAGCTTGGACAGACGGTACAAATTGACGGTCGACGCATCCTTCTCGCTTCCGGATCTGTCGGCTTGCATCAGGCAGGGTTAATGATCAGAGGCCAGTACAGAGAGCCATGACGATGGCTGTGAACGGGTCACAGCACCGGCTACGACGACAGGTCAAACACTCGAACAGTCCAGGAACAGCAGGGCTGGTGTCTTCGGGCAGAGCTTGTTGACGAAGGCGCATTGCAGTGGAACACGGGCACGGCTTGAGCTTGGACAGACGGTACAAATTGACGGTCGACGCATCCTTCTCGCTTCCGGATCTGTCGGCTTGCATCAGGCAGGTTTAATGAGCAGAGGCCAGTACAGAGAGCCATGACGATGGCTGTGAGCGAGTCACAGCACCGGCTACGACGACAGGTCAAACACTCGAACAATCCAGGGACAGCACGGGCTTGTGTCTTCGGGCAGCTTGTAGATGAGCAGGCATCCTTCCTTCTTGAACATGATGATGGGCTTGGGGTTGTAGTTGCACTTGTCCGGGTCTGACGGCACAGCACGGCGGTCGACGACTCCTTCTCGCTTCCGGCTCTGTCGGCTTGCATCAGGCAGGTTTAATGAGCAGAGGCCAGTACAGGGGACCATGGCGATGGCGGCGAGGGGCGCTTCAGCTTCATGCATGACGGGCTTCGGCATATGGACGGCACATCTGGTAGGGTTTAGGGCGATGGCACGCCCAGGCTTCGGCACCAGCACTATCTGCCGCGAGTCTCCGCACCGGAGACGACAACGGGCGGCACTCCGACGAGTCCGGCGAAATGGGCGCAGCCACATCCTTCAGCCCGGCGCGGTAGATGGCGTCCGGGGATCGGCTTCTGGCGTCGGCAGGGCGGTCGTTCTTGGGCCATCTTGGTTGGCGTTGTGGTTGAAGAGACGCTGATCGAGTGGTCCGATTTGGCTCGGTAGTCTGTCTCAAATCAACCGTTCTGGCGATAAACCAAAAACTGCTGATTGAGGTCTCCCCGTTAAGATCAAGTGGTTTTGGTACTGAACCGATAAGAACACATTGATCTTAGCCAAAGGCCAGAATCCGGAAAGACCGTAGCTTAAGGGAAAACCGAGCTCAATTCAACCTCTACAAGAATTAAGGGATTACGGTATTCAAAAACTCTCAAAAAATATATTGAAAGACACCTCAAAAGCACATTCTGCATACAGGATCGGGTCGGCTCAGAAATTCGGAAACACCGGATCGTACTGGAAACTGGAGTCCAGTGGAACCGTTAGGAAATGGAGTACGGTATGTAAAGGAACTCACAAGCTGGGGTCTTATGGCTGCAGTAGAAAATGGGCAGGATACCAGAGAAAGATGTTCGGTTTCTGGCTCGAAGGTTTGCGTAGCTTAACTTACCGATGTAAAGAATCTAATTTTTTGAATTTTGAAAGTAGTGTTCACCCCTTTCGGGATGTGCGCCGATCCCAGCAGTAAGTGCAATGCGGGGCCGACGCTATTCGGCGAGAAGCAAGCTTCTGCTAACCGAACCATTTCCAAAAAATATGTTAATCTCGTTGTACACAATAGTGTACGTATCGGAGATTAAGCCGATAAGAACATAAACTACAAATTGATCTAAGCCAGGGGCCAGAAGCGATACCTTCGAAGCAACATCAAGTGTATTACCATGTCATAGTGAGCCAGATGGGGGACGAGTCGGGAGGGCGGATCGGCCGGCGGTCACTCAACTGATAGTTTAATGGGCGCAGCCCCGAGATGAAAAACGGCTAAAAAACGCACACTAAAAAAATTCATATATGAATCAAAATTGATTTGTTATTTCAAAGCTTGATGCAATTTCTCGAACCCTTGCGCAATTAGAAAACGCTTATAATCTTAGTCACTTGCAACCTTAAAATCTTAGAAAATTTTACAAAGTTAGGTTCTGGGAATTGTTTTAAACAACTGTTCGCTTCGGTTCAAGAAATTTGTTGTAAAACGAATAGCGGTGCCCCACTTTAACCGGCCATGTGTTTTCTTTATTTCAAGCACCTCCATGATTTCCCTAAAAAAATTCTTGGATTATCACTCTTGTGATGGAGCCGATAAGGGATGATTGGCCGCCTTACTGCGCCAGGGGTTCTAAGCCGGCGCCTCTAATCGCATCCAAAGTCCGGCCGAACGCTTTTTAGAAAATTTCCCGGCCCTACCAATACTTATCATTTTTATCACTTAGATTTCGAAATAAATGTGCGCTTTTAGGTAATCAAACCGGAATGCCGTGGAAATGAGCATATTACTCTGGATCATTGTGTTTTTCGACATTCTCATCGTCAATGCGAATAGTAGGTTTTTTGCGTGATTTTAATCAGCTTGATTCCTAGCTATTAATGAAATAATTTTAGAAAGCTGCACGGCTTTCTTGTACCAAAATATCACGTGCGCCGACGATGTGGAGATACTAATCGCGATTGATGATGCAAATTATACACGCGAAGAGGCCCAGGATGTGAGAGTTTTTCAATATACTTGACTGTCCTGCGATTTTTTCTAGGTTTTTTATGAATAGATTTTTAGCGGAAAATTCATTCCAAAACCCAATAAATCACTTGTTTTCTGCCCCCGAAACTCGGCATTTTCCAGCCAAAACTCGATAAACTAGCTGCGTTATCAGTTCCATCAGGCGCAGCCAAGCCGGGGCCATAAATCGCCCTAGAAATTCACATGGAAATATTGCGAAATTTTTAGGGTGTGGCTAGCATTGTTCCGAATTTTTAAAGGGGCTGCGAAGCACAAGAATTAATTAAAGAATTAATTAAATTAATTAATTAAATTAAAGACAGAAATCTAGATGCAAAACTTCATAGTCCACGACTTTTTGCCTGCATATAAGCAAGGGGAGGCTAATTTTACGATTGCTTGGAGAGGTAAGCCATTTCTCATTTTGCTCTCTCTCTCTCTCTCGCTCTCTCTCTCGCTCACTGTCTCTGTCTATCTCTGTCCCGCTCGCTCTTTCTCTCTCTTTCTCTCTCTTTCTTTATCTCACCCACTCTCTCTCGCTTCTCTGTCTCTCTCCCTATCTCTCTCCCGTCCCCAAGAATCTCTGCTCGCTTACCGACCTGTCACGACATTTTTTTCAGACTGCCATTACCGGGGAGATGTGAATGCTGAGCCTTACGCAAAATCAAAATGTCAAACGAATTGGACAAATACATCCTATGTGCAACCCGTCCACTGCCAAGCCCAGGATTTTATCAAAAATGCAAAGCACGTCGCAAATACCACTGTCGCGAGGTGGTTGGACTACTTTACGCTGAGTGCCACTTGTGAGTTCTGACCCCTTTAGCTTAATCAAAGATTATAATCCAGAGGGCTAGGCTTTAACGCTCCTTTAATTTCTTTCTTGATTACTGCTTTAGTTCTGCAGAGCCTTAGCATCGCCCATGAATCGTCAAAAATTTGCGGCAAGAAGCAAGATTCGTGCCAGCGTATCGTTGATGAATTTGGGTAGGCATTTACGCTGATATCGAAGCTTTTTTCTGATTTTAGAAAATTTCGGACGGATGCACAGCGCCCAGGAAACATTGCAGAGTAAGGTCCACGAAAATCGGTTCTGGTTCTTTAGCAGGGGTGGGGGGATCCGCAGCCTAATAAACACCCCGACCTCCTCCCCCCCCCCGCCCCGCTAACGCCCCAGAACTGTCGATTTTTTCTCGATTTTCAGCTTCATCCATGATATTCTCATCTGGGGCGGTGATCAAAAGCACAGAAACGTAATCCTGATTTTGTTCACTACTAACAAGTGGGTACCTTACAGGGTGGGCAAAAAAAAAAGATCCGAGTTTGGGTCAAAATATCTCGCGAACGGTAGAGAATCGAAGGTGCGTTACCATGCCAGAATGCTTAAATATGCTGGGTATGAAGATTTAACACAACTTGATTTTTTCGATTTTTGGGTACGCAACTGTACTATTGACGCTGGTTACGACCGAAAATTGTGCGTTCTTGAACGGGTGGTGGGAAAATTCTGATTTTTGGCCTAAAAATAGTCTAAATTTGTAGAAATGTAATCGCAAAATCTTAGAATTTTTCGAGGCCTATTCCATTTTCTAAAAACAAAACAATTTTCGCGATTTTTCGTTATTTTTACTCTTTGAGTCATAACTCGCGTATAACTCACTGCCCATGGCTGCTTCTTGGGCAATGGCTTATCCAAATACTAATCTAGGATTTCACACCAAATTCCACCACAATCTATGGTATTTTTGTATTGCTTGCTAAAAGGTGCCCCAGCGGGATACTGTAGGTTTCGTTTTTCCCGCTTTTCTCCGGGCCCCTAGCTTCGATCCGACTAAAATTTTCAGGGTTGTTAGGCAATCGGTTGTGGCACCTTGCTGCCAAATACGGGAGCGTACTATCCACAAACTTTCATGAAAAGACTAAAAACTGATTTTTTAATTCTGCCACAGAATCATTTAAATTTTTTGGTCAGTTGTTCCAAAAACTGTTAATATTGCTTTTACCGAAAGATCGAAGCGATTCCATGGCAAAAACACCACGAAAATCGCGAATTTTGGTTTTCTACAGTAACCGCCGTGGAGCGCGTTTTAGCATGCCATCGCAAAATTCCATAAATTGACGATTTTTCAACTCGAGGGCCTTCTAGAGGTGATTGTAAGATAGCTGGTCAAAAATTACTAATTTTTGGTGGTAAATAACAAAGTTACGAGGCAAAGTGCAAAACAAGGCCCGAGAGCCGATTTTGGGTTCGAGTAGCCGGGTCAATTTTCGAATTTTTAAAAATAAAAAAACCACCTAGGTCTTCTGGATACGATTATAGCCTTGATGTTATGATTTACGCCTGTCAAATTCAGGAGCAATCTGATTCAAAATTATGGTGACTTTCAGCTCTCAATCGAAAAACGGGTCCCCAATCCTACACACGTCTGCCCCGGTCCCGCTATTGCGCGCCCCCAGGCATACGGTACCCCCTGCCCCACCCCCACTCCCCAGTGCCCTTTCAAACTGTTTTAACTTATTTACACAACCCTGGGGAGGTTTTTAATAGATTTTTAAAACTAAAATGTTAAAGTTCCTGAGGAGAACTGTCGTTTAATAACTTTTTTTTGAAAACAATGACTTTTTGAACGAAAACACAGTGGTGATAGGTTTAGTGCTGCTAGGTTCATAATAAGATCAACTTTTTGTTGGCTATAACCAAGGAAACTTTGAACCGGAAGTTCCTAAATTTGTTAACATATTGTTTTCCATGGTTTTCTGTTAACAAATGTCTCTCGTTGACCGCTTCTCGGGATCATAAGTTATACTTTGAGGGGATGTAACGTCAGTTGATCAATTCTTCATTGTTGTCACGATCAAGCAACCCTTTTCAAAAGCAGAATCATTTACGGAGCAACCTAGCTTTGCACCGCCTGGTGCCGATTTCAAAACTATATTGATCACGTAAGCAGGACCGCCTACTATAAATCTTGAAATGCTAAAAACACGTGCTTCTATTTGCAGAAAGCATCAGCAACAGCGTCAAATGTTTCCTAAACCCAAAATCAAAACAACACCTCCGTCCGAAGCCAGTACTGACAAAATTCAAGGCTAACAGCGACAATTTTTCTAAATTGAGCACTTTTTTCCTATTCGAGACACTACCTCCTAAAAGTCGTCAAAATATAGTTCTCCGCAGGAACTTGCACATTTTAGCTTTAAAAAACTATTAAAAACCTCCCCAGGGTTGTATAAATAAGTTAAAACAGTTTGAAAGGGCACTGGGGAGTGGGGGTGGGGCAGGGAGTACCGTATGCCTGGGGGCGCGCAATAGCGGGACCGGGGCAGACGTGTGTAGGATTGGGGACCCGTATCGAAAATCATCCTGTTCCAAAATCGAAGTTTAAAATTCTTTTTAAAATTTTTTTGACGTAAAATTGTCTTAGTCTTTGCATAGTTTTATTCAACTGATAGCACAGACTTATTGCTCAAGATATCTCTACGACTCCACCTTCCAAAATTTTTTTACGCAATCTCCAATTCGGTTTATTTCGGGCTTTGATGAATTTTCTTTTCGCCAACGGCTGGTCAAATAAATTCAAGAACTTGGCTTTAGGATGCGCTATTCAAATAATATCAGATAAAATTCAAATGACAATTTTCATAGCGCTGTTAAAATTTATAAATTGCTAGCGGGTTTTGGAAAAAGCACGAACCAACTGTTTTGAAGGCCCTAAAAGACGCCCTTCCAAAGGGGTACGGTAGCTCGAAATTTTGTGGATGATAGATAAGCCCCAGTCCTACATAACTAAGCAAAAAAAATTAGCTGAGTGCCCTTTGGCAATTTAGAAATATTTTTCCAAAGTTCGCTTTCGAGACCTCGAAAAATCCATGACCCGGGGGTCGTTGAAAAACTCGAAAATTCATCGATCTCGAAAAATTTTTAAGTGTGTTTAAGCGGTTGTATAGGGTCCGTAGTTATTATACAACAACTTATTCTGATGTTTTGGCCATAGATTTTTGTAATTTTCGAAATTTACGAAATTTCCCCATACAAAATTTCATTCCTCTATAACTTCTCAACTAGACCCTCAAAAATTCTTAAATTTTGTAGGTGCATATCTACTACCGACATTAACTTAAATAGGAAAAATTATAACCCAACCACCACAGGAAACCGAGAAAAATGCAAATGAAGTTTTGCGGAACGCACATTTTCCGGGTGTAATTTGTATTGATACGTCGCCAAAAATCGAAAAAATCAAGTTGTGTTAAATCTTCATACCCAGCATATTTAAGCATTCTGGCATGGTAACGTACCCTCGATTCTCTACCGTTCGCGAGTTATTCTGCCCCAAACTCGGATCTTTTTTTTTTGCCCACCCTGTATACATCTTGGCAGGCTTGGGCTTGACTTAGGTCCGGCTCAGGCTTAGCTTAGGCTTGGCTACGGCTTGGCTTAGGCTTGGCTGAAGCTTGGCTGAGGCTCGGCTTAGCCTTGACTTAGGCTTGGCTTAGGCTCGGCTTTGGCTGGGGCTAAGCTTAGGCTTAGGCTTGGCTTTATTTTTCAGCGATCCTGCCGATTTCCAAACGCACGCCCTGAAGGAAGTATCTTGGATGAAAGCCCTACACGTCGTCAATTTACGCCAGGATTTTCCGGATTTAACGTAGGTCCTTGCTTTCACATCAAAGCACGTTAAATTCCGGTCTAGAGATTGGAGAAAGCCGGATGGAAAGGTGATTTGCTCCATGGGAATTACGCAAGACTCCCTAATGACGGCACTAATCGATATCATTTGCGGGAAAGAGGTGGCTGGTAGGTGTGACAGGGCAGGCAAACAAAATTTAGGAGAGGAACGCCAAAATCTCTAATGCCAAAATTTGGACAACCAATAAGACTTTTTATACAGTTACGAGATCCAACTTGAACGTCTAGAGCCGTTCCGGTGTCCGCTCAACAATTCATCTACCGCTTCAACGGCAAGCGCTACCGCCTCCTGGACTCCTTTGACTTCTGGGACCCCCGAAGCAACAACTCCTGAGCGAGAAACTACAGCTACCACAGTTCAACTACTTACGACATCAACCGCAACTTTCTTAACGACATCGAAGACATCGACCTACAATACCACAATTCCTCAGCAACACACTACATCTACCACTGTTGAATCACTTACGACAACATCTACGACTATCCTATCGACGTCTTCAACCTCGACCACGACCGAAGGCCCGACCGGAGGCCCGACACCTCCGCCCAGCCCCTCGAAGTGTAGTCAAAACCCAAGGAATCTGTGGCTAGATGTGATTCTACTGGTTGAGGCATCAGATGCCGTTGGGAATTCGACGTTTATAGAGGTGCGGAGAGAGACAGAGACAGAGAGAGAGTGAGCGAGAGGTAAAGAGAGAGAGAGCGAGAACCACAGGGAGATAGTCTGCGAGAGAGGGGTGGAGTGAGAGACAGAGAGAGAAAGAGATAGCGTGAAAGAGTGCGCGAGCGAGAGAGAGGGAGACCGAGAGAGAGAGCAAGAGAGCGTGCGAGAGATAAAGAGAGAGTGAGAGAGAGAGAGAGAGAAAGAGAGAAAGAGACAGAGAGAGCGCGAGGGTGAGAGCACGCGAGAGAAATTCATGTTTTTAGATCGAAGCACTCCTAAAATCCGCCTTCGAACAGCTACCACTCGGTTTATCCCGTCGCAACGAGACGCGCGTTGCGGTCGCCGTGTACGCAGATACGGTAATTTTTGGGTTACGGTAGCGAAGTCCGGAACCTGGCCGTAGTTAGTAGCTTGTAACGATGAAAATCTACTTTTTTCAGGTGAAATGGATGGGCCAACTTGGAGACTATCGCAGCCCCATCGAATTTCAGTTCAATCGCTGGCAATATTTGGGTACGGACGGAACTGATATGGAAGCGTAAGTACTGGCACGAAAGACTACCTTATTCCTCAATTTTTAGAGCATTCCGAACAGCGAATGACGAAATGGACACTTCCCGATTTCGGCGCACCAACGCTCGATCGGTCATTCTTTTTGCGGCCGAGAATTTCAGGTGCCCGCAACAGATGCTGGAGTGCTTTGCGTAGGATGCTCCCTGTTACACTACGTTACGCTCCGGTAGAACAAGCTGCGTACTAGAGCGTGGCGCGCCGAGGCGTACCGTAACGGAGCGTAGAGTATCGGCGCAAAAATTACCGGGGCTAAGCGTACCGGAGCGTAACGTACCGGACCGCAACGTACCGGAGTGTAACGTACCGGAGCGTAACGTACCGGAGCGTAGCGTGCCGGAGCATAGCATAATGACGCGAAGCGCCCCGTAGGGAAGTGTACCGGAGCGTAGTTTACCGGAGCGTAGCTTACCGGAGCGAGGCGTACCGGAACGTAGTGAAGCGGATCATAGCGTAGTGTACCGGAAGGTCTTATCGCAGCAGGCCGAAAATTGACGGAACGCAGTTTAGGATACCCATCGCAAAACGTGATCTAGCGTAGAGAGACGTTAATTTCAGGAAACAAGGCGACGTCGACGAGTTTCTAGAAGATGTCAAGACGTTCAAGGACAACGACGGGATCATCATCGTCATCAGTATTACTCTTGAAATTCGAATTTTTGTGTGATTTTCCAGATTTCGGCCAAGACCATGAATACGAGGCCCTGTTCCGCAACATTTCCAGCGGCGGCTTTTACATGAAGTTCAGCAACGATTGGACCTCCTTCATCGAGCAGTTGAATACGTTGTTATGCCAAGGTACGTGACGGACGCCGCGGCACGGCTCGCGCCACGGCGCTTTGTCAAAAACCCACGTTCAGCGAACTGCTTCTGCCCGGGTCAGGTCGAGCTTAGCGGCGGAACTGTCTTTGAGCCGATAAATGGCCCGTATCAGCGGGTACCGACCTTTGGATGCTTCTGGGTGAGCTGAAAATAGACAGAGAGAGAGAGAGAGAGAGAGAGAGAGAGAGAGAGAGAGAGAGAGAGAAGAAAGAGAGAGGAGAGATAGAGGGGGAGCTAGAGAGAGGGAGAGATATGAAGCGCTTGATAAGCGGATTAATTTCGAGGCGCCAAAAAAATGCAGCTGCCGACAAGAAGTAAATTGTGCACTTCCCAAAACGCAAGGGCGACACGCAAGAAATGAAAAACGTCAACAGAGCATCTTTAAACCTGTCCAGAGTGTCCACGTAGTGTAGTAAAATTTCTAAAAACATCTCGATTTTTCGATTCGATTCGATCAAGCGTAGCGGCTCGTCGAGGCGAATTTTTCCGCATAAAGGTGAAGCCGTTTCTAAGCAGCCAACGAATCATAGAATTCTGAACATCAAGCTTTGATGAGAAAGTTATTATCAGAAAAGCACCAAGGAAAGCATCTTTTTCAGAGATCCGATCTTCCAGCCCTGGAAACGCTGGCCGAACAGGCTTGCAAAGGTTTGGGTGGCGCCGAGCATCGGACAGAAATGGCCATCTACAGAGAGCCGGAGCAGATGGCGTGGATACGGGAAAGTAAGGACTTGAACAAGCCTGATTTATCTGTACGCGCAACGAGAACGCAGCGTTACTGCAACGCGCCAAAAACAGACTAACCATTTCGATTTTATTACTATTGAATGTTTTTAAAGATTCCATTTTCTGGATAAGCCTCAACTTCGCATGTCGCGACGTGACGCGTCGCGGCCGCGTAGCGTATTCGCGTACATTTCTTAAAATACTCGATTTTCAGCCCACAAAGACGACCCCGAAGCAACGTTTGCCGCCATGCAGCTGGAGCACGGGAAGTGGATCTGGTTTGACGGGGTGGAATTTGTAAGTTTTTGGGGTTTGACGTTTAGATGGTTATTTATTCATTACTATACCTCTATCTTTATTATCATTCGAAGGGCTAACATTAAAATTCATAAATGAAAACTTAAAAAAACGCTGAAAAATTGCAACTTTAGAACGGAGAAATAAACGTGACCAACGTAAACGACATCCACGCGACGTACGGCCCTATAAAAGGTGAATTGGTGAAAGAAGCTACGGTATCTGGGCCTTGTTTTAGGCGATACAACAAATCAAGCCTGGGGTTTCGCCACCATCGGCGAAAAGGCAGGAGCCAAATATGTCTGCCAGACGCGGGTGTGCGATGCAGAGTTTTACTGTGAATAAAGTTCTACAGAAAATTGAATAACGAAAATACCTTTTTGGAAATAGTTACGGTATGGAAAGATTGTTTTAAAGGGATCAAAAGAGCCGATTGGCTCGCTCTCGCTTTTCGATTTCTCTCTCTCTCTTTCTCTCTCTCTCTCTCTCTCTCTCTCTCTCTCTCTCTCTGTCCTCGCCGGTGCCTAGTTTTCCATGCGTAGTCGATCGTTTTTTAAGGTCTTTCAAAGTTGAGGCAAGGCAACGCTCCGGGTTTTGTGTTCCTTGGATTCTATAGCTACCAATGAGCTTGAGAACCTATTTCCATTACGCCAGTCCTTTGAGGAGATTCGCAAAAATTCGGCCTAGAAATTTGATACACAGAAAATTTCCAAAAATACTGCAGCGATCTCCATTGTCCCCTAAAAGTATCAAAAAAAACCCATATCAATTTCGCCATTCATCCATCTCGTCGTATCGCTGGGGGAATTACGAAAAAGGGATTGATAAGATCCGTTTTTGTCCCGGTTATGCGGTTTTGTGGCGAACAACTGTTGCGAGAAAGTTTTTGATATATCTCCGTTTTTGATGATTTTCAGGCCGTTCTGCAAGGACCATTCGATAGATCTCAAAAAAATATACCTAAATTATTTTTACAACTCGCCGATCGAGCACATTTTAGCAAAATTACGCCCCTCAATCCGCAAAGCGGGTCGGTGCCGAATTAGATCAGCCCATTTCTCACCCGTACGTGAACTTTCCAGCTTCTCCAATGTTGCGATAGTCCCCGGAAAAACCAGCACTTCATCACCCTCTGAACGCACTCCTGGAAATGGCCATGACCCGTTTGTACCAAAAAAAAAGTTGCCCTAGCCCGCCTAAAACCGACACAGGCAATAGGGCAGAACCCGGGGGAGATGGCGATCTGTCAACTTGACGCGCCGGCCAGTGAGAGACTGCGAGTGAGAGTGAGATGGGGGAGAGAGCGAGAGAGAGAGAGAGAGAGAGAGAGAGAGAGAGAGAGAGAGAAAAAAAGGACGATATCTCCTGAAAGCACGCCTTGAGTCCGGCTCTATCTCTCTCTCTCTCTCTCTCTCTCTCTCTCTCTGTCTTTGTCTCTCGCCTCTCTCCTGATTTACCGCTCTCACACGCAACCATCCACCTACCGCTGAGCATACGGTAGGTCGAGGGGGCGGAGATGAGATGTTTAGACCCTGGAATCGCGACAAAATGCAACATTCGTGACCTGCTTCCAGGCGTTGGGCCCTCTCAGGAGCAGCTACGGTATTGTGCCGGTTTCCCCTACCGTCCCAAATCAGCGACATGTCTCACCAGTATTCACCTACTTCAGGGCAGCTAATTTTGAAGGTACTGTTGCGGAAGCGGCTTTTAAAGGATTAGGCAAGCGCGAGAATCTACTTCTTTTATCGGCTAGATCTAGAAAATTGCGTGACACTACTGATTACGCAAAATCCTGGCTTGCAAAAGCCCGAATTTCTCGACTTGCCAGCTAAGATTCAAATTCTTCCTAAAGTTGCTTTTGGAGTGCCGTGTAGCTGTCGAGACCTAGTGAATTTGAGTGGTCGATTTTCGATCTTGCCGGCCATTTTTGTCGAGAATGTTCCTTGGAAATAGATATTCTGACGTGAAGCTTTTCTGCTTACTTTTCAAGCCAATCGTACTTTTCTAGTGGTACGGCTGCCCAGCGGAAGGCTGCCCGGAATTTTTCAGTAACCCCGACGCCCGTCGACGTCATGTGCTGGCCGCTCACACACCACGCACCTGGGACAGGCTGGATGATGAGGATATGGTAAGCAATGGTCTTCTATGGTAGTTTGCTTTTCGATATTTGAAAAACCTTAGTAGCTAATTATTACAGCGTTCACCGCATTCGACAAACTCGCAAACCGAACTGTTCCGCGGTCGCGAATCGCCAAAGGAGGAGCAACGAAGCACGGCTACCGAGGGCTCACCTGAAATCACGGTGCTTACCATGTTGTCGCCTGTAGCACCGACGCTGGTCTCACGTGGGACGCAGGTGAGCACGAGCTTTATCTAATGTTTAGTTAACTTATGGACCAAGAAAAGGAGAAAATCCAGTCAAAATCCCGACAGCCAAAATCCTGACTATTAAAATTCCAGCAAAATCGCTGTTTAAAAGGAACCGGCATTAAAATTACTTTCAAAAGTAAGTAGGGATTTTGACTGTCCGGATCACGGCTGTCGGCATTTCGGTTTATCGGGATTGTTTGGATGTCGATATTTTGGCTTCCCGGGACCCTGGCCTGTCGGGATTTTGGTTTGTAGGTATTTAGGTCGTCGGGATTTTGTCCGTCGTGACTATTGCCTGTCGGTATTTTGGAAACCGCGACTTTGCCCCGTCGGGATTTTGACCTTTCTGGATTTTTCTCTGTCGGGATTTTGAATTTTCGTGATTATCGCTAGAATTCTTCTAGACTGACGAGGACCTCTACTGCCCACGTTGCTACATAAAAAACGTCGGGCTTCTCCCCACGAAGAAAAACATCCCGCCGATGCCCCCGATGCGCGCCAAGTCTAAACAACGGCGCCAAATAAGCCTCGCACCGAGACCACCGGTTTGAATTCGAGCCAGAATCGAAAAATGTCTTATTAGCTCGTGCTCAAAACCGTCGGCGAACTAAAGAAAGCAAGGGCGAACCAGGCGAAGCGATACCCCGCCCGTTCGAGTAGTAAGCAGTTGGAGAAACAGTCAGATATAGCGAAGACGTATGAGAGACCGGCAGGAAAAGAGGCGGAAACCAACTTTTCATCGAAGGTTAGACGGCCTTTTATTCTGTCCTTCTTTTCTCTCTCTCTCTCTCTCTCTCTCTCTCTCTCTCTCTCTCTCTCTCTCTCTCTCTCTCTCTCTCTCTCTCTCTCTCTCTCGCTCTCTCTCCCTCTCTCTCTCTCTCTCTCTCTGTTTCTCTCTCTGTTTCGCTCTCTCTCTCTCGCTCTCCCTCTCTCTACCGCTGATCCTGATTAATTTTAGGTTGTCTCCGACGGAGTCCTCACCATCCGAAAAGTACGCTCCCGGAAGCCCACTGCGCAGTTCGAGATCCCGAAAAGCACCAAAAAGAACGCAGGGGTGAAGCCAAAGCGGAGATTGAGCCCCGATACGGTCTGTTCATTATTTACTTACTCTATTTCATTACTTACTCTTTTCTTACTTTCTATCTGTTTCTCTCTCCCTCTCTCTCGCTCTCTCTCTATCTCTCTTCTGTCTCTTTTCTCGCGCTTCAAACAATGGAGCTTTAAGAGGATGCTGGAACAACTGAAGCGAGTGCTACGGAAACGACTAATGATGAAGCCGCAGGAAAAACTGACGCATGGAAGCTGCTCCCACGCAAACCAGGCTAAGCTGACTTCACCCGGCTCGAAGCGGCTACGCCCAACTGTGGTCATGAAGGTGAGAGAGATATAGAGGGAGAGAGCGGGTGAGTGAGGGAGAGGGAGAGAGCGCGATTGAGATAGTGAGAGAGAGAGAGCGAGGCAGATAGAGAGCGACAGAGAGATTTCACTACCATTTTTCAGGCCTTCCAAGAGTGTCTCAAGCAAGGCTGTGCTGAACGTCAGAATTTCTGGGCAGCCCTCAAAAAGCATCTCCTATCCAGCCATGTCGTCCGTCAACCAGGAAAATCAAGAAAACCCCGCCATTCCTTGACCCCACAATTGCCTGCCAAGCCTACGCTGAGGCGCTCGACGCGTGGGCGAAAAGAGGTTAGTTGAAGATGTGGAATTCGCCATGAAAAATACCGACCGTTAAAATACCGACAGCTAAAATACCGACACCCAAAATGCCGACAGTAGGGCACCATTGGAAATGCCGACGCACAGCCGCTTCGAATGGAAATTTTCTTTGAAAGTAGTTTAGCCGTTTGGGGTCGCAGGACGCTGTCGAGCCTAGGCGAATTAGGGGTTGCTTCCTCGCTTACATGTTCCTGTAAAGAAGCCGTAGTGTATCCATACCCGGCAATACTCATCGTCATGTCTTAAACCGCCCTTTAGGAGTCGCAACTCTGCCAGTTAAAGCGTCATTTGGCGTGGCTCGTAGCTGTCTAGACTCGTCATTAACGCTTCATTTGGCGTGGCTCGTAGCTGTCTAGACCTAGTCGATGTCAAGGTCGATTTTCTACCCTTAAAAATTAGCGTATCCATCGGAAATACGATATTTTCGAAGAGACTCCTAGCCGTCAAGACCCAGTCGACCTAAAGGGCAGACTGCTCGGCTTCCGAATATCTTCAAACCCACCAATTTTTCAGGAAAAACACCCGCCTCGAATCTACCGTAGCAGCAGCATCTCGTCAAACTCGACCGTTTCCATTAGTCGTGCTCTCGAATATGTACGAACGCAGTATGGGGACCCGAACGTCGATATTTCCGCTTGTGCCTCACCTGATGGAGATGATTACATCCAAAAATTGGTCCTAAGAAAAGACCCAGTCTCTGGGGGCTATATGAGCCCTGGGAATTCAGCCTCAGTATCTCCCATACCTGGCCCGTCGAATTCGTGGTGGTGATGGTACTGCAGTTTTATAAATAGCTGGTTCTATCAGCTGTTTTTGTTCTATCGTAATCGACAATTATTGATAATCCTACGGAAAAAACGGTCTCATTAGAAATAATTTAGCATCTGGATAAATCATTCTTAACAGGCTGGAAAGACAGACAAAAGTTCATGAAAAATAGAAAAATTGCGAGAAGAATTAAATCGTTGTTAATAATCTAAAAGGATGCGACAAACCGGAGCAGTGGTTGGCGCCGGTCGATCACAACCATTTTTTGAAGCCTACAAAAAAATGTAGGAACGGAAACCAGCCCGGCAGCTTCAGAAAACGGCCGTTTGGGCTTCTCAAACTGTCTGAAGTAAGCTTTCGGCGCTCGACCTTCTTAACCAAGCTGCCAAACAACCCCTTATACCTTCGCGCTCAGATTAGAATCTCGCATTTTTCTAAAAATTGAAGTCGCTTAGCAAGCCAGCAGGTATCAAGCGAGGCAAGCGCTTCTCTGACCGTACGTGCCCTAGAAGCCCTCTGGAAGCGCATGTATCAATCCTGATTCACTTGTCTTGGACCTGACCGGCTTTTACCAAAAAAGTGGATTTGCCGCCCCAGAACCGGCCGACAAAGGCGGGACAATCTGTCAGCCCCAGAAACGCGTGGCGTGAAAACCTGTGCTTATTTGGGGACATCCTCTGGTAGCGGCGTCTTCTGGTTTTTGGATACGGTATCTCCAGGACGGGCCGTTTTAACGCCTCCTTTTTGTGTTTTTTCTCCTCTGTCCCCTCCTTTCTCCATCTCTATAGCTCATGCTCAGTTTTGGCTCAATGCTTTTAGATTACTGCGTCACGTCCTCGTAAGCATGTTAACAGGCAACATGATGCCCCAGGAGTACTACTCCCCAACTTCCGGCCAGTTGGTAGTAAAGGTCGGTGACTCATGGCTCTTTAGATTTTTTGAACCGAACTTTGCAGGCTGTTTTCTATTTTCGCTTTTAGTGGTACTGCTGTCCATCGGAAGGTTGTGGACGCTTCTACCGTGATCCGGAAGCTCGTAGCCTTCATATTATCGCTGAGCATAGCCCGAGAACCTGGGCTATGAATATTTTGAATAGCCATCCAAACGGTGAACCCGTACAGGTGAGTAGCGAGAGAGAGAGAGAGAGAGAGAGAGAGAGAGAGTGAGAGTGAGAGTGAGAGATAGGGAGAGAGAGGGAGGGAGGGAGAGAGGGGGAGAGAGAGAGAGAGAGAGAGAGAGAGAGAGAGAGAGAGAGAAAGAGAGAGAAAGAGAGAGCAAGAAGTTAACGACTGCGCTTTCAGATCCAGCAACAATTTGTTCAGCCCTGCCCACCCCAAATTCCTCCACAAGAAGAAGCACTTGATCGCTATTTTTCAAACCTTAAGACACCGGATCTCTTCCAATCGGCGCCACAACAGAATGCACAGGTTTCCCACGCAAAATGATAAATCCTGTTTTAGGCGCTACCAGCACCAACTCAAGCGTACGCTCCGGTTCAGCTGCATCAGCCAGCTTTTGCTGATGAAAACGCCGACCCGCAAATAATGTTGGACGTCGTCAACACGCCGCAATTATCGCCTGTTGATATGCAATGCCTCGGAATGGCAGTAGGGTTGGAAAACTCAGCTGCAGCCTATATTCTAGGAGCATGGCCGGGGCCCACAACCTAGGAATACCAACTTTGGGGATCTACGGCAAGAATCGAACATTCACGACACGTCGACCCGAAATTTGGTGCAGACTGATTTTACCATGATGCAGCCTGTACTTCCGACAAAAGTTACGCAAGGAACACAGGTAAGCGAGCTTGAAAACTGAGTTAGGTTAGCGGTGAGCTGGCTATCCTCGGCCATATAGCTAATCCGGGACCTGAGGTAGGTTTTTGGTTGGTCAAGTTGTCGAGGAACACAAGAACTGCGTTTTTAGACAATGGAGCCAATCTGCTGCCAACGGTGTACGATGGAATACCAGGATCAACCGGAAGACGTGCCTGGGAGGGTTGTAGGCTATTCGCTGTCGGGCAAGAAACGAGGACGACCGGTGAAATGTGCAAAGAAAATAAGCGTGGCATCGAAGCAGGCTTGGGTTCAGGTCAGAAGGCAAATGCTTCCTTTGGACCACATAAAGCAAGCTTCAGGAAATACAATCAGTCAACCAAGAAGCGCGATACCCACTTCGGAGACACGGCAAGCAACTCTATGAGGGAAACCAGGAGCTCGATGAGACTCAAGACAGAGAGGAACCCGAACTTGAAGCTTCAGGAGAGGCAGTAGCTGGATTTTTTTGTTTCCATGATGTCCTTAATTTAGATACCTCCTGAAAAAGTTTCCAACCGTCGGGAACAAAGAAAAAGAAAAACCACGCCCGAACCTGATGAGTCCGGTATTCAGATGAAACAAAAACCAAAGCAGAGGCGAAGGCGTCGGGTTACGGACAAGGTATGACTGGTTTTCCTATTATAACCAAAATTTAGCTACTCCTTGAGCGTATCCAAAAAGTACTGAAAAAGCACGTGCACGTCATGACACCTCTGGAGACGTCAGGAACACCTGGAAAACATTCGAATTGTCTACACAACAATTTGCTAAAGACAAATTCGCTTGCTGGGAAGCGACTGGGCAAAGCGGCAATAGTTAAGGTAGTGAGAGAGCGAGAGCGAGATAGAGATAGAGAGAGAAAATGAGAGAGAATCAGCGAGAGAAAGAGCGAGAGAGAGAGAGAGAGAGAGAGAGAGAGAGAGAGAGCGAGAGATAGAGCGAGCGAGAGAGAGAGAGAAGAGCGAGCCCGGGAGGGAGCGAGAGGGAGAGAGAATCTTTCTGTTTTCAGGCTTTCCTCGAGTGCCTTAACCAAGGCTGTGTCCAGCGGCAAAACTTCTGGGAATCCCTCCATCAACATATCTCTACGACCCACGTCGAGCGCAAGAAGCCGGGCAGACCTGCCAAAAAACGTATCTTAACAGGCCGGGCCCAAGCTGCGCCACCCAAGCCCAGGGTATCGACGCGTACTCGTCCTACACGTAGCGCAGTTCAGGTCAGAAAAAATAGAGAATTTAATTATCGTGTTTTTCGTCTTTTTTTTCGAAAAAGTGAAGTGAAGTTTATTTAATGCGAAACGGAGGCTTCTATTTGGCTATTTACAGTTTTACTGAGTCTTCTTAGAAGTGTAAAACGCAAAAAACAAATGTAAACGCTCAAAATTGAGCAATTTTACCTTCAGAAATCGGGAATTTCGTCCAGCAAGTAAGCACAGTAGTACTACGGTAAACTAAAAATTACAAAAAAGCTTTACGTTTTCAGAACAAAGAACGCCCTATAATCGACAGCATCGGAATCAGCTTCGAATCGCCTCCCTCCTCCCCAACTTCGCCAAGAACCATCGGAAATCCCAGAGACACCTATGTACTTGACCCGGCCTACAGTCCTCCCTATTCCGACATTTCTTCCCTTTGTGCGACACCCAGATCCGAGGATTCCTACTTTCCAAAGTTGAAGCTACGCAAAGATCCGGTCTCCGGGGGCTATATGAGCCCCGGGAACTCGGAGTCTGGCTTTGATTCTGGCTCGGAAACTCCCGTTCCGGGACCTTCCGGTATACGGTATTAAACTCGTTGTACTATCAGCAATTTAATAAAGCTTACAGAATTTTGATAAACTGACGATATTTAATACGTTTTAAGGCCGGTTTCTGATGGTGAATTGAAAATTGTAATAAAAGCGGGCTTTCGGTGTGTAATAATAAATCCTCTAATAAATTATTGCTCTCACCTTGACACCGTTTTTTTTTTAATTTTTAATGGCCCTAAAAAGCTAAAAATCCGACTTTTTACGCGTCCCCTAAACAGCGCCCCAGACACCGTACCCCTCCAGCTGCCCTGGCGCCCTGGCAACCGGCCAACCATTACGCTCTCTAATTCCCCGAGGTCGGCTTTTGAAACGAAAATCTCCAAAAATTAACTTTTCGCTATGGCTCGACAGCAACAAGTACAAAACCCGAATGAAGAACTCGTCCAAATCGAGGGCAATGATGGGAATGTTCTTACGGTTTGGTTTTTCGAGTTAAAAAGTTATAGAGCAGCTATAGAAGTTTAAAAGGCTAGGGGTAAAAGCTTGAAAAATGCACGCATTATGGTTTATTACTACATTTCAGTTCCCGTCCTCGATGCTTGAAGCTGCTGGAATTAATATAAGAAATAATCAGGCAGTAACGGCGGAGCAGGTACGTTTTTATAGCAAAAATAGTGGCTTTATGCCTCCGATCTAGATTGATTAGGATTTAAGCGATACATTGCTACGCTTTTAATATTAAAAATAATTTCTTGTGGCTCAAAATTTTAGTAAAACATTTTTAGGTCGAACTTTTGTTGAGTATGGTCAACGATGGGCCACAAGCCGACCAGAATCGTGAGTTTCTGATGAATCTCAAATTTCTAAAAGTATAAAATTAATTTTCTGGCGACTTTCAGGCAAGCGCCACTATGCTGAACCGGCCGAAAACCCGCCATTTTCCCTCCTCGAAACGAACCAGGGCGTCCGCTTGATCGACAGGAATGGCAGCGTTTTTGATGTGGGTTTGGAGACATGCAAAATCGTATAAAGTGTATTATTAAATACGTATTAAATATGAGGGTACAGAAATGATCGCGGATTGAGTCAAAATGAATAGACAATGTTTTTAAGTGATCACGAGTGGTTATATTTCAGTTCGATCCGACTCAACTATCCCAAAGAAACATCCACCTACCCCAATTAACGAGTGAGCATTATGCTGTGATGCAACTCGTTGCCCTCGCTGTACAACAAGGAGCTGTACTACAAGGGTATGCTGAAGCCATAAACTTGAAAGCAATGGATGGGGCCAGCTCGAATTCAGTAAAGTACTAGGAACCAAATCCGACGATATTTCGCGGCCTACGTACCTAAAGTAGGTGCACAGAGCGGAGCGTTGCGTAACTTGACGATTAGCAGCGCTCTTTTAAACCCCCTCCCCCCCCTTCCCCTCCCCCCCCCACCCCCCCCCCCCCCCCCCCCTTTTTTTTTTCCTTTTTTTTTTTTTTGGTTTTGGGCCCCCCCCCAACCAACTCCCTCCCCTCCCCTGGTTTCCCGGCCCCCCTACTTTTTTGGTATTCTTCGGTGTTTTTGGTGAATTTTAACAATCTTTACACATACTACGAATCTTATTAAACCATAATAATTGCAGCGATTCCGCCCAATACTCGAAGAAGACGGCGCACGGCCATTCTGATGAGCCGAGCGGATCTGGGGTAAGTTTTCGAAGCATTCGAGACCGATTTATTTTTAGAATTTATTTTTTTTTAATTTTATAGATTTATTTTAATTGTTTTAATGAACCCCGGTTCTATTAAATCTTCGTCCATTTTAATTTTCAGCTGAACAACGAGTTCCCGGGACGTGAGATGACGCCAGGTAAATCAGCTATCGAAAACCATCGATAATCTTCCATTTTTTAGCAAACGTGGCTGAAGTCGGGGATGAGGTGCAATTTAGAAGAGCAGGGAAGTTGCTGAAAGCGTCGGTGCGGTACGTTTTTGTACTCTTTACGACTGCTACAGTACATTAAAACATCATTTTTAGGTGCGGCAGCGATTTTAAAAGATATTTAAACCCACATTTCGCAGTTTTTAGCTACATCCGCGCCCAAACCGGCTACAAAGTACAGTTCGATGACGGCCATTTCGAATGGATCGACGAGTGCGATATTTTGCAGCAGAATTTGATCGATACCGGGGATCATCAGCGGTGAGTTGGAGATCATGCTCGGCAGAAGTTGAAGCTTTTAAAACTCCCTTATTTTCGGAGCTTCCAGATCCGATTTTCCCGGCTCGAAATCTTTATTGCCAACCTTTAAGGTACTCCGATTTTCCGGGATGCGGCCCTAAAGTGCGAGTCGTGGAAAAAGAAGCAAATTTCACATGTCCGATTTGTACTAAAAAGGTAGGATCCCAAGTTTAGTCGATTCGAAAAATTCTAACTAAAAATTGCCGGGTTTTAACAACCTTCACCGATGATTGGGTTTTAAAAGGACGGTGACAGCTGGATTTCAGCTACGAGACAATACCCTAACTTCCAGATCTATCAAAAACGCCCCGCGCACATTGTCATCAGGATCCCGGCCTGTGATCAGTGCTCTAAGGAAAAAGTGATGGTGCTCGATGGGGAGGAGACCACGCAGAATGAATAAAAAATGTATTTGTGCAAGAAAATGGCACTTTGACATGATTCTGCTGAATAAACGGGTTTTTCTTGACTTTTTCGGGTTAAATAGCATTAAATTCACGTAGTAAACTTGCCAAGATACAATGAAACTGCAATATGCAGAATTAGAAAACAATCAATTGGTCTAGGAAAGCTAGCAAAGGATCTTCGGGCATACGGTCTAGAAATTAAAATCATGGCAATCTGATACTAGCCTCTTTTCAAGGGCCAGCTTGCAAAGAAGGTTAAGCATGAATGGGAATGAACCTAGCAACTATCATCGCGGAATTTAGGTGCGAAAATCTGGCGAGACAGCTGGCAGACAAACTTGAGGAATTACAGTAACCAAATTGAAAGAATCCAGGACCAAATTTACACAAAAAACAGCCTTGTCAATCTGCATAAAGTCGTTTTATTTTTCACCAGTGCCTATCAGCCTGATTTAAACGCATTTTGGTTCTTTGAACCTGGAAGGCAAGCTAGCAAAGTTCCTTTAGGAATACAGTGGCTAAATTACAAAAATACAAGATGAAACAAAGCATCGTGAGCCACATTGAGCGTACTTTAAACCCCCAGATGTATTCAAACACCTTACCCACGTGCCCGAGTTCAAAATCCTCTCCAGACACCCCCCGAATACACATCTTGGTCGTTCACTGCTGCTGCGGGGGGTAGTTGGTGTGCGGACACAACCCCTCCACCCCTCCAACAACAATTCGCACACGGCAGAACGGGGCGAGAGTGGCTGAAAAATGCGAGAAGCAGACATTGTGCCCCTCGGAGTCGTCTTTGTGCTCGAAACCCCGCCCGCCCCTACCCCGGAAAAGTATATAAAGACTGGGATTTTCCGGGTTCAACAAGACAACAGATTCTACCCTTAGATATTAACTTATCTATAAGTATTCCCTTTCTAATTACAGCTAGTCCCTACATTTCTAAAACTGAGAATTAGCGTTCCTTTTCCATATTATCTATTCACCTGCCAGCTTTTCATTTTCGGCTGGTCATAAGCAGCTGCAAATTGGCACCTGCCAGATATTAGTAATGATGTTACGTAAATGAATTCTAGTTTTTTAGCGAAAAACGCACAAGTTATTGCGTATTTTTACCTATTAACAATCGAAAACGCAAAAAAATGCAGCTTTTTAAAAATAGCAAATTTTCCCTATCGTTAGCTAAAAAAAATTCTAGAAATCGGCTAAATATCTCCAAAAGAAATATTACTAAGGATCTTTCGATGACAAAGCGTGCCAGCTATTGTGTAATTTTACGAATGAGGCAGCAAAAATCCCCTTTTTTGCCAAGTATCAAAGCTTTTGAAAAATTTTGAGCTCGAAATCCACATTTTCCTAGCTTCGAAAACCTTTACGAAGTTCAAACAGTCATTTTGCATCGTCATCCCCCATTCAAAATCGATAAGCTGGCCACCGAGACACTACCCCCTCGACAAAGTGCCCTTTGCTCCGCCTGTTTACTCGGTTTTTGCACGTCCCAACCCGGGGAGGCGAAGGCAGGGCAGACGAAACGTCGCTATTTCCCCCCTGCGGACTGCACCGCGCCGGTCCCTCTGAGCCGGTCAAATTGAGACTTTGTTGCTAAAAATGGATTTTGGGTAGAAAAACTTCTCAAGAAGTTCATGCGAAGATTTTATTCCTTCGCTAACTAAAAAAGAACCCCAGGGCTTTTAGTTAGAACAATGGCGGAGCTATTCGTCGTTTTTCAATTAAACACACTTAAATTAAAAAAAACAAGACTAAAAGACTAGTTTCAAACTTTTCCTAACAATTTTCGATATTTTGAGCTACGATACACTCCACTTGACGAAATGGCGTACTGGCGCGTTGTGGCGCGTAGCGACTCGTAATGAGAAAAATAAAAACTTTTTACACAACTTCTTTTATTTATTTACTTTTCTATTCTTTGTCTTATTTTTTGCATTGATTTGGCCTTCTCGACTAATTTTATATGTTCAGTGGAATCCCTCACCACCATGGCCTTCAAGCTGAGCGGCAAAAGCGCCAAGGAAATAGCCGCATTCATCGGGCTGCTCGGAATGATGCACATCTCCTACTACACCATCCAAAACTCCTCAATGGTGCACCCGGATGCACGACAAGAGCTTTTCTATGTGAGTTTTATAGCGTTTTCGAGTTTTTCTAAATTTCTAGGCTAATTTGTCAAATCTTTTAACATCCTGACCGGTTTTTACCGTTTTAACAAGGTTCTTATCGTTCATTTATAATTGCTCCTTTTTCAGGTACGCTGGCTGAAGGAAAAATTCCCGGCATTGAAACCATACGGCGTCAAAGAGCCCGACCACCCACCAAAGCATTAGATTCGGCCTGTTAGTTTCTCTCATTTCTCTATATTTTTCAAACTCTCGCAATACGTACTTTCTCCGCTGCCTAATCGCTTGTGATACTCCACCGACACGGGTCTACCATTCCTTTTTTTTCCTTTCGTATAGTTGTTTTCCGCTAACTGTGCTCTCTAGGCTCCAACGAGATCGTATTCATAGTAAAGCTTCCAGATAAGCTGAAATGATTCGCCAGCTCTTCCACCAGTTTGTCGTCCACGCCGCCGAGACCACGAAATTGGAAGAGGTTGGAGTATTTGCGCAGGTTTTATATTAGTTTTTTAGGCCCAACAAGACCCGAAGAAGGGCTCCTACGAGTGGAAAAAGGCCCACCTGACGCCCGAACAACTAGCGAGGACACCCGACAATGCGCGGTACAGTGGGGTGGGTTTTTGGAAAGACGATAAAAGCGAATTTCGCTTGCAAAACTTGAAATATTTATTTTCACCTAGATTTCAACTTTCTCTAAGGTTTCTAAATGTTTTCTCAGCTAAATTTTATAAAAAATGTCTTGGAAATACTGAAAGAATAATAGGAATTTTAGAAAAATTGGCGCCATTGCCATTTTGCAAACTTTTACCGGGTTTTGACGTGTTACTTATTTTTTGAAGTGCTTTTTAGCGTTTACAACGACGTTGTAAAGACAAAATTTTGTATGAAATTCCATTTCCAGGTCCCCGCCATCCCCACCGACATTGGCTACCACGCGAGCAAGGATATTGGCGGAAAGGTGGGCTTTTTCTGGTATAATAAAACCTTTTTTTGTTTTAGAAAGAGAGCGGTATCCTGTCGCACCTGACCGGCAACCCGACGGTGCCCATCGGCATGGGGCTGACGGTGCTCGCGCTGCTCGGCATGTTCAAGAAGTCGATGGCCGGCGACCGGATGGGCGCCCAGCGTTATATGCAGTACGTTTTTATGCAAATTTTACTATTACTTTCTACAGTCCAAAGAATTATATTTTGGTCCCAAAATTTTAGTAAGAAATTTCTAAAATGTGGAAATCGAAAACGTTAGCACCCTTAATTTTTTATGATTAATTTTCGGGGGAGTCTCATTATTTCCGGAGAATCCAATTTTTATCATCCAAACAAACAGAGTGCTTTTTTTAGGCTGGTCAGGACTTATTGGAACAGATTGCTTCCCGAAAATAATCTTTTCTGATGGATTTTGCGTTCTAAAACTTGGCAACCTCGTAGAGTTTGGTAAATGGATGTACTTCATAGATTTTATTATCCAAAAAAATTCCGTTTTCTAACTTGATTAAATAAATCCTTATTTTTCAGGTACCGTATCATGGCCCAATTCTTCACCGTGACAGCACTCGTGGCCGGCGTCACCTTCTTCGCGACGAGCTCTGCCGACGACGACAAGACGAAGAAGGACAAATTATAAGGAATTTCCATCCGTTAGGACGTAGTTAGTATCCCCTGACTGTCTTGATTGATTTCCCTAGAAGGCCCGTTAGCTAATTCGTCCTTTTCTGGCACACCGTATTACGAGGTAGAGATCTCTCACGTTTTGTGTGTTCTTTCCCCGGTTTTGAGAATTAATTCTATGTTGTGCCCTGCGCGTCTTCTCCTTTTTTTCGACTGTGCTCTCCCTCGACGATACGGGTTGTCTTTTGTGTGTTTCGGTGACCATGCAATAAAGAGCTGTACTGAAATGGTTTGGAAATGCGCTTTTCATCAGACTTGGTTTTTTTAAAATTTTTAGGTTCATTCGCAGCTAGACCGTGAGAATGAAAAGCTTTGCTCGTGGTAATTACTAGGTAAGCGAGAAAAGAACTTTGAAAATGATATTCTTTTGCCTTTCTCAGGTCAGTTTTGAAAAAATTTGTTTTTATTACAACATAAAGATTGAAATGTTGAAAATTATAACTTCGCAAACGAGCAGAGATCATTTAGCATAATCTTTTCTAATGTTTTGACGCTATCACGGCGAAAATGGATGGGTTTCCTACATAACGAAAGAAGAAAAGCAAAACAGGAAAATAAATTGCGAAAAAGGAGTAAAGACCAAGGATTTTAAAGAAATTTAGCATTGCCTATCAAGTGAGCTAGCAGAGATCTTTGAAAATGGTAAATTACGCGCTTTAAAAAGCAATTAATGAAATGGCTCTAAAAATACTCTAAGCCCGTCAGCCCGACCGGCTATTTGCGTCACAAATATTTCCAAATCATGATTTTTGGAAGGTGCGGTTTATTTCAGGGCTTTTCCTACGTTTTTCAAACAATACCTGCAATTTCCAGGGCCACAAATAGCCCCTCCAGAGGTATTAGAACCCAACTCTCGCCTAGTATTAATTATGACATGCGTAATCCCCCGCGCGTCTTTTGTTCCCAGTTTGGCCAGCGGTGCTCTTGCCATTTTCCGAACGTCGCCTAGGTGATGCTGTGAAATAAATGAGAGCCAGCGCGAAAATGTATTTATCTTCCACCAAACCGGGGTTTGGCTCTCCCATTTTCACCTGGCAAACGGTTAGCTAAAACTTTTCGGGCTTGATTTATTGGAGTTTTATTGTATTAATGAAAGTAGCCCCGTGAATTTCGATATTTGGTAATGTTTTTAAAGGGACTGGGAAGCGCGAGAGCTGACCCCCACGGTTTGCTGGGTCTCGACAGCTATGCGCCATGCTAAAATACGCGTTTTGATGAATTGGTACAAGTCTCAGCTAAAACTTTTAGGAGCTGATTTGTTGCGCCATGTATTCGGATACTTGGTTTTTTTTAAAGAAACTGGAAAACGCGAAAATCGACCCTTCCGGTTTTCTAGACCTCGACAGCCACGCATGCCAAAATACATGTTTCGACGAAAGGGTACAATTCCCGGCCAAATTTTTTAGGACCTGATTTATCTATTTTAGTGTGTTTATGAGAGTATCGTCATGAATTTTGCGCTACACCGCTAAAACTTTTTGGGCTTTTTGGCATTGATTTTATATCTGAAAGTATCCGTATGAATTCCGATAGTTGGTATTTTTTAAAGGAGAGCCGAAGCGCTGAAGAAGCGCGAAAACCGACCCCTACGGGGTTTTTTGTGCGGCATTTATTATATTTATAAGCTTATCGCCATGAATTCTGATACTTGGTAATTGTTTTAAAGGGACTAGAAACGCGAGAATTAACGTTTTCGATGGCTAGGTCTCGACAGTCATGCGCCACGATAAAATGCGGGCTTTTATGGCGTCGATTCTGTCGTTTAATAGTTTCTTTCAAATATATCCGACGCTCTATGTATATTATTCATGGCATTCAATTCTGATCAATTCTGAGTTTTTAACGTTTTTAGCCAAATAGGCCGCCACTACCGGGTACATTCGATCGCTTCCCAGATGGAGCACCATCACGAAATAACGCATCATCCGCGGGAAGGGCTCGAGAACCCGGATCTGAAGGATTTCTCGAATATCGACTTCGAGAACGGCAACATTCAACGGATCCACAGCACATTGCGGCAGATTCAGGAGAATAATGGTTAGTTTGGGAGCTCCGAAAGCCTGCTCAGGCTGAAACATGCCTAAGCCAAGCCTAAGCCAAGCCTATGCCAAGCCTATGCCAAGCCTAAGCCAGGCCTAAGCCAAGCCTAAGCCAAGCCTAAGCCAAGCCTAAGCCAAGCCTAAGACAAGCCTATGCCAAGCCCAAGCCAAGCCTAAGCGCAAGCCCAAAACTAACCGATAGTCGGGTTCAGGGCTGGAGACCACCCGTCGACCGTCGTTTCAAGCGGCTCTTTCAGCCAGCAACACTGCCAGACAACCTCGGGGCATTCCGATCAACAAAACGTGGATTGCCATCGGGATCGCGGTATCCGCTTTCGTGTTCCTGTTCTGCTGCATCATCTACTCCGCTATATTCCACGTGCAGGAGGGACATGTTGCTGTGTTATTCAGGGTACGGCAATCATGTTTCTAACCCTTAAAAGTCTTATTCATCGCTTCTAAACGTATTTTCTTTGATAGTTTGTAGCTAACAACTACGGATGAACTGTAGCAAAACACCAAAAATTGACATAATAAAATTTTGTGCTTTTTATCTCCGCTTTTCCGTTCGGATCCGTGCTGCCTTCTCAAAACTGAAATTTCACGTATTTTTAGGTTGTAGATAATGTCCGCTAAATTCAAATTTTATGGTAAAAAAAGATCATGGAAAATCATATAGCACGAAAACTAACCAGGGAACCACCTAAGGTCAAGGTGGCGTTTCGTTATGGGACCCAGCTTATTTTGTGCAGAATTTTTTGCTGATTTCGAATCCGCTTTTATTTTTTGCTAAATAGCCCAATTTAAAAAAGTTATAGCGTTTCAAAGTTCCATTTTTTCCCAAATTTTCGAACTTCAAAGTCATTTATCTTGCCTTTCCCGTCTGATTCCTCAAAAACGAATATTGCCATCGTATTTAGAAAAATTTTCTCTATCGAATGAGCTACTTAACTCAAAATTGTTGAAAATTGAAAAAATCGAAAAAATGCCATTAAAAATTGACTGTCCTATTAAAACAAAAAAATTGGGCATAGTGACAGATGACTTCCCGTGGGTTAAAATATGACCTTAAAATCGCAATAACTTTTGAAATTGGGCTATTTAGCAAAAATTGAAAACAGGTTCGGAATCAGCAAAAAATTTTACACAAAATAGGCTGGGTCCCATAACGAAACGCCACCTTGACCTTAGGTGGTTCCCTTGTAAGACAAGTCCTGCTATAACCATTTTTAGGGTGGAGCCTTGCAAAATGAAACCCTGGGGCCAGGCTACCATCTGAAAATTCCCATCTTCACCGACGCCAAACTGGTCCAGGTATGAATTTCGTTTCTATAAATTTTCTAACGATAACCAACCTTTGAAATTTCCATAAACTTTCAGATCACCCTCCAAACCGACGAAGTGAGCGATGTTCCGTGCGGGACCCAGGGCGGTGTCATGATCTACTTTGACCGCATCGAGGTCATCAACATTCTCAACGAGGATGCGGGTTAGTAAATTTTAAAGGGCCAGAGAAGGCTTCATATTTTTGGCACGTGAAAGAGCTTCATGTAGGGACCGCGCGCCAACTCAAAATTATCCTCAGGCCTTTTTCGCGAGTATCCAATTTTTCTCTGCGCAGCGTTTGGTAGCGTAGCATTGCGTAGCGATTCGCTACGTAGCTGATGTCAGCGCAGTATTTATGGATTTGCGTAGCATTTCGTGGCTTCACATAGCGTAGTCTCGCGTAATAGAAAACGCAAGGAATCTTGGGCGTACTAATAGTATGTAACGTGCGTGACGTTCAGCAGTAGTGTAACGTACTGCGGGACCCTACTATCGTAACGTACTATGTCAAAAATTTCAGTGATTGACACCGTACGCCGCTACACCACGGATTACGACAAGCCACTTATCTACCAGAAGGTGCACCACGAGATTAACCAGTTCTGCAGCAAGCACACCATCCAGGAGGTGTACATCGATTTATTCGGTCGGTCTTTGTTTTTTTGGCCTTTTAAAGAAACCATGAAATCAACCCTATGATTCCAGACAAAATCGACGAGAACCTAAAAAGTGCGCTTCAAGCGGAGCTGCAGATTTTGGCGCCTGGTCTCTACGTCCAATCAGTACGGGTGACAAAGCCGAAAATCCCAGCTGAAGTGCGCCAGAACTACGAGCAAATGGAGGCGGAAAAGGTATAGTTTTTCGTGTTTTGAATCGGAATTTTTTGCCAAAAAGTAGCATTACTGCTTTTCCGAGAAAAACTCATGATTTGCGCGAATAAGATTTTCCGTTTTCAGTGCGTATAAAAAATTTTGTAAGTTGTATCGGAGCAGCATCAGTAGATTTTATAGCCTAAAACAACCTGGAAAAATGATTAAAATATTTTAAATTCCAGACCAAACTCCTCGTTGCTGTCGAGCACCAGAAGGTCGTCGAAAAAGAGGCGGAAACCGATCGGAAACGAGCTATTATTGGTATGTCACAATTTCATTATAGTTTCTCTTTTTATTTTTAATATCTTAAAACGTTTCAATTAACCTAATTCCACTTTCAGAGGCCGAGAAAAAGGCCCAAGTGGCCGCCGTGGAGCACAAGCGATTTATTGCCGAAAAGGAGATGCAGAAAACCGTGCAAAAGCTGGAGGACGAGATCCATACAGGCGAGTTTTAACCTTAAACTATAAAATTTAAATTTAAAAATAAACTTAGAATTAGGTACACAGATCTTCATAGATATTAAAAAAATATCGATCTATTTTAGCCAAAGAAAAAGCCAACGCTGATGCGGCTTTTTACAACGCCCAAAAGCAGGCCGAGGGTAACGCAAAGCTGCTGTCTCCGTGAGTTAAATTTAAATTTGTTTAAATCGTATTTAAACTATAATTTTGCGCTAAATTTTGACAGCTATATAGGCCGTGAAGTGTTAACATAAGCTATAATACCTAAGCATACCATACCTTATTATGGTCGAGTTTTTCTTATTTTTACTTTTTTACGTTACGATTTCTTATTACGATAACACCTAAGCATTAGTTAAGTGCATTAATAGGTATTCTAATGATAAACTGGCAAAAAAGTAGAAGCTTCGTACAAACGCTAGAAGCTTAAAAAGCTTCGTACATTTTTTGCAAATTGTTTAATCCCAAAATTGCTTAAAATTTCAAATTAACCAAATGCTCGAATCCTAAAAAAAACCGTATTTTAGCCAATTCATCGAGCTGAAGAAGATCGACGCGATCAAGGAGAACAACAAGATCTACTACGGGGACAGCATCCCCAAGGCGTTTGCCATCACCTCAGACCAGGCAGTCTCTGGGATGCAGAGCTCGCAGAAGAAGAGGGAGGTCAAGGAAGATGAGGAGGAAAATCAGGATTCTGACGATGGCAAAGACGCCAAAGCGCTGGTAGCGCAGCCGGCTCAAAAATCCCTGTTCAACTTCAAGATGCCGGACATCAAGGGGCCCAAGATTCCGAAGGTGACGATGGGGCCGGATGGAGGATTTTCCATTGCTTGAAGGTACCTTAAACACCAATTTTAGAGTCTTATAACGTTTTTTAAATAGCTTAAAAGTGTATGTAAAATGATACTTTTCGATAGCTGTCAATTTGTCAAGCACACAATTAGCAGTGGTCACTTGGAAACCAGTTACGCTATCTAATAGTTTGGAGTTTTGTACTGTACAAACGGCAATTTTTACATGGAATACCTTTGGCTAACGTAATGGGTGGCAAAGTCGTACTTCTTGAAGAAGTCGCTCCTTTAGCGCTTTGTTTTTTCCTGGAAAACATCCAGCTCCCGTGTCTGAGTTGGAAGGCATTTAAGTCCGGGCTCGCAGCCCGGTTGAGTCTATTTTGTTGGATTCAGTATTGTTTTTGTATAGTTCAATCGTAAAATTTATTGTGATACCATTGCTTAAATACCGCTTAAGATCGCTTATTCCCGATTCTTTTCAAAGATCGTGTAACTATGAAATATCTTTCAAAAGTCCAGGCTGGCCCTGAACTAAAAGTTCAATGTTATATTTCGTTTTCCTCCTATTGGCATGTTATTTTCCCATTACGATCCAATTTACGCTTCCTTATTCCGACCTTAAAAATTAGCGATTCGAGTAAATGAATTAAATTCGGTCTCCTAACCGCTTCTTCCTTTGATTCGAGTGTTATTGTGCCAAACTTTAACCTTCTTGTCAATTTGCCAAAAAAACACAAGATTATTTATTAAAACATGTAATCTCTCGCCCTCTTTCTTTCTCTCTTTCTCTCTTTCTTTCCCTAATCATTGCACGAGCATAAAGCCATGTACATAATAATATTACGTAATCAGGTATCACAAATGCATCACAAGAAAAAAACATACAAAAACAAGATAAAATGGTTTTTAACAGTAACGCAGAAGGTAGATGAAAATGGCAAAGATTACGATAATGATCAGCGAGTTGCGCCAGGTCTCCATCGTCGTCGGGTGCTTGTATTTCATGTTGGTCGCCTAAAATTTGTAGGATGAATTTTTACAAATTATAAAATTCCTAAAAAGATTAAGTCCATTTAAAAAGTAAGATTTTAGAGCACCATCTCCCATAAGAATTTACTAAAATAAAGAAAATAAGGTAAGACTCCAGATACCCCCCCCCCAGCCGGCACCCAACTTTTGTATCTCGGCTCCCTGTTCATCTACAGGCAGGCCCGTAGCGGAACCGAAATGTCGGGGGCCTAAAAACTTTGGCGACCTCCCCCCGGTCGCCACTTTTAAAACTTCCGAAAATCGCGTCAAGAATAGCGCCGCAGGCAAAAAAAATCGCAAACAAGCGTTCGCTACACTCAAATTCGTCTGAAAACGCGGCAGAAAACGCGCCGCAGGCGAAAATTTTTTATGAACAATTGATTAGCCAAGGAAAAACCAGCGCCGCAGGCAAAAAATTTTGAAAAAATAGGCTTTATATAAGTAAAAACTGTTTGAAAAACAGTAATAAACAGCGCCGCAGGCAGAAAAATTTTTGTAACTAAAAATCATAAGGGTCCCCCCTTATGAATTTTTCGGACCTCGACCCATTTCGGGGGGGGGCCCCCCCCCCTCCTACGGGCCTGTCTACAGGTGTGTAAAGTATACCAAAATGTTCGTCTTGCACTGGCGAGTATTTTGTTATACTTTACACACCGGTAGATGAACAGGGAACCGAGATACGGTAGGTGGGGGTCGGCTGGGGGGGGGGGATTATCTGGAGTTTAGCCGAAAATAATTTTTAAATAACCTTGATACGAGCATTCTACATAGTTTGCAATTATTTACATGAAGTTACATTATTTTACAAGTAGCAGAATATTTCTGAAGTCCTTGGCAACTTAAAATTACTTTTTTTATTTGCTCTTCGGGTGTTTTGTAATCAATTTCACTTTCTTTTCGCTTACAATGTTATTTACACCTAATAAAAGCATACACAAAAGTCCTAGAAAAATCCATACCTTGGCAACCCGATCAGCAGCACTCATGATCGCGTCGCGAGCACCAGCCCATTTGTGCGGACCTTGTAGGCGATAGGTGTACGCGACATTCGGTCCGAATAGGGCCTAAAAATGGCGGTTACGATAGGTAGAGCTGGTTTTTTTTGCTGTCAAAGTTGAACCCAAATGACTAAATAGGTAGACTAGAGCGGAACCATTTAGCCATTCTGATAAGCTTAATACAGAAAATATACAGTACCCTCATTCCCAGCGAGAAATCGCTCATGAATAACTGCTTCATGTCGAGGCGGCAGCCGATCAGGTCGGCCAGCTCGTCCATATAGGGGGTGAAATCGACCTAGACTGAGCAGTTAGAGAGAGACAAAGAAAGTGTGTGTCTGAGAGAGAGAGAGAGAGAGAGAGAGAGAGAGGGAGAGAGAGAGAGGCATAACGAGAGTACCTGAATAGTATGCCTCCTGCTCTTCACAAATCTTCCGGCCATCATCCGGCGCTTGATCTCGGAGTCCTTTTTCATCCCCTCACGGCTGGGCAGTTTAGATTCTAGAGACGATTACGGTAAGATAGGCACTACTTAGGATCACCTCCTGTCAGCACCGACAAAAACACGCGAGCTTGCATCTCCGAGATTGGCATGATCGAGCCGAGGGGCTAAATACGAAGTTTTGTTTATTCAAATTTTATTGATTATTTATCAAGCCTTTTCGCAGTATCAAGCCTATCTTTTCGTTTTACCGATTGAATTGCCTGAACTAAAGGGACGGCTGCAAGGCACATCCAATCGGATTTCATAGTTTTTAGGAAAGCTGTCGACACCCAGCGATCCAACAGGGTTGATTCCGCCTTTCATAGTCCCTTTAAAGCCCAATTTTTGGTATATACCTGAATTAATCCGATCACCGCAAGCGTGTTGTGCTCAATGTCCATTGGGTACATGTATTTGTAGAGCGAGACCTGAAAAGTTTTGGTTGAATTACCTCAGGCATCTTCAGAACGGAATACTTGCCTCGTTGTCTTCGACAGGGATGAGATTGCCTTTCTCCAGGGTTGGGAAGGAAAGGAGGTATCCGGTGGCCAAGACCACCTAAATATAGTTACTTTAAATGTAAAGTTTTAAATTACGTCGTCCACGTTCTCCACCCGACTGCCATCCTCGAACACAAGCGTGTTTCCCTTGAACTCGGAAATATTCGGCTTGATCCGCACCATCCCGCACGCAATCCGATTGGGGAGCTCGTCATTTACGGTAGGGTGGGCGCTACAAAACTTAAAATTTCATAAAAGCAAAGTAACAAGTACCCTGAAAAGGGGTAGAGGGAATAAGAGCGAAAGAAATATTTCTGAAACTTCGATAGGGCCTACCCGAAAACGTGATGTGCTGGCCGAAGTCCGTACTTCTCATGATCGAATCGGTGCTGGAAAAAACGTTTTTAAATGTTTTCAAAACTTTAAATTTTCTTCAATTTTCATGATATAATATCTATGAATTATTGCTTTTTGGTAAATTCTAGACGCTAGCGCATTTGTTTAATTGGTGGTAAAATTAAGCGCCTGGTTTTACCTGCAACTTGCTCTCCAAAAACCAGGTGGACATTTTCGTCGGGACGACACCGCGGAGGTAGTTCGCTGCTCTAAAGTAATATTCTTAACTTCAGCGTTTATTTATTAACAGCAATTAAAGCTCCTTAAAAGTTAGACCATTACCTCGTTCCCACCACAAAATCGAACGGCTCGCCGTAGTCGAAGATGCGGTTGAACACCCAGGTGCCACGCCGAGTGACGAGGTAGACCTAAGGAGATTTAGATGTTGGAGCACGAGGTACAACCGAATCTCAAAAATTATTTTAACTGAACAGGCTATAAATCACGACTAAAACTCTAGACCTGCTTGGCGATCCTGGACAGCTCGACGGCGATGTCACCTCCAGAATTTCCAACCCCAACGACGACTACGGTATGGTCCTCATAGCCACGGTGATCTTTGTAGGAGTGAGAGTGAACGCATTTTCCGGGGAATCTGAAAAAAGTATCTATCTCTAGCTCTGTCTCCGTCTCTCTTACTCTGTCTCTCGCTATGTCTCTCTCTAGCTCAATTTCGTAAGTTCTACTTACGTATCCTGGCCGGGCCATTTCTCCGGCAACCATGGAGTTGTGTGATGTCCGGTACAGCAGAGGACACCGTCGAAGATTTCTTCCTTCTGTTGGCCCTCGCTGAAAGTAATAGTGATTAAGAGCAAGAGGAGGGAGCGAAAGAACGAGAGGGAGAGAGAGAGGGAGAGAGAGAGAGAGAGAGAGAGAGAGAGAGAGCAGAGAGAGAGAGAGAGAGGCTTACTTGTCCTTGTAGGTGACCTTCCACTTCCCAGTCTTCACATAATCTGAAGCGCGCTCGACGTTCAGCACCTTGTGGTGGAATTTGATGTATTTTCGGAGGTTGAACTCGTCGGCGTAGTCGTTAAAATACCTCAAAACGACGGAATTTCTTGCTTGCAATCATGCTAGTCCCTTTAAAAAAACGCTGAAAACCACAAACTTCAACAACTGTGCGTTGTGCATGAAATTCGCCGCCTCGGGCTGGGGCGGGAAATCCGAGTAGGCCGTCATTTCCTTGCTCGTGTTGATGACGGTCGTCTTCATCACCGTGCCCTCTAAAACGTTAATATTTTTCACGGTATTTACGCATGGTAGCGGTAAAAACGTGGAAAAAACTACGAAACGGTACTAAAAACTGACAAAAACACAGGAAAACGTACGAATCAAGTACGACAGCGTGCACAAAACGTACGAAACATACGAAAACATACCATCCGTATCTTCGGGCTTATAGCGCCACAACCCGCCGATGGCGTGCGACGCCTCGAAGCAGACGACATCACAATTGTACAGGACGGCGTGGCTGGAATTAAAGCGACGATCAGAGCCGAATAACTTAGGCTTCGCTTAGGCTCGGCCCTGGCACAGGCGTCCTCAATTTTGTAAAAATCCGAAACTTACCGTATACTCGGCAACCCGCTGGCCCCGGCTCCAATGATGCACACACGTTTTCTGGAGCTCATCTGAAAAAGTTGGAGCATTCTTCTGGTCTTCCAAACTTCTCAGGCCATTTAAAAACCGGAAATGAACGATTTTTCTATTTTAAGAGGATTGGCAGGACAAACCGGCCAGAAAACTGTAGAACATGGCAAAAATACGGCAGTTTATGCGAATTCCAGAACAGGAATCAGGAAAAGATCAGGTTTTCCGGATCTATGCTAAATTTGATTTACATTTTTAAAAAGTTTTGCACTTTGTATTCCGTGCTGACTGATCGCGTCAATTTTCCGAATTCACGGAAAAAATAAAATAATTTTTGCAAAAATTCGGTTAGCTTATTGTCACGATGGACTGGCAAAATTTAGGAGCTAGACCCAAAAATAGCTGTCCTTTTGTAAAGCAAAAACCAAAGCCGGGTAAGCAAAAAGACTGTGAATGGCTCTTCAAAGACAAAAGGCGGGTGAATTGTTTTGGGTACACAATTCGACACTGGCCCATCTGATAACCATGCCCTCCAGAGAGGGACTTCCATCCCGGAAAGTGCCCGATTGATTCGCCCACCCACCCCATCCACCCGGACACCTTTTAGAACGCACAGAAATAAACACAACAAAACGCGAAAAATGGGGCGGGACGTGAGGAAATTCTGGAAACCTGACGGGAAACGATAACGAAATATGTGAAGCTTTGAGCTTTTGATGGTCTGGGTCGTCCGCTGATGGTTAACGAGAGAGAGAGAGAGAGAGAGAGAGAGAGAGAGAGAGAGCGAAAGAGAGAATGCGAAAGAGAGAGTGAGAGAGAGTGAGAGAGAGAGAAAGAGAAAGATTTCGAACGAACTTTTGTAATAAACCTGGTTTAGACATGGAAAAAAATTCATAAATTTTTGTTAAAGAATAAAATTAGCTCACAAGTTATGTCGTCGGGAAATTTGCATGGACCAAGCCTATCTTGTGCAGACCTGACCGAAATGTAACCTTTTGCGGAATACCATTTCTCGAAATTATGAACTTAAACCTCAAAACAGCCCAAAATCTACTATTTCAATAGTCATAAAGGCTTCAAATGGTTTTAGACAAAACCAGATAGTGCATCTTGTTCAGAAAAAAGTTCTCTATAAAATGTACCATCTTTTTCAAAATCATTGAAAAGTTGGAAAAATTTGATAAATCGGGAGGTCCATAATTTTACAAAAATTTTCAAAATTTTAGCATTTTTGAGTTAATGGCTTTTTTTGAGAATTTTTCTGAACAAGATGCACTATCTGGTTTTCTCTCAAACCTATTTTGAAGCCTTTTATGACTATCGAAAGTAGCCGATTTTGGGCTGTTTTGAGGTTTAAATCGTTCATAACTTTCGAGAAATGGCTATTCCGCAAAAACGGTTAACATATCGAATCAGCGTAAATTCTGCACAGTAGGCTTGGTCCCAGTGCAGTCCCGACGACACTCAAAAACGTCTCCTTGTCAGAGTGTTAAAAACCAATAAACGTTAATAAGGCTAGTAACCAATTCGCGCGAATTGGGGATTGCTATGCTGGTGTCAAAATCAGAAGAGGTAGCGTGATTAGAATGGTCTATCCAGCTTCCGGAATCCGGCTTTTAACAGCAGACAAACCCAACTACAAGCTCCATAAATGCGTAAATAGTAAGGTTATGTCAACGTCGAGCTGCAAGCTACACAAAATTCACACTAAAATGCGGAAGTTTGATGCCAGAAATGCATAGGTCAGTGGTCAGTCACTTGGGCACTTTCTTCCAGCCAAGGGCCTGGCTCCTGTTTGTTGACCGACAGTGATGGAGCCCTTATTTGAGGGAGGCAAACCCAGGGCACGTTCTTTTTCACTGTATCTCGTTCTCGTTCTCGCTCGCTCTCTCTCTCCATCTCTCTCTCGCTCTCTCTGGCCCTCTAGCCGCTTGGGCCCCGCGTTATCACACAGCGCGACAACACTACAAAAAGAGCTAATCGCGAAGGTAGGCAAGAAACGAGGAAAAAGCAAGAGAAAAAGCTCAGCAACTGCGTGATTACGAAGAAGCCGTAAAGGTATGGTTTGTACTGGGAGAGCAGCTACAGATTTGGGTTGGCAAATTGGCACAAAACTACAAAATGAGGCATTTTAAGCGGATCTAGGAAACCGTTTTAAAAATAATATTAATAAAAATAACACTTATACAAAATTTATGTCGCGATTTAAGCTAAGTTCTCTAGATTTTCAGGTCTAAAAAGTTAGTTAACGAGTTAAGTTTAAAAAGTTATGATAAATTTTATAAAGCTTCCAACGCTTCCAAGCTTCCAACGCAGATCAAATTCATTGAAAAAACTATCCAATTGCTTTCCCAGCCAAAAAAAGCCTTTGCCGACGGAAAAGCACCTGCTAAATCGCCGTTAAAAGCACTAAAAGTAAATATATATTAGGAGGAACAAGCTTTTTCTTTTTTGCCTTCAAAAACTCTGAGCTTTCTGGCTGTTATCTTTTTTTTAAAAGACCAGAAACTAGAAAAAGACGGTTTGAAAAACTAGCCAGAAAAACGACATTTCCGCTCGAAAAGCAAAAAACCTCGAGCTCAACCCTGAAAAATGACCCCGCCCTTACCAAAAACCCTATGCTGACCAGTGAACCGAACAAAACCATGCCTGCAGTCACTATATAAGGATTGAGTCCCTGAACTGTGAGCACGAACTGTCAGGAGCCACAGCGGGATTTGTGGATTAGCGTTTGAAGGGGGCACAATGCTCGGAGCCGCGATTTGGAAAGGCACCCCGAAACGGTGCCCGCGCCACGCGCACAGCTGGGCATCAGCTGGTAAAGAGCCAGAAAAGGTAAAGAATACCGCAAAATTACAGGACCTTAAATCATAGCGTTTATCTACGCTGAAAAGTAAACTAGTTTTTTACTTTTTAACAAATTTTCAGAACCTACAAAGGCCGAGCGAAACACGGCCGCCCGCGTAAAGCTGGGAATCACCTGGTAAACCCAGAAAAAAAAAACAGAAAATGCATATTTTGGTGGAAAAAAGTTTATTTTTCTTCATTTTTTTGAAATGGCATCAGAAAACTTTCTTAGACTTTTTAGGCAATGCAAAATTCTCATGCTAGAATCACAATGGCAGGAGGGAAGATGCTCCGGAAAATTTCCGCGCACGGAACAGGGCAAGCAGGCCGTTCTTTATCATTCTAGCTTGAAAACCCATAGTTTAATCACTCAAAATGTAGGAAATAGTCTCACAGAATCAAAACTGAAGACGAAATAGCGGAATTCTACTTTAGAAAAAAGTTATCGATTTTACAAAGTGTTCGCTGCGGGAGCCTACAAAAGTGTCGACCATTTCGACTCGGGGCGAATAACAACTATACTTTTAACGGATCTTTTGTTTAACTTTAGCTTAGCTAGGAATTTTTTTTTTGAAAATTAGATAAATTCCTTATTTCTTTTCGATTTTTGCTGAAATTTGGTTTTGAGACAAAAAGTATTTTCTTCTAAATTATTCGGTTTTGCCTCAAATTTTCGGCTATTTCCCATTTCCCATGTTCTACTTATTCCGCGTTTTTTCTCAACAATAAATCCTTTTTAGCACGGCTTTTGAAGCTCCTTCAAGCTTGAAACATTTCGCACTGCTTGGAACTCGCAATAACAATGGCCCATGACCAGACTGGTACATTTTCTAAGGTTTTTTACACTATTTTTTGCAGCTTCCAACCTCGAGCTCCTACTCGCATCGTGTGAGGCGCAGATTGAAAGGGTACGTTTTATATTGATTACCGGACTTTTATATTGTTTCAAAGTGGACTAATTTAATCTTTTAGAGCGAAACAAATAACAACCAACAGTCGGACGATCTCAACACCAGCCAGCGCAGCGACAGCTCGTCGAGCTCGGTGCAGTTCATCGGCGTGCATGTGAGGTTCTCTTGTATTTCTAAAAAATATAGATTTGATCGTTTTATCGATTTCTTTATATATTTTGTAGTTGCGTAGTCAATTCTCGGTGTTTTTCCTGCTACTTTTTAACGCTGAGAGTTTTTTTAAAAAGAACAGTCGTGAAAGTTTACAGAAATAGTTTTTGTCTGTCTGTTTTTTTATAAATCGTTATCTTTGACAATATTCCTGGTCTATTTTGAAAGTTTTTAGAGCATTTTCAAGTTTTTAGAAATAGCAAGTTTAACTTTCAACAAAGGTAAATCTTGAAACCGAAAAATAGCTTCTTGTCTGGATAGGTGAAAGACAAGAACGTGAAAAGTAAACGCTATTTGTATAGATTTCACTTTATCTAAGCAGTGTATTTTAAAACTGCGGTAAATTTGAGTTTTATGTCTTTTTTTCAGCGCCCGGTTCGTAACATCCACCCGCCCGCCCGCTACGCGCCCTACGTGGACATTGGTTCCGCACTGAAGGTGGGAAATTTTTTCGAACTTTGTTACTCCTTGAAAGCGGATTTCAACGTACTTTATACTCTTTTTTTAGCGCATTCGGCTGAAGCAATTGCAGGAACAGCAACAGCAGCCGGCGGTCCCGCCCGCCTACCCGATGCGCTTGAACCCGGTGCCCGAGCCGCACGTGAACTCGGTTTTTTTTTGCTATTTTTCTAGAAAAATGATACTATTAAAGTTTTTATGAGCTAGGCAAACTTGTGAGAGGAAAAATGTCTTTTTTCAAAGCTAAAAACTAGGTTTTTGAAGTTTGAAAGCCTGGGGTTTTGTTAATGTATTTTCCGGCGGACGAAAATGAACACTTATTTGCTACTATAAAGTTTAATGACGATTAAACATGTCAAGCTCGTTCCCGGTATCTAAATCTCCCTTTTCCAGTTCTTCACCCCCGGACGCCCCCTGGCCCCCTATGGCTGGTGCCCGCCGAGCCAGAATCTGCAGCCTCAGTCTCAGGTAGCCTCCCTTTTGCTCCTCATATCCTGTTGTTTAGCTCAACCGCTCGTTCGGCTCGCAGTCAGTGCCGAATCATGTGAGCTTCTCCCAGTTTTTCTTGACTTTATTGTTTTAGCGATTCGCCGGAAACCAAGGAATGGCTCAGCCACAAGTCACTCAGTCTTTCGACAGGATGTGGAATGTCGGGATTATATTTTTTAAATTATCTGTTTTTTTTAGATCCCACAACCGGCAAGGGCTCCCTTTGATCTGGCCAACCGGGGGGACGGCAATTGGGGCCTCGATCAGATCCAGCCAGTCGCTCAGGCACAGCAGGTTTGCTGGATTTTTATGGACCTAAAATTTGCGTGTTAGAGGCCGGCTACTCCCGTTTCTAAGTCGCTGAACATTGCGCCTCCGGTGGAGAAAACGATGGTGAGAGTTTCGTGCTTTTTGAAAAGCTTTTGGGTTCGTTTGCAATATCAAGGGGATAAACTTTTCCGGCGAAAATTTGAAGATCAAAATTTCAAAATTTGGAAGTTTTTCAGAATTTTACGTTTGAAATAGGACGAAATTTGGCTATCAAAAACTCATATTATCTATTTTCTATGGAGATGTCGAATCGAATAAAAACTAGAAAAACCCACCTCCTCCCCCGATAATGCACAAGGGGTTAAGGAACCTCAATAATTGCGTTTTTTATTTAAAAGCTGAAAACAGTGACAGGAAAATGAATAAAAATTCATCGATGATCCTGCTAGGTTTATTAAACTTGATTTCCATTCAGAAAACACCACCACGGCGCAGCGGACGTCCCAGCAAGGCTAGCAAGAACGGCAAACAACCACCAACCCCCCACGCCGGCTACCCGCGCTCTCTCGAGGACGCCTTGGTGGTCAGTAAAAATTAAAATTGCATTGTAAAGTTTAAAAAGTTAAATTTTTGTTTATTTTGATTATTAATCATAAACTTAGTAAGTATTATTTATTCATATTTTTAGTGTCAACCCAGCTCGTCCGCCACGTCCGTGATCATCGACGGTCGCCCGGCGCTTGTCCAATTTTTGCCACCGGCCGACGCCCCGAGCACGTCCACTGCCCCGTCAGCGCCTAGGGTGCGTTTTTTAGGGTTTCGGAGATTCGACACTTTTTAGCCCCGCGGCAGGCCGAGGACCAAGGACCGCACGTCGCTGGCTTCCAACAATAAGAATAATAACAATCAGGTATTTATTGGTTTTCTAAGTTTTTTAAAAGACTTGTTTTGGTTATAAAATTATTATTAAAGCGTATTTTCTCTTTTTTTGATTTGTTAAAAGTTTAAAAAGTTATTATTTATTAGCTATTTATTATTTTTCAAAGTTTTGCATTTTTTTCAGAACCCAAAGAAGCCGCCGCCGATGTCGGAGATGCGCACGCCACAGCTGCGGTCGGGCCAGAATCCGAGGAAGCCACCGCCCATGAGCGCCATGAAGAATCCGGTGCCGGCCGTGCGAGACGCCCCCGTTCCGCCGCCGGTGATGGCCATGCCAGCCCCCGTGCCACAACCACCGCCGATTCAGCCGGTCGTCCCGCCGCCCGGAATGACGCCGGAAATTATTGAGGTATCTTTAGATCTTGGAAAACGTCATTACTTCGAAAATCCACGTCGAAAAAATTGCGAAAATATAAAAATCTTGAGGGATGTAGCTAAATTAACTCTTTTTCACTTTTTAAACTTTTCAAAATTCTTTGCGACGGGCCTTTTGATAGCCTTGTTTTTTGCAGGATTTTTAGAAGATGGCTGTTTGAATTTATGATTTTCGAAGGAACTTTTTGAAAAAATCGTTTTTCTTTTAGTTTTTGGAAATTTTGATTTTCGACATAGTCACTTTTCGAAATACTGTATTTTCAACTCAACGTAGATTCTTCGAAAATTACTTTTGCACAGTAGGCATTTTTCGGACTTTTGAAATCGCTTTTTTGGATCAAATCAGATCATCGAAAAAACTAAATATATCGAGATTCACTAAAACTGATAACTTTTCGAGACAACGATTTTCGAAATAATGACTAGGAAGTGATGATTTTCGAATTTATGATTTTTGAAAATGATGGCAATAGGCAGATTTTTATTAAAAACAGTCACTTTTCAAAGTTTTAACGCACATCCTCGAAATTTCTATTGTCAAAATCTCGGCTTTTTCCAGGCGTTCATGGCCCTCCTCGCGCAGTACCTCGCCTACTGGCGCCAGCCTGGCGTCCAAGCCGCCGGCCACGTTCCGCCCCCGGCCGCCAATCATTAAATTCCCCCGCCTCGCTTCCACTTATTGACGCTATTCTTACATTTAATCTGTAGCACTCTCATTTTCCCCCTTGTTCATGAAAACCCCCGAGAATTTTGGCCGCGCTGCGTAGCGTAACGTAGCCCTCCCTTTCAAGCCCTCTCTCGTCGCTCACCATTGATCTCGTTTCATTAGACCTGACCCATGAATTTTGGAATTTTCGCGAATTTTGTTGTATAAACTGTTTTGACCGAGAATTTCATGAATTTTGTGAGCTGGGCATGCAGGAAGGATTCTTTTGGAACTTTGTTGCGAAGTGTTTTCCGGTATTCTTGATCCGACATTTTTTCTAATCAGATATGCGTAGAAACGTAATAGCAAGTTTTTGAATAGTGTTTTAGTAAATTTTATTGTTATTCAACTTGGAAGACTTAGCAAACCTAATAAAATTCGCTAAAAAAAATGGTAATTTCAGACGAAAAATCGAGATTTTTTTTGCGTTGCTTGTAATCGATATTTTATGTTTTTAATAATCTGAATTTGTTTCCACAACTCTGTACCTATTGATATCAACTATAATAATTTTCTTGAGGTGTCTGTCCGTCTGTCTGTCTGTGCGTCATGTCCCAGATTCAACTCGAAGGGGAAAGGAGCTAGAGCTTAGGTCTCTTCGGATTCGGATAGAGCGTGGTCAGAAACCCCCAAACTGATAAAAAAAATTATTAAAAAGTTTTAATTTAAAATATTAAAATTAACTTTGAAAGTTTTTCCTTAGTAAAAGGGGTGGGGGACGAAGGTTGGGGTGATTTTGGACATAGTGAGCCGGCGCGCGTTTCGGGAGGGGGGAGTGCAGGGGGTAGCGAAGTCAGCCGCTTGCAGGGGAAGCCCTGGAAGCGGAATAGCAATATTTTGTTTTATCTCTTCCCGAATTTTAGATTATTTTATGCTAGAAAAACTATTTCGAAAACTTAAATGTTTATAATGTTGGTCGAGAAATGGATGTCTCGTATCTATTCATTGAATTTTTATAGTTTTACGCTTACGCAAGAATAAGTTAAAATTTTCATTTTTTTAAAGATCGAGGCTTTTCTTTTATTACTTTTTGTATTATTTTTGACGTCCAGGAATAGTAAAAAAGTTTGAAAACGCTGCCATTTAGATTGGAAAAAATTAGATACTGAACCGTGTCTGTTCTTTGTTGCTATTTGTTGCCCCCGGGGGGCTGGCTAGCGACATCTCGGACAAAGTGAGAACCAAGGAAAAAACCAGTTACCACGTTTGGCTGGCTAAAAATCCCGAGATGGAGGTGGGCAGAGGTGTTTAGCGGAACCGTCTCGAGACTCGCGTGAATATATAAGGCGGAAGGGCTTCTCGAGAATATCGGACATCATCCCCATCAAGCCTCCGAAGATGCAAAGCTACTTGCTCATTTCTGCCCTCATCGCTACTGTTTTTGCCCAAGGCGGCCATCATCATGGTGAGCGAGTTCGGAGGGTTTTTGCGAGCTTTGTAAAGTCTATTTTTCTCTTTTAAAAGCTGTTCTAATCTTGGAGAAGACTTTTTCTAGAATACCGTCGCTATGAGTGCACAAAAAAGCCGTCGGGCATCGGCACCGATTGCACGATATACCTGAAGAAAAAACGAGACGACGACAGCCAAGAATTCTGGGCGGCCACGAATCAGGAGTGCTTTGAGGTGGGGAACTATGTAATTATTTTAACTATTTATTTAAATGATAATTATTTTATTTTTTAACGGTTTCCTAGTGAATTAAAATTGTGATAAAAACCACAATTTATCGCAAATTTTTAGCGACAAAAGAAAGTATGTAAACTATGATTACGAAAGTAATTGCCTTATGAATTAACGGTGTTTCCATTTGTTATTAGTTTTTTCTTAAAAGTGGATTTTAAAGAGCTAAAGCTGTGTGACCACGCTTAATATCGTTTAAAAATTTGTATTTAGGAATTTGGCGAGAAAATCATGCTTTTATTTAGATTTTTATGATAATAAAATAGGGCAACCTTTGAAGAACCAATTACGGCATATTATGTATAAATTGTTTTTCGCAGGAAACCGGCACAACCGGAAAAGCCGTCATCTGCCCACTGTACTGCCCGGAAACCGGAGCGGCTTATTCTATCTGGAAGACCCCATCTAACAACCACAAGTGCACAAATTTGGGCACTTATAGGGTAGGAAAATCTTAAATTGTATCGCAAAATTGAGCTTATTGAAATCATTTAGTAGCTTATATAAAGTTTCAAGGTCAAGCTTTAAAGTACACATGAAATACACCTCTTAGCCTTATTTTCAAGAATATTCAAATTTTAGTCGATCAACCGCAACGGCGACTGGTACTTCTGGCGCACCGGGGAATGTTTGGATCAAGAGATGACTTTTGAGGTAAAGTGTGCGATTTTAAAGTGGTAAATCGTATTAATAGTAAATAATGTATAAAAAGTACAGAATTCAATACTTAAACAAAATGATAATGCAAGCAAAAATATCTAGATTGGCTGCCATTTCCTAATCCCATCCGCCCAAGCGGACGTCGAGCAGATCCTGAAGAAACGCAGGAAGTTCTTCAAACTATAAAGTACAACAGTGATTTTAATTTATTTAATTGATGCAATAAAGTTTTAAACTTTAATTAATTGTTTATTTTTAAAACAGCTTAAAACAGTTTAGAGCGGAAGAAGCTTTAGAAACTTCAACAATTTTAAGTTCTTCAAGCGTTACAGCTTAGTAACGCTTTAAATTTAATTTCTTGGTGTAATACCGCTTCAAAATCTTTTTGTCCGTTTTTTTCGCAACAGCTAAAAAAGACGTTTGCCCGCTTAAAAAACCTTTTGGCGGTCTTTTTCTGCATTTTTCTGTAATTTTCTCAGTGTTTTTTCTATATTTTAGGTTCAGAAAATGCTCGTTAATCTAGTGGAAAAGATACGTCAACCCCAATATCAGCTTTCGCGTTTCGCAGGTCTCTCTGCTCGACTCCGGGGCCCGTATCAGCGCACTGCACCCACCCTGCCTGCCCGGGCCAATGTTGTGCAATCGCTTTTCGGCAAAAGAGGAAAAAGCCCCCAGCCGGTCTATAAATAAAACGCGCCTAGATTGAACTTCACTCCATTGCTAGGGCAAGAACTTTTTTGTTGACGCCCATTTCCAGCCTTTTCAGCGATTTTCAATAAAAAAAAATTTTTCGGCTTAACTTAACTTTTTCCGAGGGTTTGCACTAGCAATTTCATGTCGTAATTGATTCCCAGCTTCATTTCTCGACAAAGAAATGTCTTTTTAGGCCATTTGAAACGCTGTCTGAGTTTTTGTTTGCTAAAATGGAATCTTTTGTTGTCGTTTGGTCAAGCTATCCTGGGAATTTATGCCCTAATTGGTTCCCGGTGCGCCATTTGACTCCGCGCCAGAAGACTGATATAAATATTTGATGAAATGAATTTAGCAATTTAATAAAAATATATTAGGACCTTTTGATGTTCGCATTTTGGGGGGTGAACATTTGCGTTGACCTTTTTCTACTTGAAATCGATTGAATTTTTAGAAATTATTTTTAGACATAATTCAGGCGTTTAATTCAATTTACTGAAGAAATTTTAACTTATGTATTATCCTCTATATCATTATCGGCTGTAATTTTTGAAACGTCATGAAAAATTTAAAATTCGCTAAACAACAAAATGCGATAATTAATGAGGTTTAGTAGCTACGCATTTTATATATTTATTTTAGAGCATGAAAACATTTATTTATGCGTTTTTCCATGCTGTCCTTGCTGGTTTTGGGCATTTGGGAGCAAAATTTCGAATCTTCCTTCCAGAATCATGACAACGCTGTGGGGCGACCTCACCTGGGAGTTGCTGGAATCCGATTTCCAAGCCGCTTACAAGACGACGGCCCGTTTGGGGCCCGGCAAGCTAGCCGAGATCAAGGAGGAGAGCGGGGTTCGAAAAACCTAGCTTTTTAAGAAACCTAAAAATAGGGCTTCACCTCGCAAGTCGTCTTCGTTACCCTCGATTGGATCGGTGAAGCGGCCGCAGAGCTTCCCGGAAAAGCCGTCCTCAAAATTGTCAGCTCGCAGACGTTGAAGGTGTGAATCTGGCATCAAACTCTTTCCGAAATGATCTCTGCTAGCTTACCCATACTGTCATTGATGCATCGAATTTTAAAAGCGCTCCGAAGATTGTCAATTGCATGAGCGAATCGATTACGCCCTCTAATTTTCCAGGACATCAAAAACCTGACGGTCGAAGGATCGACGGATGATGCGGAGTTGGACGTACCGGCTATGCTAAAGTAGGAATTTTTTTTGGAATCCTCAGGTCCCGATTTTAGCAATAATGAGCTGAACTTCTACCGCCATTGGCACAAATGGGGGCTCGGCGATCTGCCGGTTGTCAAATTTTTGGCTGGCCGAGACGTTGAAGCTGACTCGGCTATTGGTTCGTTTAATAAACTTAAAGGGGCTACGAAATTCCAAAAATTGAGTGACGGCCCGAAAATCGGAGCCCTGTACGTCGGAGGTCTCTGTACACCCCGGGGACCGGGAAGCTCGCAAATTTGAAATTGCCTGTTGTCACCTCGAAATCACGTTCTCGGCTGTTTCTGGGCCAAATTTGATGATTAAAACACCAAAACTATTTAAAATTGAGTGAGGATTTCAAAAATGGGCTCAGAATGCGCAAATTATAGTTTTTTTACAAAGAAACCGGGCAAAAACAACTTCGCGCAAAAATCGAAAGAGTGAGGGCTCTCGTCTCGCAGCGCCCGCTGGCAATTTGCCAGAAATCAAAGAGGCCTCCCAAAAGGGCTTTGATTTGGCAGTTCCGAGCCCCTTTAAAGAACAAAACCGGACATTGACTTCGTTTAAAATCAATCAAGTTCTTCAAATGGATCGATAGTTTCCTTGAAAATTTGTCAAAAAAGATTATCACATTTTCTGGATGTGAATAGAACAAGATTATACAAGGTAAAAACGAAAGAAAAAGCCCAACTTTCAGGCTACATTGCCCTGGAATACAAAGAAGGGATGACGGCCCGCTTCCTCTACAATACGATTCCCGAGGAGAGCTTCATTCAATTTTTGAAAGTTATGGCCCGAGTCCACGGCGTCAGTAAGTTTAATTTGATAATTTTGTAACTTAAAAATCAATGAATTTTGAAATTAATTTGACTAGACTAGCAACTTTAGTATTTTTAAGCACTCGCGAACCAAAGCTTCGCATCCGATTTCCCTTCTAACGTTCGAAAGCTGCTGAACAGCAAGTACGTTACGTACGCCTCGACGGCCAGCCACCTCGAAAAAGTGCTGGAGCAATACCCAGAGGCCGCGGAGAAGGTCAACAACATGAAGGAGTACGCGAAGATCTACAGCGATTATGACAGGGAGCAGGCGATTAGGAAGAAGACTTGTGAGTTTTTATTTACTAAAATCGTCGAAAATGAAAGGTAAAAAACTCCATATACAATTTTATAGGCCCAATCGAACTTTTGGCCCACGGCGACACCTCGCTGGCCAACGTGCTGTGGCAGAAACATGGGGAAAACGGCTTGGACTTGACGGCGCTTCATGATTGGCAGGTGCGCTATCTCTAGCCTCTCTCTCTCACTCTCGCTCGCTCTCCCTCTCTCTCGCTCTCTTCTCGATCTCTCCCCCTCTCCCTTTCCGGCTCCTTTAAAACCCGGAGAACGATTTTGTTTTAGACATGCCACGTCGGCAACCCGTTCATGGACCTCTCCAGGTTGATGGCGTTGAGCTTGGCGCCGGAATTGCTGCAAAATCGGTAGGTATATCCTTCTCACGCTCTCTCTCGCTCTCTCATTTTCTGTCTCTCTCTCTTACTCTCTTTTTGTCTCTCACGCTCCCTGCTCTCCCTTCTCTCTGCTCTCTCTTTCAATTGCTCTCTCTGCCTAAATCACGTTCCTTTAGCCGCAACGACTACCTCCACATCTACTACGACGAGTTCAAGACGCACGCTGGGGAGGCGACTCCTTGGAAAAATGGGGATGAAGTGGGTGTTTTTCAGGGGACACTTATCACAAGCTTTAGGTCGTCGATGCCTTCGAGCAAATCTTCCCCCTCGAAATGGTGTCCGTCACCTCGCTGCTCGTCCCCTTCGTACCGTTGATGCTCAGAACTTGCCCAGGTAAGGTTTCAAATATTTTCTGATAAAAGTGCCACTAATTTGGCTATCTACAGTCCTCTCGATCTCACTACACTTTCAGCAGCCGAAAAAGAAGCAGCGAAGGTCGAGCTCTTTGAAAAACTGCGCGGCGTCATCGAGCTATGCGACGAGTTTATTAGGAAATGGAATTTGACTCAATAAACTTATGGTGCGTAATAAGCGGTTGATTTGTGTGCAACCAACGTCGAAAAGATCTCTGCTCGTTTGCTCTCTCTCTCTCTCGCTCTCTCTCGTCTCGGACAGCTGTAAGTTACAGCCCGCAATAATTTTTGAGCTGGAGTTTTTATGATTCTTGCTGCTGTTTGTTCCAACCGCCGGAAAAAGCGGTGTTTCCAGGGTCGTTTTGTGGTCCGGCAGATTTTCTCATCTCCGGCCTCCTCGAGGGGGTTTATTACAGGAAAAGTTGGACAGAAACAGATGAGGGTCGGGCATGGAAAAAATCATGGTTGATGACCGGCGATAGGAGATAGGGAGAGAGAGAGAGAGAGACAGGGAGAGAGCGAGGGAGAAAGAGAGACTCAATGATTTCCTACAAGCAGACAGAGCAATACAAACTAGAAAGAGCAAGGAGTCCGTCTGGAATTTACTTCTCCCGTGGCTCCGATTCCTGAGCCTTATATCTTTGCGGGTGAAGCCCCCTTTCTCTCCGCAAAAAGACGAACAACTGTGACATATGAGAGGGGCTGAGCAGGAAGTTGGACCTCAAAAAGAGACGGGAAGAGGAGCCCCAGCCAGCCGCAGAGAACAATTCGAAAAACAATCGAGGCAACCACCTTTCCAAGGGCTGATCGGCAAAATTCACAGCTGTTAGCCGGCGGTTTCAAGGATTTGTCGGCGGTCTAGCGCTTTTTCTGGCTGTCTGTCAATTTGGGCTCACTTTGTGGTTTGCCTGGTTAAGATTTGGAGTCGAATTGAAATTCAAGGGTTAAGAGCCTTAGGTGTTAAACTTTCTCTCTAACACTCTCTCTCACCCACTCTGTCTCTCTCATCCTCTTACTCCCGCTCTCCCTCTTTCTCCCCTCTCCCTCCCGCTCTTTCGCTCTCTCTCTCTGTCTCTTTAGCACTCTCTCTCTCTCCCTCTCGCTCTCTCGCTTTCACTCGCTCGCTCTCTCTCTCTCTCTCACTCGAACTCCCTTGAACCTAAAGAAGTTAACGAGTTCATGCAGCTGCTTGACTAATGGGGTCAGTTATAGCTTTTCAAAAGTTATGGCCCGAACCCTCTAACGACTTATGCCATTTTCCGCATTTTAACGACCCAAGCCATGAGGCTGCAAATTCCTAAGAAATCCCTGATGGCTTGCCTCCCTCCGATCAGCCTATTTGCTCGGTTGCTTTTCGATCACTTGTGTGCACGATGCGCTCCCCCCACTCGTCCCCCACCTGGCCCACTGTGCCCAAGTATCACCCGTGCCATTGCTTCGAAAGTATCGCTTCTGGCCCCTGGCTTAGATCAATTTGTAGTTTCTGTTCTTATCGGCTTAATCTCCGATACGTACACTATTGTGTACAACGAGATTAACATATTTTTGGAAATGGTTCGGTTAGCAGAAGCTTGCTTCTCGCCGAATAGCGTCGTCCCGGCATTGCACATGCCGTCGGGAACGGCGCACACCTCCAAGAGGGGGGTGAACAATACCTACAAATTCAGGCATTTTATGCTACGCTCTCACCGGAATATACCTCTAAAAACAGATAAAAATGACTTACGGCACCTTAAACTACAAATTACACCTCTACCCTATCCCAGGAATGATATCATAAAAATCAATAACCGGCTAGTAAACAGTTAAAGTGTTCAAAAGCTTCAAATTACACCACAAAGGTATGCAGTTTTCCTTAAAGCAGCGCTTAGAGGGGCCGGCAACCCAAAAATTCCGCAGATTCCGCTTAACAACTAGCAACACTTCCAAAAATTGGATTAAATACTTTCAAAACAGACTCTTCAAAAAAATTAAGCTACTAACTACACCTATAGCCACAGGTACAAAGGGTTATGGTATCTGTTAACCAAACCGGTATGTCAAATTCCGCTTCGATACTATCCACCCCCGCAGTTCCCCTGATTCCGTTTAACAACTAGCAACAACCTGGCTCCACAGCTTGGCTTCAGGCCACAACACAATCCAATGCTAATCAGTTCCTGGGGCTGGTTGGGGCCCGGTTGGGCCCTCTGGGCCTTTTTTGGGCTTTTTTTTCTGGGCCCCAAGACTCCCCTGAACCAGGCAGCCAGCCAGGGCTAAACGATGGCCTCCCCCCGCCCGGGCGCTGCTGTTGGAGGAACGGAATAAAGAAGCACTACTTCCACACCTCCTTTTCTTCTTCTCCTCCTTCTCCATCTTCTTGGCCCCATTTTGGCCAAGGCGTTTGGCCCTGGTGGGGCCCTGGGCCCTAAGGCCACGGCGGATCCTCCTCTTCGCCAAGCCAAAAGAATGGCCCCAATGGGCCCTCTAGCCCCCCCCCGCGCCGAAAAAGCCCGCCAAAAGCGCGGAAAAGCTGGCCGATTTTCCGCTTGAATTTGGGTGGTGGGAAGAGTGGGCTGAAAAAAAGTGGGACGAGCGGAAGGAGGTCAGGGTTAAGCGGGGGATCCGGTTTTTCTTTTATTTTCATTTTTGCAGCTTGATAAGCTTACGGTATTTTTCTGATCCTGTTTTTTTATGATTTATAGTGAACTATGAGTGATTTTCGCAGTTTTATTTTTGGGTGTAAGTCGGGAGCTGGGGAGCTGGGAGTCGGAGCAGGGTCGGGCTCGTAGTGCGACCTGTTTTTAGCAGAATTTTAAGTTAATACACATCGCAGAAGCGAGGCTAACGTTGGTCTTGTCGATTGTTAGTTCCCGGCTCCCAGCTCCCAAACCCCAAACCCAAGCCTGAGCCTTCGCCAGCTGGGAGCAGGATCTAAATATAAAAGCTGGGAGCTGGGAGTACGATGTTTTCAGCTTTTGGTCTACGCTTAGGTTAGCTTAATGAGAAACCCAACGCAACAGTACCGCTTGAAATTTTTGTGTTTGCCGGATACTAGATCCCAGCTCCCGGGTCCTAGTTCCTGCTCCCATCTCCAGAGTCTAAAACGTCTAACGAGGGCCTGTCGCCATCCCTTTAGGATCTCTAAATCTCGCTGCCGGCACTTGGTCTCTCAAACGCTTCGGAGTTGTGATAACCAGCACGTGACAAGTAGCTCCCAACTTTCAGCCCCTCCCAGCTTTATGCTGGTTTTCAGTTTCTGATTTAAAATTTAAAATTGAAGACATTTCAAAGAAGGTAGCTGTCAGTTTTTCTTTGAGGTCTTGGCTTGCAAAAAAATTCTGCTTTAACATCAAGACGACTCTTTCGGCTCCTAGTCACTTCAAATTTCACCAACCGCATTAAAACCCGTCAAAATTCGTCAAACCCCGTCCTTCAAAAAGCAGAACCGGGCGCATCCACGTTTTTCCAACACAACATCTAGCCGTCAAAAGGAAAGCAGCGCAGCGTCAGTAAAAGCTAGAGAAAGAGAAAGAGAGAGAGAGAGAGAGAGAGAGAGAGAGAGAGATCGCAAGTGTGTATTCCTCCGGAAAAGCGGGTCTTCTCCTTCTTCTGGCTGAGGGGGATGCCTTCATCCATCCGTCCATCTATCTATCCATCCCCCCTTTTGGGCCTTTTTTGGGCCCCTTCTCTCTCTGGCCATTCCAAACCGCCAAAAGAGTTGTGGCCATCGATCCCGGGGGTTGGGCCCCTTTTTTTGACGGCTGGAGAGAGAGAGAGTGAGAGAGAGAGAGATAGGGAAAAGCCGAAGAAGGGGTAGCCCCGCCCCTTCCCTTCTTCTTCTCTGAAAGGCCCGCAGGCCATCTACTCGCATGTGCACATAGACACATCGAAATACACGGCCCAACAAAAATTTCCATGGGAAATTGGAGATTAATTGGCTATTAGGCTACGTTTTTTGCTGATTAATTTAAATGGTTTATGAATTATTTGGGCTGGGAGGTTGGAATTAGACAAAACTTAACTTGCTCTCTCTCTATCTCTCTTCCCCTCTCTCATCGCTCTCTCATTTTCTCTCTCCTTTTTTACTTGACTTTTTTCAAACGCAACATCTTTTACTTATTCCTAAAGATCCTCATTCATCGAAAAAATTAAACCGATCATGCTCACTTCTTTAGCTTTAAGAACCAAGCGCCAGGGTAGTATAACAGGCAATATTACGTTTCGCGTAGAAATCTAATTAAGGCAATCGTTTTTGCTCGCTTTCGCTCGCTCTCGATCTCTCTCTCTTTCTCTCTGCCTCTCTCGCTATCTCTGGGTGTCGCTCCCTCTGTATATTGCCATGTCTCTCTGTTTCTCTCGCTTTCTATCTGTATCGCTCGCTTTTATGGCTTAACTTGTGAAGGTCAACTAGCAGAGATCATTAGGGTAATCTTGCAAATTATCAAGGAAACGGAGCGGCATTCCATCGTAGTATCTTTTATTTCGAACAAGTTCCTCAACGGGTTTCCATTCAAATCCGGATCCTCGTCCTTGATTTGAGCGCTTCTGGAGTCTGGAGCTCCTTCCTCCGTTCCTCTTCATCCTCCCCTATTCCGCTCCTCCTCCTCCTCCTTCCTTTTCTGAAATGTCGACCCGAAAAGCGTCCAATTTTCTCACTCAACCCGTCAGGATCCCCTCCTCGTTCTCGAATCCCAACTCCTTCCTCTTTTTTCCATCTTTCTTCTTCTTCTTCTGCTTCTTCTGCTTTGCGAAGCTCGAGGCGCGCTTTGAATTTGCGCCCTCCCTGCATCGGACCCGGGGATGAAATCTGCCCACCGCAATCTCGGCAATTACTTTTCTTGCCAGCAGGATCTAGGCGTTTTTGCAGCGTAGCGTAGCGGAATCTAGCGTCTTTTCTGGAGAGCTTCGCATGTTTTGTTGCGTAGCGGTGCGGAATTATGGAAGTGTCTGGCTTTTCGAATTTTTTATAAAGTTTGGAGCCGTGTTTACACCTTTATTCGGAATCTTTTAAATTCCGAAAGTTTTGCAGTCTAGCGTAGCGGAATTCTTCAAGTAACTTTCTTTGCCTGCTTTTCTTGTGGCATTTTCAATTTCGGTCGGTGTTTTGGAGCGTAACGTAGCTTAATGTCTGAATAGATCTCTGAATCTCTAAATCGACGTAGACATAGATCTCTAGGTCCTCCGTGAACCCTAAAAATCAGATCAAATCCGACAAATCGTTTCTCGTTGGTGGGTGTTGATGGAATATTCATTCTACCCCCAACACTACCCAACCACCAAGGATAAACAAACCCCTAGCATAGCCCCCAGAGGACAACTAGCGGCTGAGGGATTCTTTCGGTCTGCCATCTTCTCCGATTTCATCCGCCAAACCCCCAAAAAGCGGGGCAGTAGTTTTCCGGCTGGCACTTTTTTTTTTTGCTTGATGGAATTGCTTATTGGCGCCTTGCCGCTGAGACAGGAAAATTAAGTGAGTTTTTGTTGGTTGGCTGGATTTTTCGGAGATTTTCTCTCTCACTCTTTCTCTCTCTCTCTCATTCTCACTCTCACTCGCGCTCTCTCTATCTCGCGCTTTCTCTGTCACATACTCTCTGTCATGATCGATTTCTTTCTTCCTCGCTCTGTCTCTCTCTCTCTCTCACTCTCTCTGACTCTCACTCTTTTTCTAGATCTGTCTCTCTCACTCTCTCTTTCTCTCTCTTCTCTCTCTCTCTCGCTCTGTCCCTCTCTCACTCTCGCAAGGTTTACCCAGACACCTAGAAAATCTATAAATGGAGCTTTTTGCCTTAGCTTTTCCTACAATCTAGCTGCTGCGATTTTGAGCCACCGATTTTTGAACCATGAGCACGCACTTCCGAAAAATGAGCCCGAAAACGCCAAAAAAGCTTTCCCCTTTTGTCCTTTTTTAGAGATCAGGAATATTTAGAAATTTAGAACATTAAAATTAAAAAAAATTGGTGTCACGCTTCCTTTAAAAAGCTTAATTTCGGCTTCACACACTGCCCAAACTCCATTCCCCAAATTGCGCCATGCTGATCCAATTCTATTCCTATTTCTAATCCCTCACTGACGTGTCGGTTTCTTTTTTTTGCCCATCTGTTCCCGTTACTCTCAATCCTTAAGAAGTTCTCTCTCACTCTCTCTCTCTCTCACTCTCTCTCTCGCCCTCTCTCTCTCTCTCTCTCTCTCTCTCTCTCTCTTTCTCTCTCTCTCTCTGTGTCTCACTTCTCTCTCGCTCTCTCGCTCTGACTTAATTTCTCTCTCTCTGTCTCTCTCTCTCTCTCTCTCTCTCTCTCTCTCTCTCTCTCTCGCTCTCTGTGTGTGCATCGCTTCTCTCTCGCTCTCTCGTCCTGACTTAATTTTCTCTCTCTCTCTCTCTCTCTCTCTCTCTCTCTCTCTCTCTCTCTCTCTCTCGCCGAATGGGGGCGGACACATTTCCGTGCCAATTTCCCGTTCATATTCGCCTGAAGATATTTATGGTCCCGCCCCGAAAGGGCACCGGCTTCTTATAATTCTAATTTTTGTGCCCCCTCGCGGCTCCATCCAACCGTAAGCTGATCAATTTGCAGAACAGCTATGCATTTTTAAGCGTTTTCAAGGGGTTCGGAGGTTCAAAATGTGTCAATCCTGAATTTTAACGCCACGTTATTCTTCCTAAGTGCCAAAAAAAAGCTCTGCTAGCTTGCCCTGCATACTTTAAATTCTAAAGATATGGACGGCCTGCAGCCCGCTTCTTCAAGAATTTTTTGCGCTTATTTCAACTCCTTTCCACAAAATTTCTGCTAGCCTGCCTCGGCAATGATCGCAAAAAAATTTCTAATTTTTCCTGGTGCATCTCGTTCTTATAAAAATGAACGCTAGTTCGGGAAAATTTCTTCTATCTTTTAGCCGACGACGAACTAGCAGAGTTCCTTTGCGGAAGGGATAAACTGGAAAACAATTGCTACAAGGTTTTAGTTAGGCTGAGGCAAGCTAGCGTGGATTATTGAGGAAAGTAGGCAGCCCCAGGACGTTTCTTCCGCTTCTGTTTGAATTTTTGAGCCCCGACATTTGTTGTATTTCGTACTTTTGACCTCCCCAAGTTCCAAACGGCTCCTATTACGTTTCGGTGTTCTCAAAAGTTACCTCATCCCCTGTTTCAGCGACCACTCTAAAATGCAGCCTCGGCCCGGTTGGGCCCTCCTTTCACTTGCCACCCTTATGGGCTTTCACCGTAGTAGTACTGTAGCAGCACAACAACACGAGCACAGGTATGTTAATTGGAATGTAATGGAGTGGCAAATAACGTAAAAATGACAAATACATTGAAGAAAAATTTTCCCATCGGAGAGCGACGAAGTTTGCATAAAAGGAGAGAGCGAGAGAGAGTGACAGTGAGAGTGAGAGAGAGGGGGGAAAGGGTGAAAAAGAGATGAAAGAGAGAGAGAGAGAGAGAGAGAGAGAGAGGAGAGAGGCGATAGAGAGAGACAGAGATAGCGAGAGAAACACAGAGAGTGAGAGAGGCGCTGAAAGCGATAGAGCGAGCAAGAGCTATCTGAAGTTGCGTGTTCCCGTTTTTTCAAGCCCCAGATAAAATGCCAATTTGCAATTAGCGGGAACGCCGCCGTATGCGCTAGGCAAAAAATCGGAATTCCCTCTGGGAGAAAGCCATCTAGAATTCTTAGAGCCAGGCTCTGCCAGCTGCGAATTAGTCAAATTGCGCTGCCGTGCCCGTTAATTGGGTATCGGAATTTTTTTAGAGGGGAGCGAGAAAGGGAGAGAGAGAGAGAGAGAGAGAGAGAGATAGATAGAGAGATAGCGAGAAGGAGAGAGTGATAGAGTGATATAGCAAAATTTCTAATTTTTAGCTCATTGGATGATGACCCAACAGTCCCACTCCACGTCCCCGTAATGCTATGCAATAACAACACCGATTTTCAATGTGTCTGCGCCGGCGACCCGGCCGAGCTCGACCAGCCGAAGATACAGAAAAGTGGGTTTATTCGTCAACTATATCATCTCTAAAATTTGGCTATTTCATAGCCAATCTGCATAGTTTTCGAAGCTAGACTTTTGCATTAATTCGAAGCAAATTTTTGTAAGATTCCGCTGACGTAAAATTGCGCTGGACGGGTATCTGTAATGTTTTTTTTAAAAATTGAGTAAAGCTCCTGTTTTCAGTTGCCCGTTTCAAACGGTCGTCCACCTCGAAAAAGCCGGCAAAGTCACAGATTGCTCGATGCGAGACGTTTATGGAGGTGAGTAGATTTTAATTTTTGCGTATTTTTCATTTACATAAATAGTTTATGACGTTTTTATCACTCTCTTGCTCTCTCCCTCTCTCACTCTCTCTCTCTCTCTCTCTCCCTCTCTCTCTCTCTCTCTCCCGCTTTCTCACGCGCTCTCGATTTCTCCCAGTCTCTCTGGCTCTATCGCTCTCTATCTCGGTCTCTCTGGTTCTGGTTCTGTCTCTCTCTCGCTCTCTCTATCTCTCTCTCTCTCTCTCTCTCTCAGCTTTCTCACGCGTCTGATTTCTCCCGGTCTCTCTGGCTCTATCGCTCTCTATCTCGGTCTCTCTGGTTCTGGTTCTGTCTCTCTCGCTCTCTCGCTCGCTCTCTCTCTCTCTCGCTCTCTCTCTTTCTTTCTCTAGCTTCCTCTGTTTCTTTCGTTTCTCTCTCCCCTCTCGCCCTCTCTCTTTCCCTCTCTCTCTCCTTGTGAAGATCTTCAACATCCCTGAAAAACACCTCCAATTTTCCGCTACACTTCTTTCCACCACACGATAATCGCAGTAATGCGATGATTCATAGGTTTATTATTGAGTGTAGCCAAACACTACTTCCCCCAAGTTAATAATCCCAATAATTCACGCCCGAAAATCCGCGGCAATCCTCCGTATCGTTACGTAGTCCCTCGGGGGGTTTGTCTGATCGACCGCCCCCCGCCCGTTAATCCCATCTTCTTTTCCCCACAATAAAAAACGGCCCACAAACACACACCTAAAAATGAGTGTTAATCCGTTCCCCCATCAGCACCCTGCCATTCCATTCTATGGCCCAGGCAAAAAAAAAATACTGAAGATATGTAGGGATTCTTGGCGGGACCAGGGGCAGGCATTGATTCTCCAATCCGGGAGGCACGGTTTAAGGGTTTAAAGGGACTGGAAAGGCAAGAATTTAGTGGATCTTATCGATTTTTTTCGATAAACGTGGAAAAAGCCTCCAGAATTTAAACTGGCGTTTTCTTAAAGGGATGGTGCCAGCAACATAGACAAAAGATTTAAGGCACTAAGCGTTCAATTTTTTACTGAGACCTCAGATTGATCAGATTTTTTAAAGCGAGAAGGTTTGAAAATTTACCCCTTACGTCCACTAGGTCTTGACAGCTACGCTTCACCCCAAAAACACGTGGAATTCGCATTTGAATGTTTGCCCCTTTTGTCATTTGCTCCCTATCAGAATGGGCTTCCCGTATTTTTGAATGCGGCGTAGCTGTCGAGATAGCCGAGAGAAGGGCTCGCGAATCCCTTCAAAACTACGAACTATGCTAACATTGCTGACTTCAAAACTTTAAACTAGTAAAATTCCCTATATACATAAGTTAGGGTGGCTAGAGGAGCGACGACTAGTGCAAGCATGACAACGCTCCGCTCCAAGCGACACCTTTCCCTTCTAGTCGCTGGCCCAACTTAAGACAATTTCTCTCTTTTTCTCCTGCATTACTGTCACACTCCCTTTAAATTCTCCTAGACGCTCCTCTAGCATCTTCCCGCTAAAATAAAACGCTGCAAGCCCAAAGACTCAATTAAAAATCAGAGCGAAATGCCTGGCTACAATCGGGCAGAATTCCAAAAAAATTCCGCGATTTCTTGGTTTTCAGAAATTGTTATCATTTCCGGGAACTACTCTGTCAACCTGAGAGCTATTTCCGGCTCCGGAATTCTTGAAAAACTCACTAAAAACCTTTTAGCTGTTTAGTTGTTTATCAGTACCTAGCTCATCCGCCCAAAGCAGTGGTCCACTGCCCTAGATTGCCTACCCCTTGCTGGGCCCCAGACTAGGGCCCCCGGTTGGGCCACATAGCAGAGTAAATAAATCCCCCCTCGCCCCCGAAAGGGCCCAAAGCGGCAGAAGAACTGAAGAAATGGCTCGAAAAAGACGCGTTGACAGGTCCCGAAACGAAAACCACTGAAATGAAACTCGGGGGAGGGGAGATGCCCCGCTTTTGTCTAGAGGGGAAAATAGGGACCTGCCGGACAATGAATATGTTTTAGAGAAATTGCAATTGAAAATTGTGAAAAGATATCAAAAGAGTCATTACGTAAAGAGTAGTAACGCGGAATTTCTGATAAATTACTCATTGTCAGTATTGTCAACTCTTGTTATTGTCATTTTTCAAAACTAGGGCAAGCCAGCAAAGCTTCTTGGGGATTTTGAGGATAATTTTGGAGGAATTACAGCAAAAATACTACGTATACAGCTGTAATGCGGAATTTTCGAGAAAAAACTGCTTGTAAAATCGCGGGTAAACTAGCAGAGATTCTTGCAAATAGCGGGGAAATGAGTATTGTATCAAAATACCTTTTTCTATCCCTGAAAAATGGTCGGCAATCTCGAAAAACCTTCAAAATCGGTTCACATATTACCGTCAAGGCAATCTAGCAGTGATCATTAGCGAGATTCTAAATTCTACGGCGGTAGGGCAAGCTAGCAGAGATCCTTTGCGGCGTTGGATATGAGTTAAATGCACAAAGTCGAAACTCCATTTTTCAGATCAAAGACCTCCCCGTGGTCGACATGCGATTACGGCATGTAAATCTGCAGACGATCGTCAAGGTAAGTCAAGTCAAGCCGAGCTAACATTCAAAGAGCGCTTAACTCTACGGTAGTTTAGCTAAATTGAAGTCGAAAATTGAAAACATCGCTATTTAGGGCTCCGAGAGCTACGAAGTGTACTTTAAGCGGCGGATCGCGTCGATCATCTCGGCCTACTGTGAGCACCGGGCGAACGAGTGCCCCGGGGTCAGCTTGCGGCTCACCAAGGTCAGTTTTTAGCAAAGTTAGTAAGGCAAAAATGTTGTAAATTAATGCCTTTTAAAAATACGCATAGATCAAACGTTTAAAATAAACTTAATCCTGCATCAATTCATGAATTTTACAAGTTTATATCACTAATCGATTCCTCAGGACAAGACAAACTTATTAGAAATTTGAGATTTTCACAATAAACTTTAACTAAATTAAATGCTTTATTCAGCCAGTTTTACATGACGTAATCGATTCTATTGTTAAAAATAAATTAATTACATTGTTTTCTCTAGTAAAAAAACCACTCTAATTTGCATAATCTTTAGGGAAACACGGTTTCCGAGGTATCAAAAGAGAGGGCGTGTTTTTCTGCGGTTTTTGACTTAACAAAGAATCTTAACGAAGGTTTCAAACTAACTTTTTCCGTTTTAATACTACACCAGGGTTGAAAAACCGCTTCGCGGCTTTTCAACCCTGGCCCCGCCTTCTCGAATGATATTCTTGGCTTTGCATAATTTTCGCGGATTCGGATGACGAAAAATGAAAAATGCTCTTGCCGTCCCTTTATATAGGCTATCGCGACTTCCGGTGCATGCTAATTTGATCCTAACAAAGAGGGGTGTCCGATTTTCCATGAAAAACTTAATTTTAATGTCGAAAACGTCATATTTTGTAAAATCTGATATCTGTGCAGTCATCTCCAGGCCATTACGCACCTAATGACGTATCGAACATACCCCTAAGTACTTCCCCTCTTGAGATACTACTGGAACACGGTGACGGAAGTTGCATGCAAATGCACACACACACACACACACACACACACACACACACACACACACACACACACACACACACACACACACACACACACACACACACACACACACACACACACACACACACACACACACACACAGACACTATTTTTTTATATATATAGTAGGATACGCTTCGGATTAAGCGCTCATTTCCTTAATTGGCCAGATAAAAACGATATACTGTATCATACTTCTCTTTTTGCTTCCTGTGCGTGCGTGCGTGGCATGTGAAGTGATACCTACCTTGAATTTAATGAATTTTTCTCCGCTTTAAACGAACCTGGAAAGGCAGAATATATAATGCTAACTTTGGCAGACGGCGTAGTCCAATTACAGTAACCAGATAGGCTTTTAAAGAAACCGGGAAGGCCAAAATTTTCAAGAAACTTAGATTTTACTGATCTTTGAACGTGTAACTTTTAAAAGTCTGAGATATTGATTATTTTAGGCATTAAAACCCTTTTTAGGTAAAATTTGTCGCCTCCTAGGTGGCAAAAATTCATAAGAAGAAATTATGCTGATTAGCATCCGGATCAAGAGCCTGTGTGTGCGTGCGTGCTGTTATGCTTCTTGTCCTTAAAAACGGCTTTCTAAAACCCTAAAAATAAACGAAAAATTGAAAGAAATTGGGCCGGCTTTAGGAGGAGATGATGTCCCCCGACGGCGTCCTGTACAACATCGACCCGTCCGAGCCGGTCATTACGCAGGTTTGTATAAAAATATACAATTTTAAATCATCCTGGTATTCAATTATGTCTTTGTTTAATTAACCATTGTCGTTAAAAACTGTATTTTGTACAGTCTAATTCTCAAAAAAAAGCAGAAACTTTCCAAAAAAAAATTAATTTTGTACAAAAACCCAACCATTTCAAGCGATTTTAAAATAAGATTTAAAGTTTATAAATTAACTTATTAATCATTCTATCGAGTTCCATTTAAGCTACCGTGGTCGGTGTCAATAAAAATCCAAAGTATAAAAAATAAAAATGTTAAAAGCTTGTTAAAAGCATTCGAAAATTTTGAAAAACTTTCCCGTGCTTCTCGGCCTTGCCTGTCCCTTTAAAAAATGCTTGAAAACGAATGTGGAGCAATTTTCTGAATTCAGAAATGGAAAAAAAACGCTAAACACTTCTTCAAAACTTCTAATTGTCGCTAGTCCTGCTAGTCCTGGCCCCCTAATTGCACGTTTTTCTGTGTTGTCCATAGTTGTCCCCCGTACATCGTCCAGTAAAAAGCGTACTGTAAGTACGATCAAAGGAATATTGCTGTATTACGGTGGGTAAAAAGTACTCTGGTGCCTAAGACATTAATGATAAATCACCGCGCTTGCCGAACCGTACACGAGTACGTTACACTCCTCTGTTCCCCACGGAAAACGTTGCAAACGTCTAAAATTGTCCTTGATTTGTCAGTTTTGTAACATTTCGAAGTCCTGGATTTTTCAGGAAAACGTAATCATCGTCCGGGTCGTGCCCGAGCCTCGCAACTACACGAGGATACAGTTTGCGGTCGCGAAACATGGCGTATTTTTCAAGCTCAACGACAAGACGCTCATCGATCCGGTTAAGGTATGTTTTTCGGGTGAAGGGCAGGCTAGCAGAGATTATTTTGGAAGCTAGACGAGCGTACCACGACGGGGGCTAGCAAATATTTTAGAGTGCCTATGGAATCCCTCCAGGCCTTGGGCATGCTAGCAGCGATCCTTGGGGAAAATTTCAAGCCTGAAAAGCGCATTTTTAGATCAAATACATCCTCGGTTCCCAAGTTGGCCCACTTTCACGGATACTCGGCGGGATTCGGATCGACAGCGTCCGCGTCAGCCAGTGAGTCATTTTAAAGGAACTAGGAAGGAAAAATATGCAAATGATACGCACGCTTACGATACCCAATTACAGTATCCGCCGGGTGCTGTCGAAGGCAGATACCGACAACTCGAAGCTGTTGTGGCTGCTCTATGGGGTCGCGGCGTTTTTCGTGATCTGCTGGACGATCGGAGCCATCAAGATCTATAGGTAAGAGAGAGAGAGAGAGAGAGAGAGGCTAGAGAGCGAGAGAGAGAGAGCTAGAGAGCGAGAGAGCGAGAGAGAGCGAGAGAGAGAGAGAGAGAGAGAGAGAGAGAGAAAGAGAGTTCCAGTTATACAGAGATCGAATGAGTGAGAGAACGAAGTAAAGTAAGGGAGAGAGAGATAGAGAGGGAACCAGTGAGAGAGAGAGAGAGAGAGAGAGAGAGAGAGAGAGAGATATGACGGAATGCGTCGGTCCATGTTTACCATGTTTCCCCGTGTTTTTGTGGACCCTCTTCTGCGTCTGTGTCTGGGTCCTTTTGGGCCCCTTTTTGGGCCCTAAGGGCCTCTCTTGGGGGATAGAGAAGGAGTGAAGATAAGCGAATCATTTCCAGAAATCGCGAGGAGAAGAAGCGTCGTGCCCGTGAGAAGAAGGCGAGCGAGGAGAATGCGATTGCCCGAAAGCCCGTCAACGATTATGGTGTGTGGGAGGGGATTTGCAAAAAAATAGGAGGGAAATTTGCATAATTAATGCTTAAAAACGCTTTAAAAGGCTTTAAATTGCATATTCACTGGTTTTTGAATCTTTGAAAAGTGCTTGAAAATCTATATTTTTCTTTTTTTCAGGCAGCATTGCTCCGGAGCAGCGGAGCAGAAGCCACAGCAAGAGCGAGCGGGGAAAGAGCGCCGAGAAGAACCAGGTGGGCTTATTAAAATAATTTATGTATAACAACTAACTAAATTAACCCACAAAAATTGTATATAAAAATCAAATTATGATAATTACGCCTTAAACTGCTAGCTAGCTTCCATATGAGGTTTCAAAAATTTTTGGATCGTTTAATTCAGTTAAAGTTCTAAATTTCAAAGCGATTATAAAATTAAAAAAAACTAAATAGATAATTTAAACTACGCAAACTTTTTAAAAATTGGAGATTGAGGCTACAGTTTAAATTAATATCTAAAATATTGCTTTTCCATTGACCACAACTCAAAGATTAAAAAAAATCAAGTTACCCATGATATTGTGTATTTTAATTGCTTTTATCTTTTTAAATGTGCTATTAAATCTTATTATTCGCGCTATTTTAATATTAAACTTTTAATACCCTTTTCCTAGATAATCAAGCCCAACGGCAGCTGCCGAGAGGAGCGACCAGCGGCGATAATCGTGGGCGGGTATACGGAGATTGACGAGCCGGGTCGGTTTTTAATTATTAATTTTGAACGTTCTAGCTTTTAGCTCGATAATTTTATAACAATAGATGAATGAAACTATAAATGTATCCTCTTACAGTATCAAAAACACCATCCGGACCTCGGATAGACGACCGAGCTGCGCGTCAAATGTTCGCCTGTGACCCCTCCCAGTTGCCGAAGGAGATGTCCTTCGATGTGTATGAGTGAGTCATTTGATTTTAAAGGGACTAGGAAGCCGCTCTCCGGCGATGACGCATTAACAAGGTCCGAAAAAAATCGTTGTGGATACATACGTTAATTCTAGCTTTTGTTCTTTCAGCGAAGCCCAGCTGCCTGTTTCGGATCGGGTGACGCCGGACAGCCGCGGCGCGGACACTGATGCTCAATATATTATAGGTGGGCTGGAGAGAGAAAGAGAGAGAGAGAGAGAGAGAGATAGAGAGAGAGAGAGAAATGGAGAGAGAACGATTGGGATAGAGTGAGAGATAAGGAGGCAGAGAGATGTCGGTCAAGAAACCCGAAAAAAATTGAAATTCTTATCCAGAATTCATTGAGAAATCCGGCAGACATGAGAAACCAGGTCTCCCGTGAGTTATGCAGAATCGGAACGGAAAACGGGATGTCCGGTCTGGATCCAATTTTTATAGCAGAGAGAGAGAGAAAGAGGGAGAGGAAGAGAGAAAGAGAGAGAGAGAGAGAGAGAGAGAGAGAGAGAGAGAGAGAGAGAGAAGGGGGGGAGAGCGCAGGAACGAGAGAGCTAAATCCCAATTCTAGCATCATTTCCGAGACTCCTATCTCTTCTATTGAACCTCCGATTCAGAAGCCCGCGCCCCCAGCTCAGCCGTCACTCCGACAGACGCGTCTGCAGATTTCTCGCGTAGCTTGACGCCTACGCTTGACGCAGTCACGCAGACGAATATGGTACTTATTAAAGCCTTATCTGGCAACAAAAAAAATAGGTGTAATATTACCGTAGTTAGCTTGCCGATTCCGCGACTTTCTGTAGCAACGTATTTCGCGATTTTTAGATGGCGCCACCAGTGCCAATCTTGGTGATGCAACCATCATCCAATTCCCTCTTCGAAACCTCACAACTCCCCGACCACAACCCAGGTACGGTAGCTTTCATGAAAGCCACGTTTTACCTTTCAAAAATTACCCTAAATTTGATCGCACCACCAAAAGTTCCGTTCGAGATTCAGTTTAACTCACCGCAAGATCATATTTGCTCATTCACCAACCCTCAGTTTGTGCGAATTCTTGCGTTTTTCAAAGCATTTTTACAGTCCGTTTGCCCTCCCTTTTGTTGCTTGCTGCTTGTCCTAAAAACACACCAAAAATGCAAATAGATTTTCTTTTTGTAAAAAAACCCAAAAACGGTTATTTTACAATAATTAGTGGATTTTTTAAATCACAGATTTTCAAAAATCGCTAATTACCTCCAAAGCCGCTTAATCTCCTCCATTCCTGCTACCTCCTCCCCCTGCAAAATCCGTAGCAAAGCGCATGCGTGGTGGCTGGGAATGCACACAAAAATCTGCTACCGTAGACACAAAGCTTGCCGTAGGTGTCAACGTTATAAAAGTGGCAAACTATGTAAAATGTGCGTTAAAATATGAGTAAAGTTTTGCTAAGCCCAACAAGAATTTTAAGTGCAACGAGAAAATGATATGTCGCTCAAACACACCTTTTCTAGGCAGTAAAAACATTTAAATTTCCTGCCAACATTATACAGGGTGTCCCAAAAAAAGCACCTTTCTGGCATTTCGCCGTATTACATCCCGTCGTTCCCATATTTTGCACACGGGTATATCAGACCCTAAATAACCACAATCCTGAGTTATAGCCGGATTGCTACAGTAGTTTTCAAGTTATCGCCAAAATCCTATTTTTTACGCGATTCTTAACAGTTTTTTTGGCTATCTTTTTGGACTTTGCATCGATTTGCATCGACTTCCGGCAACGAAACCCTAATTTCGCTTAAGATCTTGGGTAATTTTGCGTTACAAAAATTGTTGAAATCAACGGTTATTTAATTAATTTCTATCAGGAAAAAAATTTTTACGAATAAAGAAGGCTTCCCGCTTCGTTTTCACCTAATATTCAAGGGGTCGATTCCGACGAAAACCTTATGAAAAACGGATAATAAAGTTTATTTTTGCTGTATCTCAAAAACTATTGTAGCTGGCGGACTATAAATTAGGATTGTGGTTATTTAGGGTCTGATACACCTCTGGTCCAAATTTGGGACCGATCGGATGTAATATGGCGAAATGCGGGAGGGGTGGTTTTTTATGGGACACCCTGTAGATTGTTTTTTTTTGTTCAAATCACGATTTGCGTTTGGCTGTCATTAAAATATATAATTTTTGATCACTAAATTCACTCAAAACCCCTGAAAATGAGTACCAAAAGCGCACCATAGTCAAAACAAAAAATTCGCGTTACCATACCCTCAAAAATTACGCATTTGCATCACCGTAAATTACGGCACCGTACGCTACTTGCCGCCGCGCCGCCGCGCGAGGCCGACGCGCAAGTACGTAATTAGGTGCTCAAGTTTAGGCACATTAAAGGGACCTTGAAGGCCTGGTTATGGATTTATCACCTATGGATTCCCGATGCATCTTGCCGCGCCGCGAAACGCAACGCGCACAGCCTATCTCCGCCGGTGTAAAGACCGTTATTCCATTACCCAACTAAAATACTACGTGCGCGTTGCGTTGGACTGCACAATCTATAAAGAATCCTGAGCCAAAAATCCATAGATATGCCTTGCTGGTTCCTTTAATGCTTTCAGATTACAGTAGATCCTACTGTAGCCTCTACCGTAGCCTTACCGTAGCCAGCAAAAAGTGTGGGCTGGGTATTGAGTGTACGCAAAGTCAAAAAGTGTGATGAAAGCCGTGTTTTGACTGGGGTCTTCAGCCTCTGCCTCATCGTCCACAGGATTCGGATGTCTTCTCGGGGCCGACGACCCGTACGCACGACCTGCGTCGCGACGCGGCAGCCGAGCAGATGAGATCGACATCGGTACTGTGATTTGGACGTCTTCAAAAATATGATTATTATACTGTGACTGTCTCTGCTGAGCGTCTTTCCGCGTCTTTCCGTTCCTTTCGTTGTCTTACGTTACGGCCCCGGGGAATTTGTCTAGAAAAGCTTAAGCTATTTAAACTAAAGTCTGCGAGAGAGCGAAAGAGTGAGAGTGAAGGAGAGAGATAGAGAGCGTGCTTGAGAGAGAGATAGTGAGAACGAGTGCGAGAGAGAGAGAGAGTGTGTGTGCGAGGGAGAAAGGGAGCGAGAAAGAGACGCATAAAGAGAGAGAGAAACATAGTAAGAACGAGAGAGAGAGAGAGAGAGAGAGAGAGAGAGAGAGGGCGAGAGAGGTAGTGCGAGAGAGAGAGAGAAAGAGAGAGCGCGTGAGAACGCAGAGAACGTGAAAGCCAAGAAAGCAGGGAAGCTAGGTATAGCTAGTGAAGAGAACTCACAAAAGTGCAAGAAGGCTGAAGGCTAGAGAGCCAAAAATTGAGAGCGACGGCGATAAAGATAGAGAGGGGAGAGAGAGAGAGAGAGAGAGAGAGAGAGAGAGAGCGATAGCGAAATTTTGAGATCCTTCAAAACTAATTTCATTCGAAATTTGCCCCTCCCTTGTCAATGACGTGTCTGCCGTGGCCTCTTCGCTGTGTCCATGTTGCTTGAATTAGCAGAAATATAGCTTACCTAGCTTCTTCTATGAAAAACAGCCAATAAGACCCTTCCCTGCACTGTCCCTCGTTTTTCCCTCCTTTCTTTTCCCTAACAACTCTAAAAATATCGAATTTTCGCGATCAAAGAACTTTAGAACTTGTAGTCTGTAGCTTGGCGCTGTCCGCCAGGCTACAGATTACAAAGAGAAGGTTTTTGAGAATTGAAACTTCTGAACTAATCGAGATTCAGATGAAATCCTGGACATGCGGGAACGAAGGGAGAGCATGGAGAAGCCGAGTGGCATCCCCTTGCCAAGCCACTTAGAGAAAGGTAAGGAGAGAGAGAGAGAGAGAGAGAGAGAGAGAGAGAGAGAGAGAATGGATAAAAAATTTATGAGTATTTTTAGAGAATAAGCAGAATGAAGAGGAATGGTCTTCCAGCGAAGATGAAGCGGAAATCTATTACAAAATGAGCGAAGATGAGGAGGAACTGGTGGGTATCTTCGAGGTTTAAGATGGGTATCTCCTTAAAGAGAAGCATGACAGTATATTCAGCTTCATATTAAAGTTCCTGAATAATTTGGTTTGGCATTTGCCTAAAAAGATGAAAATCGGCACGCTCCTTTCTGCTTACTGCTCCTTTAAAACTAGCTTAAAGTGCTCATTTCAGGGGGATCCACTGGTTTAGGCCAGGATTTTCTGGGGGGCTGGGGAACCGGGGATCTAAGCTCATTAAGGAGAGGGCTGGCAGACTCTGAACCTATCTGCTTGGGACGCTTCAGGGCAGGGTCACATCTGCTGCCTGACTGCTCTCACGTCTCGCACTAATAATCACTGGGAAAATACACATGAAATGTCTATTTTTATATTCGTTTTATTTAGCTGTAGATAGGAAAGCTATAGTTTATTCGCCACAAAACACAAAAACAATAAATAGGATACATCGAACCTGTTTTATTTGGTGTCGGATGGCGTGTATCTAACCATGTCAACTAAAAAATTGCCATAATCCACCAATGGAGTATTTGGGGTCGCTAATAATACAGAAATAGCACGCATTTTCGTTTCTACTTCCGATAGAATGGCTGCACGAGGAGCACGGACGTATGCAGGCTTATAGATGGGGATCGGCAAGGTTAGGTTGTCCGTCTCCACTGCAGTTTTCTGTTATAATGCTCAATCTTTTGCAATCGACGCATCTATTCATATTTTGTAAAAAAAAGCTGTTTCAAAGAAAACTCACGCCATCGTCACTGATTTCTTCAATTGCGACTTTTCGAGAAGGGAAAAACGTGCCCATTCTCGTCCTCGTACAAGAACACATAGTTTTTGCCGCGTATGGACTGGGTCAAAGGCGGAACCGGCCCGTACATATTCGTTAGTTGTAGAAATGAAGTAAAAAGCCAGTCTCGTCGGTATATTCTTTTCCGCCCAATGGTTCCGGCACACTCTTAACGACTTTGCAACTTTGCGCGCTTGCCGCGACCGGCGGAAGAGGTCCCGGTTTGTTTGTTTTGACAGGTTCTTCTTTGCCACCGTCAACCTCATCGACGCATCTATAACAAGCTAAATAAAACGAATATAAAAATAGACATTTCATGTGTATTTTCCCAGTGATTATTAGTGCGAGACGTGAGAGCAGTCAGGCAGCAGATGTGACCCTGCCCCGAAGCGTCCCAAGCAGATAGGTTCAGAGTCTGCCAGCCCTCTCCTTAATGAGCTTAGATCCCCGGTTCCCCAGCCCCCCAGAAAATCCTGGCCCTAAACCTCGGCGTCGATTTCAGGGAGATGATTGGAAGCCTTTGGCATCAAAACCCAAGCTCCAAAACGGGATCCCGATCCGGCCACAGCGAGAATCATCACGAGAGAAGAAGACGACGTTGAAGCAGAAAACGAGAAGTATCCCGGAGAGCAGTTCACAGGAAGAGCATTCGGACGTATCTGGTGGGTAGAGGATAGAGAGAGAAAGAGAGAGACCATGAGAAAAAGAGTGACAGAGCACGAGCTTATCCTCAATTTTCAGATTCCGAAGCTTCAAGCGATGATGAAGTCGAAGTCCCCCCTGTTCAAACCAAACCCCCCGCGGGATACGGTAACGGAAGTGGAAGCCGAAGAAGCGCCAGAGGATGAGGGATATGCCTATGAACGATTACCAGAAGAAGATATCCATGCCACTGCCCCATGAATTTATCATTAAAGGGACGGGCAAGGCAGGATTTTGCGGATTTTCGCTACGGATTCTCTATGGATTTGGCTGAGCCGGGACGCCGCAACGCACGGGACGCCGCGCATTCGCTAAGCCGTCGTAATCGATTAAGCCACGGAAAAGCGTTGCGTTTCGCGGAGCGGCAAAATCTATATGGAATCCATAGCGTAAAAATCCATAAGCTTGCCTTGCGCGTCCCTTTAAAGGGACGGAGACACTAGGACATTTATGGCTTTACGAACACTTTAGCACTAAGAACGGATATACCCAGGAGCCTTGCGTGGCGATGTCATTTTCTAACGCTAGAGAATGCATACAACTTCTAATTTTTGAGTCAATAATGTCACGTATCTAGGAGCAACGTGTAGTCAAGCTTTGTTACCATTTTAAAATGCACTAAATTCACAGTTTGAGGCAATACCGTCTAGTTGATAGAAGCGATACGTAGTTGAGGCTTTCTGAGACTAGAAAACGCGTAAACAGCCAAATTTCTGATGCTTTACTGTCCCGTATATAGGAGCAGCTTGTAGTTGGTTCTTCATTAGCGGTAGAAAATACCAAAATGAAATTTTCGAAACTGTCACCGCCCCTTTAACGCCTACCCCACACCCTTTCATTTTCCCGATGATGACCGAAACAAACAAATTGGAACAATGTACACAGGACGATGCCGTAGCCGGTGATACTCGAATTATTTCTCGTGTGGATGTATACCCCCGGTTTTTCTTGCAGAAAGTATCTATGATAATTGCAGACAGAGAATTCTATATATATTTTGAGTTCTATATTTTGATTTTGTTTTGTGTGTGCGCCTTCCCACCCGCTCCCCCGGATAAATATATTTATTTGAGTTGTTTTGCGGCAAATTCAAAACAGTGCATGACAAATTTACAAAAAAAAAATACATGTTTTCGCATTAAAAACAGCAAATCCCAAGCTTATCTTGTACAGAATTTTGCGCTGATTCTAAATCTATTCAAAATCTGCGAAAGGATCAGGTCGAAAAAGTTATGAGGGGTTTTTAGGGCGGAAACGTAGAAAATTTGCCGAAATGGGACCATTTAGGGCCTTTTTCCCCCACTTAAAACCTTCATAATTTTTTGAACCTTATCATTTCGCAGATTTTGAAAACAGGCTCGGAATCAGCGCATACCCTGAACAATTTAGCCCTCTCCTCTGTTTTGCCCGGTTTGGCCCTTTGTTTCGGTTTGTCCATTCATCGGCACTTCCAACGGAAGTTTATGTGGTTACGCGGGGGTCGAAATTGGCTTCTCTGTTTGAAAATGAATCAGTGTTTTGGCTGGGCTTTCGCCTTAAAAGTTACTGCCCGTTTGTGGGAGTATCACCGCCTGCAAACAACCATTTTCTCGTGTGTTTGCCAATCTCGCAAAAGGTTTGGTCCAGGATGCTGCAGTTACTTCCAACCCTGCTCGTCCTTATTGGGATGAGCCTTGGTAAGCTGATTAGAGCCCTAAAAATAATTCGGAATTTATGAGTCGTAGCAGGGCTGAGATCACGTAGATTTTGTGAATGCAACAAATCCATACAGTGTCCCAAAAAAATCCCCCCTAGCCCCCTAGTCGTGTCCGATTTTTACGATTTAGGTATCTATCGAAAGCTCTCGGAAAGGCGAGTCCAGCACGTCTTGCCGATTTTCAAAATTTCAAAATTTTTCTATCATTTACTAATGTTGTTTTTTTGCAAAACGGGCTGTCGCGATTTTTTACGCCTTTCCTGGCTGCCCAGGACAGTTTTTTGAAGGCAGGTTGCGAAAACACAGCGTATAAACCGGTTAAACTGGACAAAAAAAGCGAGTGTTGTACAAAAAAAAGCGTGTCCTTTTGCATGAAATGCCGAAAATCGAGCAGAAAAGTCCGACATTTCGAAAATCGGCAAGACGTGCTGACTGGCCTTTCCGAGAGCTTTCGATAGATACCTAAATCGTAAAAATCGGACGCGACTGTGGCCGGCTAGAGGGGGGGGGTTTGGGACACCCTGTCCCAAAATCTCTGATGATGATGGGACCTCTGCAATTTAGCAGCGCCACCGGCACCGCCGCCAGGAACACTCGAGGAAACTGAAATGCCTTTTCAGGTAGGATTCTATATTCTGAATCATGACTCCAATCACTCACACTGCTTATTCACCTGAAATTTTAGGCCAACAACGTGTTCATCTACGCCGAACGAATCTGCATGTAGCGCTTTTACCAAAGCAAAACGAATATTTTTAGGATCAACAATGCCACCACAACATGGGGACGGGCACTTGAGGTTTTCCAGGGAGAGATGTGTGAGGGCCGTGCTCTCAAGTCGGATTGTAATTTATTCAAAAGCCGTCATCAGTAACTTTTACTACAGATGCCAATATCAAAACCTGCTTTGCGGGCGGACGTCCTGATAATCAACTGGAGAAGGCTTTGCCAAAACTGAAATGCAGGTAAAATAGTGGATCGGTGAGCATCAGAACTCACAAGGAAACCCAGCGGCTCGAAGTAGGAACTTAGTTAGTGAGATAGTCCATCTGATGCAGTTTTTTACGCTGATTCCGAATCAATATTTGCAGCTCATGTTTGCCAGTGCCTTTTAGTTTTCGAGTTACGCTCGTTTTACCGTTGAAAACAACGAGTTTTGGGCCAACAATCTTCTTTAGAATTTTCTTAACAAATCAAAAATAACGATTTATTGCCGGAAATAAAATTTTATTTTGATTGCATCGGAGTCCCCATAATTTGTTTACCCCGGCTCGATAAACTCCATAGTCACTTAAATATTTCAAGAAGTTACAGAAAACAGTTTACATCTCGAAAACTAAAAAGCCTTGGCAAACATGAGCTGCATATTCGGAACCAATTGGATAAAAAGGCATGCGATGAGCTATTTCACTAATAAAATAAAACTTTGCGCTAGCGGCTTCCTTGTCAGTTATAGCGGCTTTTAATTAAAGATTTTAGCATTGCACCCTTACTCTACAGCATGTATTTTGACCGGGTCGTTCGTGATTGCCCTGAGGAGAGCGAGGCGCAGCACATCACTGCCCGCGCCATGATTAATGAGGTGAGCACTAAAAATATCGGTCTAAAGGAAGGATACACCCTTTAATCTCAACGTATCATGGCCGTTTCAGGCGACATTCTATGCGAACTGGCCTCAAAAAAGGTCCGGTCGATCCACGCTGCTACAAGAATCTTGCGGAGGAGCTGCACGCGATGTACTTCGCGCTTAACCGGAATACGAAGCCGTACCCCGAAGCGTACACCGTGGCCTCAAACGGCTCGATGCATTGAGAATTTTTTTTACGTGATAAATGTTTGAACAGCAGTTTAGTTTAACTTGAATGATTTTTAACTACAGTTTAATTTTGGCAAAAATTGATGATTTTTGAGGGTTTGATAAAGGTTGTCTGATAAATTTAGGAGATCTCCGCTTTATGTGGTCTGGTCAACGGCATCGAAATATCGTACATTAGCCCTGGATACAGTACGAACATACGGTATCATTTTCCGGAAGAAAAAGACTTTTCTTATCGTACGACATGATCCTTTGCCCAAATACCGTGACACTATTGGAGCGTACAGTACGCAACTGTACACGCGGTTCCGTCAATGTAGCGAATCGGAAGTCCAAGGAAGGTGTTCTAGTTTTTTGGTTCTTCTTGGAAATTTTCTTTTCAACCCAAAGAACCTTTGTACAAACATTTCTTTTGAGTTGGCGTATTTCTAACCCTGCTTCAAATTCCGGCGGTCGTCTTTTGAATCGCTCGCCCGCCTCTGGCTCTCTTCCCGCCGCTGCACTGCCGCGACGCCCGGGCACGTAGCGCGGCCCATTTTTGTGGCATAAAGCACCTTGGCGACGCGCCCGCGCGCTGCGCTTGATTCGTTGCAAAATCCCGCTTTGGCTTCTCTGAAATTCGGAAAATACTAATACGCGAAGCTCGGCCCTTTAGGAAGCACATGCTGTGCCAGTATAGCATTGTAAAGAGCACCTTTCGCTGATTTCGGAATTCGGTTAGGCCAGCTTGTTATGCTCCGATTCATAACTTTGCTTTTTTGTTATTCTGTTCGTTATAATATCCTTAATGCGTGCGCCGTTATACAAATACGTTCAAAAGTGTGTGCATGATTTGCAACCCCATAGCGCGATCGATATCGGTTTGATAGCAAGAGCGTTCTGTCTCATTTGTGCTATTCCTTACCCTTTTTGACAGGGTTGGGCTGGTGTTTTTATCCTGATTCTACGAAAATTCTGCCACATATTTCATAAAAATATGCCTTGTCGTTTTCCAGCTCTTCCTTTTAGCGTTTTGTTTTCATACTGATACTTCCGTTTTTTTTGGCTCAGCACTATCAACTTTTTTTGCAGCATTTTGGTGATGGAAGGTGCCGAAGTCTCCATCAAAACCGAGCCACAAGATGAGGGTTTTTCCGGCGTTGAGGTCAAAGGTAAGGCTATTTACAATTTCCTAAAACAGAAGGAAAACAGTTTTTTTTTGAAAAGTCGTCTATCTTATTTTATGGTGTTTCATTAATTTATGAAAACCGTGTTTCTAATACTTTCTTTCCAGTCGAAGCCGACATTGATATCAAGGAAGAAGTCGCCAGCGTGTCCAGCGCCCCACAGTCAACCTCAGCTCACCCAACCATCGTCGACATAAAGCCCGTCTCCATCCCGATGCCCCTACTTCAGCAGTCTGGCGAGGTGAGCGAAAATTTCGATTTTTTTTTCTTAATTTTTTTTGCTTACTATATTTTATTTACTTAATTTTTCAATTTAGGTATTCGTCGGCGTGGGCGGGGAGAAAGAAGCCGCTCTGGTTGGCTTGGGTCTAAAGAAGCTGCGTTCCAGGGACAAGGATCGACTCTACGAGGCCAAGCGATACGCCATGGACATTTCGATTCGACAGATTATGCTCCAGCAACAGCAGGCCCACCAGCAGAATGTAAATTTTTGCCTTTTGGGCTCTATTCATACTTTTTTCAGCAACAAAAGCAGCACATGTACGCGCAGCGTTGGCGCTGATGGCCCGAGTGTATGTTGGCTCGATTTCCTTTGAGGTGAGCTTTTTGAAAACCTGAAATAGATTTTTGGGTTTTTTTTTAGGTAACCGAAGACAAGCTGCGCCAAATCATGAGCCCGTTCGGGCCGATCAAGACGCTGAACATGAGCTGGGATACGAGTACGGGGGTAAGGCAGCGATTTGGTTTTTTTACGTTGTCGGAGGGGCGAGTTTTTTTATAATTCCAGAAACACCTATTAACGTAAACCGAAGTATCTTGGTGTATTTAGTAAAATTTAGCTGTTTATTTAGTGCAAAACTATCCAGAAGGCTTAGAAAAAGTGGTTAAAATGTGAAACTTTGGTCAAAAATCTTTTTTTTTGGTATTTTCTAACCAAAAGTTGTAGTTATTATTAGGTAATTCTAAAAAGGATTCTAAAACGAACCTAAAACGCTTGCTCTTTTTATATTAGAGCCTCCCCGGATAACCCCGAAGCTCCAACGATATTCTGTTTTAGACTAAACTGTTTTTTTTTTCAGCACCACAAGGGCTACGCGTTCCTCGAGTTCGACGTGCCCGAGGCCGCCCAGCTGGCCCAGGATTCGATGAACGGCGTGCTGATGGGCGGGCGAAATCTTAAGGTGCTGCACCCCCGACTTCTGCAAGAAAGCCAAGCGGCAGCGGCGGTACGTGCCTGCACCGGCTTTTTAGTGTTGGGCTCGACCCGTCCAGTCCCGTTTCTTCAAGTAGTATCGTCGTTTTTTGACGTGAAAAATCATACCGGAACTATCGTTTTTGCCGGCTTCGACTTTTCGGACTTATCGAAAAAGACTCATTGTATTACACCGGAAAATGATCGTGAAAAGCTCCTGTTTTATTTATTAAATCTTGTTTTTCGTGTTTTACAGAAGAAATTGTCGTCTATTTCGAAGCTGCCTGAAATTCTGATTTACTCACCTTTCGGGTCTCTTTTTATTCTTGAAGCAGTGTGCAGGCACTACCTGCCCATTTTCAATGATATTAAACCAAAAAAGCTGCTGATTTTCGCCACTTTAACCAAAACCCCTAGCTTCCGCCCAATTCCGTGCCCCCCAGAAAACCAATTTAGTTTCGCGGTGGTCCCCGAACAACTTTGGTATTTTACAGCTCGGGCGCTCATCGGCAGCCACCCCGCAAGCCCAGCCCATCATCGACATGATCCAGTCGGAGGCCAGGAAATATTTTAGGCAAGCAGGAAGCGAAGATTTTAGAATGTTGTGTTTTTAGAGTATACGTCGCATCGATTCATCCTGATCTCTCTGAAGCTGATGTCAAAAGCGTGTTCGAGGCGTTCGGCGAGATTGTCAGTTGCCGATTGGCCCGGAACAATTTCAAGGGTGGCCACAGGTGTGTTGCGTTTCTAAATTTGAGTTTTTGGAATTTCCAGGGTGATAGAATTTTTCCAAGACGATGACATTTTTTTAAAGTGATTAAGTTTTTCATAATTTAACGTTTTTAGTAGCTTCTTTAAATCGATAAACTCGATAACTCGATAAAAATTTGCGAATTTTTTAGGGCTAGAAATATTGCGAAGTAGCAGAAAAATAGTCTTTACTAGAACACCCACATTCCATTCGACAAATTCGATACTAAAGAAAAATTCTCCCTCTCGGAAAGGCTACAGAACGGGTCGTTTCTATAGTGTTACGCGATAGATATAAATGTGGATTTTCTAGAGGCTTCGGCTACATCGAGTTCAACAACTACGCGTCGATGAACGAGGCGATCGCCGGCATGAACATGTTCGACTTGGGCGGGCAGCTTTTGAGGGTTGGTTTATACTCTACTTACTTTTAAAGTATTTTTTTTAGGTAGGCCGATGTGTAACGCCACCAGAAGCGCTCAGCTACATCGTTCCCGCGTCGTCGGTTAGCTAACATCCGCTTTTTGAATAAATTTTTCAATTTCAGTCCGCAATGCCACAATCCGCAGCCCTAGCCCTCGCCGCCGTCACCGCAAAGGTGCAAGCGATGGCCGCAACGCAGGTGTGATTTCGTGACACTTACAAAAATGGAAATGCTCTCCGGCGACTCTGCTGGGAGAGCGCAGCCCCGGGTGCACAAGCCACACTCTACGGTCCGTAGCGCCTGTCTTTCAGATCGTCGCCGGTCTGGGCTCTACCTGTTGTGCACTGCCTCGTCGGACGGGGTACCCGCAAAGGACCCCTAGAATTCCTTTGTCAGCTTTTTAGGCTCTTTTGCAAAATCGGGGCAAGGGGAACTAGCTTTTTCATTGGGACGCAAACTTTGGAAAATAATTATTTCCCTTAAGAGCAAAAATTTGCCTTTTCTGGCCAAGAAAGTGGTGATTTCCGTCAAAATTTCGAATTTTTCAGGCCTCGAAATAGCTTTTCGACGTGCAAAACGGCTATTTTTCGTCAGAACTTTTTTTTCAGCTATTTTTTGGACCAAATTTCAATTTTTATCCTATCGAGTGTTTCAATCCCAAACGTTTGAAACTTTTATCTAAAACAGAAAATATTAGATTTTTCGAACAAAATCTCGGACCGTCGAACCATTTTCTAACTTTTCTGATTTTTTTTTCACTTTTTTTACAGCTAAATTTGTTCAAAAAAGCTCTAATTCTTTGATATGGCATTTCTAGGTGTGTCTGGACTTTAGGAATCAATTCGGCTCCCTCACCCCCGATTTTGCAAAAGCACTGCTTTTTAAAATAACCGGCCCAAACATAAAAATTGCGTGGTGGTACACATTCCAACTTTTTAGGAAGTGCTCACAGCCAGCGTAGCGTACCTTCAACGTTACGGTCTCGTGTTTCTTTTTGCGGACATAGGTTACACGGTGCAAAATCCAAGAAAAAAAAATTGAAAATACCCATCTAACTGTCACTTTTTTCAGACGTTGAAGGCGATCACTGGCGCTCCTGCATCGCCGCCGCCGAAGGTGGCCACACCGAAGAGAGCTCGCTCGCCATCGCCGCCAAAGCCCGCGAAGAGGCCTGCCGAGCCGCTGGCAATTACGTCAACTGCGGACGCGGCTAGCCCGGATAATAGGCGCTCGAAATTTTGTGAGTTTGATGGTGTTTACTTAGCGGAAGCGGTGTTCTTAGCGATTTTTGTCGAAGATAATTTTCCTGAAAATCACCTTTTTAACGGAATTCAAAACTCCCAATTTTCGAAAGTAAGAGTATCGAAAAATTGAATTACTGTTCGCAATCTTTTTCGAAAGTATGGATTGGAAATCTACTGAATTTGATCGGTGTTCTTTTAGCGAACTACCTGCCCAAGTCGTCACCCCTCCACCACCTCCACCACCGCTCGGCGGCGACGACGCCATGGAGGTCGATGATCAGACGGAGCAGACTTCGGCCGCGATACCTCCACCCGGTCTCGTTCAGGTAATTTACAACGTATTTGAAATTGTATTGATTGATTCCAATTCACGTTTTTCAAAATAGCTTTTAAAAATATTGAAAACGTTGTGGGATTTAACTCATATTTCAGCGTTCCTAATTCAAGTTTAAATTTTTCGTTCAGGTCCCGCAGCCAACCATTGTCAAGCCGAAGCTCTCCGACGGCGCCGGCGCCCCGCAGAAGAAGAACCAGAACAAGAAGAAGGGCGGCATGCTGGATCGTATCAAAACATATGTAAGGACTTTTGAAAATTTCGAATACAATTGTTATAGCAATTTGACCCGACCGCCAAGGCGACGTTCGGAGCACCGATAGGAGAGAACGGCGACGAAGAGGAGGAGGAAGGAGAAGATGGTAATTTAGCTTTTACGAGATAGTAACTGTTTTTCAGAAACGTTGATGATCACTGCCTCTGGCGAGCGGAAGCGTGACGTCCAATCGTTGGCGCTCAGCCTCATCGACAAGGGCAACCAACAAGTGGCCGTGAGGGGTGGAGGATCATCCGGTGGAGGAAGGGATAGCCGAGACAAGGTGGGTTTTGGTTTAAATTTAATCTACTGGTATTTAGTGCTATAAAGAGCTTATTTTTATTTTTATTAACCTATGTTTCTTTGTTTTCTATTATTTTCTATTTAAGTTTTTAAATTATAGATGTTTTCCTGGTAGCCTTAGAGAGCTTAAAAATCAAAAATGTAATTTAGTTGCTTAAAGCGACGAATTTTATTTTTCACTTTCAGAAGAAGTCCAAAAACAAGGAACCGCAACCGGCCTGGAAAGTGGCGGCCAAGGAGAAGCGGAAGGCTAGGAGAGACGCAGCGCAAAGTGGCCCGAAGGTAAATTTTCGCATGAATTTGAATTTAACTATTCTTTTTTTAGTTGAACACTGAAGCAGCGATGGCTGCCGTCGAAAAGGCCGGCTTGATGAACGATGCTATCATCGAGAAGGAGGTCTGCTCGGAGGAGGCGACGCTCGCTTCACAAGAAGGATTGGAGATTCGGTGATTTTTACATATTTTTATTTTGTTTAATCTATATGATTTTTTACTTGTTGAATTATTTTATTTTTTTAATAAGTCTGCCATTTTACGATACATTGATGACGCCCATTTTTCAGAGGCAACGAGTCTCGCCATCTACTGATGACCAAGCTGATGCGCATCAACCGCTCGTGCATTCTGCTGCTGAAAAACATGGTCGGCCCTGAGGATCTTGACGAGCACCTAGAGGAGGAGGTTAAGGACGAGTGCTCGAAGTATGGTCGTGTTGAGGAGGTTGGGCTTGCCATTTTGATTTTGTTTACTGGGATTCAGGTGCTGATCGTCAACGACGAGGCGAACGCAGTCGTCAAGATTTTTGTCCGCTACGCCGAGCCGAAACAGGCGAGTTTTCGCACCTTTGTATTGGTTTTATTAGGAAGGTGCTTTCGCAAAAGAAGGTAAATTGTCTAATGTCAATTATGCAGGTGGACGACGCCAAGGCGCAGCTCGACAATCGTTTCTTTGCCGGGCGGACGATCAGCGCGGTCATCTACGACCAGGCCCTCTACGAGTTTGGCGACTACTCGGGTTGAACAGTTTTTTGCGGGATTAAAAATACCTCTTTTTATAACTACCGTTTTTCCCCGATTTGGTTCGCTCTTTCGGCTTCCAAAAAACGCGATCCCATAAAGTTCCACCATTACTAGTCTTTGCAGCTGTTTTGTTGCTGGCTTGTTCATCTCCTCGCACCCTCTTTGCTTTATATAACTTTCTCCTTGCCGCGAGAGATACACAAAAAGAGCCTCGTTTCTTCTTCTTCGTCGTTGTTTCCGTTTCCGCTAACCCGTGTTTATCCCGTTTCCTTGTCCCAGCCCCCTTACCCGGGTGTTATTCAAAAATTAAATTTATGGTGACTCTGGACAGGTTATAAGATTATTACCTAGAATAAATGTTTGCGTATCGGGATTCTTTACGCGGATGAATATTATTACACTTTGGAATCAACTATAATAATTTTCTTGACGCGTCTGTCCGTCCGTCCGTCTGTGTGAAGCCGAATTCAACTCGAAGGGGAAAGGAGCTAGAGCTTAGCTCTCTTCGGATTCGGATAGTGCGCCGTCAGAAACCCCCAAACTGATAAAAAAATTATGAAAAACTTTTAGTTTAAATTATTAAAATTAACTTTGAAAGTTTTTTCCTTAGTAAAAGGGGTGGGGGACAGAGGTTGGGCTGATTTTGGACATAGTGAGCCAGGTCGCGCGCGTTTCGTGGATGAAAATTTTCACGGGGGATTTCATTTCTTTTTTGCTCTCATTCCATCCGGTCGGTCGTTATTTTTGTTTTTAAGGGTTTCGGCTAGGGGAGGTATCTGTAGCCATCAGGAAGGTATTTAGGTAGTTTTTGACTGGGATTCAGCTAGGGAGGTATCTTAAACAATCAAGAAGGTATCGAAGTAGTTTTTGAAGGGGATTTCAGCTAGGGGAGGTATCTGAAGCCATCAGGAAGGTATTTAGGTAGTTTTTGAAGGGATTTCAGCTAGGGGAGGTATCTTAAGCCATCGGGAAGGTATTAGGTAGTTTTTGACTGGGATTTCAGCTAGGGAGGTATCTTAAGCCATCGGGGAAGGTATTTAGGTAGTTTTGAAGGGATTTCAGCTAGGGAGGTATCTTAAGCCCATCAGGAAGGTATTTAGGTAGTTTTTGAAGGGGATTTCAGCTAGGGGAGGTATCTTAAGCCATCGGGAAGGTATTTAGGTAGTTTTGACTTGGGATTTCAGCTAGGGGAGGTATCTTAAGCCATCGGGAAGGTATTTAGGTAGTTTTTGAAGGGGATTTCAGCTAGGGGAGGTATCTTAAGCCATCGGGAAGGTATTTAGGTAGTTTTTGAAGGGGATTTCAGCTAGGGAGGTATCTTAAGCCATCGGGAAGGTATTTAGGTAGTTTTTGACTGGGATTTCAGCTAGGGGGGTATCTTAAGCCATCGGGAAGGTATTTACGTAGTTTTTGAAGGGGATTTCAGCCATGGGGGGTATCTGAAGCCATCAGGAAGGTATTTACGTAGTTTTTGAAGGGGGATTTCAGCCATGGGGGGTATCTGAAGCCATCGGGAAGGTATTTAGGTAGTTTTTTGAAGGGGATTTCAGCCATGGGGGTATCTGAAGCCATCGGGAAGGTATTTACGTAGTTTTTGAAGGGATTTCAGCCATGGGGGTATCTGAAGCCATCAGGGAAGGTATTTAGGTAGTTTTTGAAGGGATTTCAGCCATGGGGGTATCTGAAGCCATCAGGAAGGTATTTACGTAGTTTTTGAAGGGGATTTCAGCCATGGGGGGTATCTGAAGCCATCAGGAAGGTATTTACGTAGTTTTTGAAGGGGATTTCAGCCATGGGGGGTATCTGAAGCCATCGGGAAGGTATTTAGGTAGTTTTTGAAGGGGATTTCAGCCATGGGGGTATTTGAAGCCATCAGGAAGGTATTTAGGTAGTTTTTGAAGGGATTTCAGCCATGGGGGGTATCTGAAGCCATCGGGAAGGTATTTAGGTAGTTTTTGAAGGGGATTTCAGCCATGGGGGTATCTGAAGCCATCGGGAAGGTATTTACGTAGTTTTTGAAGGGATTTCAGCCATGGGGGGTATCTGAAGCCATCAGGAAGGTATTTAGGTAGTTTTTGAAGGGGATTTCAGCCATGGGGGGTATCTGAAGCCATCAGGAAGGTATTTACGTAGTTTTTGAAGGGGATTTCAGCCATGGGGGGTATCTGAAGCCATCAGGAAGGTATTTACGTAGTTTTTGAAGGGGATTTCAGCCATGGGGGGTATCTGAAGCCATCGGGAAGGTATTTAGGTAGTTTTTGAAGGGGATTTCAGCCATGGGGGGTATTTGAAGCCATCAGGAAGGTATTTAGGTAGTTTTTGAAGGGGATTTCAGCCATGGGGGGTATCTGAAGCCATCGGGAAGGTATTTACGTAGTTTTTCAAGGTGATTTCGTCTAAGGGAGGTATCTGTAGCCATTAGCGGGGGTATTTTTGGAAAGGTAGGGATGGATGTGATGGTGTATGGCATGAAGGGAAGCCCGAAGGCCAGATGGTTACAGTCGCGAAGCGACTGGAACCATCTGGTATTGTGATACAGCATCAGAATTTGAAAGTTTAAGCGGACGGAAGTGACGGAAAATTCAAACGAGCTTTTCGGATTCTGGAAGCAATCTGCGTTGCGTATCAGAATTTTTACGCGGATTTCACGATCTTTAAAGGATTGCAGTGCGGGATATTGTGTAGCTGTTTTTTTGACGGATTCATGGATAAAATCTGGTTTTGCAGCTCCGGTTGATTTCAAAAGAAACTCACACGCTGTCCACGTTTCATGGCTGGGTTTTCAAGAATAGGACAAAAACAGCGGGCTCTAGAAGCCAATTGTTCGGGCTCAAAAATGTAAATGCCTTTCCCACGCATTCACGAGCATATAAGGAACGTAATAGAATGTAGTTCTGCTACGAATTCCGATGAATTATTGGCTGGTGGTCCTCCCGGTTTTATTTCTGGGTTTAGATGCAGCGAACGGTAAGTGGTAATTGCTAAGAGATTCTAAACTGCGGCTTTTAATTATTAAATTATATGAGAAAACGTGACGAGCCCCTAACAAAAAAATGTTAGAGACGCCGAGCATGAAATCTTCTAGGATCTGATCGCCTTTGCTTGGACCAATCCCTGTTGACGTTCAACACCGTGGAGATTATAGGCACTTTCCCGGAAAACGGAATGTAAGTCTGTTGTCATATAACATAACAGTAAATTCTAGAGGGAACTGCGGTATCCGCAGCAAGCCAAATGCCACGCTGTTCAATATTGCCTTTGGGAATGGCACCTATAAGATTCAATCTGGGGTAATTGCTGAATTTTGGGTTTCGGGTGAAAGTCACTGTTTCTAGATTGGCAGCCAACAACAATCAAAGACATTCGAATACTCCTTTCCTGGCAAGAACTTTGAGTTGCATGTCAAGTAATAGAACGAGGTTACGACTGACATCGGTTAATTTAGAGTGCTCGACGGCCATATGATGCAAATTATGGTCGTTGTTGATGGACTACATCAGTATTCGTTCCTGCAAATTTCGGATGACCCGGCAATTGACATAGGGCGGAGCCGTGTTATTGATGTATCGGATTATTCATGCCTGTTTTTTCGCAACAAAATTGTTAGGTAAAAGCTATTTTGGGTGTTTTTAGTGCTCGCAAATGGCCTCCTGGGACGTGATAAACCGGGATGTGTCGCCTCCTTCTGGTCCAGCGGGATTTGCCTGTTCGGTCCGTTTCTCTTCACAGGATTGTATGTCGGGATTCATTTTCAGGGCGAAGTTCCACTCAGCACAACACCGACGGAAGGTTGGAGATACTATGATGGTACATAGCGCTACCTTGTAGCCAGTTCACACCACCGCTTATAGCCGTTTGTGTTTCCCCGTTGGTGGCCGGCCAGAGCATTAGTATGGAAAGCTATTTCACTGAGCAAGACTGGAGCCTTCTAACGTCAGGGAACGTCGACTGGTTCAAGTACGTTCGTATTTTATGGGATAGGCTGCAATCTCTTAAAGGGATCGTGCACAACAAGGCCGCTGTATTTGCGCGTGTCATAATAGTCGGTTTCTCTATGAGGGACCGGAGCTAGATTATGATATTCCCTGTGGTTTTACCTATTATCTGCCTTATAAGTTGGGGCTCCTAATAACCCACTTATCTACCATTTGTGCCGAAGGCTGCCCTCTCTGAATTATACAATCACTAGCATGAACATGTGTGGCTGTATCTAGTTTTCTTTATTGAGGCAAAGGCAATTTAAAAGATTCTGAGACTACCAGGAAAGGAATAATTGGCCAGCACAAATAGGTAAACCCCAATGTAAAAATGAGTCCTCCAACTAAGAATTCGCTTCGGATCCCGGCGTCCCGAAGGTGCCGCCGGGTCCTTGCGTAAATCCAAGCAACGGGATGGAAGTAGAGTGGAGCTTACTCAAATCGGATTTGAATAAGATTTGAATTATTGAAATCAAACCGATTTGGCTTGAATCGAGGTAAGCTTGTTCAAATCAAACCGATTTGAATTGGCCAAAGTCAACTCAAATCAAATCAAACCGATTTGATTTGATTTGAGTTATTTGAACAAGATTTGAACAAGAATGGGCAAGGGTTTTCCCTAGATTTATGCAAAATGTCAAATAATATTATGTAAATCTCGGATGCAAAGTGACATTTCGCCTTTGGCCGCTTCCGGAACAGCGCCGAGCGCAGCGCCGGATAGTTTTGGATCAATTCCAAGCGCTAAGACCACATTTGCAAACGTTTTTGGCGGCTATTTTATCATTATTACGCAAGTCGGCAACACTAAAAGCCGAAATTAAGGTAATTACCATCCGTTTCAAATTTGCATACTCGATTTGCCTGTTGTTCAAATTACTCAAATCAACTCCAATCGCAGCAGATTTGATTTGAACTGCCTTTTCTTGTTCAAATCAAATCGGTTTGAGTTGAATAAGAAAATCTTGTTCAAATCGTTCTTATTCAAATCAAATCATATTTGAGTCCGATTTGATTTGAATAAGCTCCACTCTAGATGGAAGGTTGTGGGAGGGGAAGACTAAAGACTCGGGGGGGTCCCCTAACTAGGGAATTTTTTGGGGCGGACATCGGACCTAGCTATGTGAGTATGTGCATCTTATAGAGCTCGACGAGACGAATCGTTTCATGTAACTTTTAGCTGCGGATACCTTTTTTTAATAAAGTTACAGCGGTTTAAAGTTTTTCGCGATACCTTCATAAGCCCTCCCCACACCCCAATCGCCGTGCTCTGGTAGTCTAGTGTGTCTAGGTTAGTGATCGGCGTCCGGGGATGGTGACGAGGGTACGGATCCGCTCACGATTTTTATTTTTTTGCTTTTTGGTCGAAAGCTTCCATTTTGCATCCCGAAGGACTACATTAACTTTTTTTTCATTTTTCGAATCATAACCCCCATTAAATAAACATAAGCGGAACACAGAGGATTTTTCGAGCTATAGTCATGGCTCGGACATGGTGAGATCTTGGTGTGGGTGAAACTTGCAAAAAACACCAATGAATACTGTCACCAACTTCTTTGGTGTGGGTGCTGGAGGTAAAAAAATGAAAAAAAGTTAATGTAGTCCTTCGGGATGCAAAATGGAAGCTTTCGACCAAAAAGCAAAAAATAAAAATCGTGAGCGGATCCGTACCCTCGTCCCCATCCCCCGGACGCCGATCACTAACCCACTAGACTACCAGAGCACGGCGATTGGGGTTATGAAGGTATCGCGAAAAACTTTAAACCGCTGCAACTGATTAAAAAAAGGTCTCCGCAGCTAAAAGTTACATGAAAACGATTCGTCTCGTCGAGCTCCACAAGATGCACATACTCACATAGCTGGGTCCAATGTCCGCCCCAAAACATTCCCTAGTAAGGGTACCGGGCAGTTAGGGGGCGTGGCAGGGAATGGTGCCGCAGGCACCATCCCAGCTGATACAGGACACGCGGCCGGGGATTGAACTCGCAGCATGGATGCCCTTTTCGCTAATAACCTGGCCTGGCGCCCTCTGCGTCACGCAAGCCCTCATTAGTGCCCCGTTTTGCCGAGAAAGCAAACCCATCTGCAAAATCCGGCAACGTTCCAGGTGTGCACGCGTTAAAAAATGACAAATTGGGTTGGAGCGCGACGTCGAGGGAATCTGTACGCATAAAAGCGGAGCGCGAAATTTGCAATTAGCCGGCACCTCCAAAATTGCGTTCTCAAACCTTTCCGGTCCAACGTATGATTACAAAAACTAGGAGGTGCAAACTGCTATGATTATTTAAAGACATGCTCAAACTTTCTCGAAATGAGGGTATTGCACAAAAACCGTTTTGCGCAAACAGTTAATCAGGTTCGTCCCAATAGCGAGCTATTTTAGTCGAAACTAGGGTCTTTTTGTAATTATTTATTTAGTGTTGGGTTTCAATATGTTTCCAATTGGGAGCAGACCCATGGAATCGAGACAGTATTGCTTGCGGAGCTATCGAGCAACACTGCAGTTCTAAACTCTTGGCCGGAACAGGTATAAAAGATTTAGTGTTTTTCATGTTGCTTTCGCTATTGACAACGTTGGTATCAGGTTGGAAGGTAAGTCCTGTCGCCGAGATTTGGAAGGCTGGCTAAAATCGTAGTTAGCTCCATTCTGCACATGCGATATGTCATTTTGTAGCTCCCTGCCTGAACCGTTTCGGGAGGAAGGTCCTAGCCCGCCAAAATCCAGGAGGACCGAGATACGGGCCCAAGAAGTTTTTGGAAAAATTGAGCGAAAGCGTTTTTGCAAGTTATCTCTGCATAGAGTGATTTGCATACGATACCTTTAACGCCAATCGATAGCCCTCGAGGAGTAGATATCGATATGTAGATCTTGAGATCATCAAAATTGGACACTGGACGGCCGAGATATGGGCCTTTGAAATTTGGACCATTTCTTAGAACTATTCCCGATTTACCATGCATTTTTTCAAAATCCGCTCGGCGCGTCCAAAATTAAAGCGGCAATTTTCGGCACCTGCCGGTCAAATCCAGCGAAATGTATGGGATTTCGAAAAAGTTCTAAAAAATGGGCTAAACTTCAACGGGCCATATCTCGGCCGTCCAGTGTCCAATTTTGATGTTCTCAACATCTATCGATATCTACTCCTCGAGGGCTATAGATTGGCGTTAAAGGTATCGTATGCAAATCACTCTATGCAGAGATAACTTGCAAAAAACGCTTTCGCTCAATTTTTCCAAAAACTTCTTGGGCCCGTATCTCGGTCCTCCTGGATTTTGGCGGGCTAGGACCTTCCTCCCGAAACGGTTCAGGCAGGGGAGCTACAAAATGACATATCGCATGTGCAGAATGGAGCTAACTACGATTTTAGCCAGCCTTCCAAAATGTCGGCGACAGGACTTACCTTCCAACCTGATATATTAGGCGCAATATTGGCAATGCGGTGATTCCTTAAAGGGGCTACGAAATGCCAGAAATTGAGTGACGACCCGAAAATCGGTGCCCTGTACGTCGGAGGCCTCTGTACACCCAGGGGCCCGGGAAGTTCGAAAATTTGAAATTGCCTGTTGTCACCTCGAAATCACGTTCTCGGCTGTTTCTGGGCCAAATTTGATGAATAAAACACCAAAACTATTTAAAATTGAGTTAGGATTTCAAAAATGGGCTCAGAATACGCAAATTATAGTGTTTTCACAAAGAAACCGGGCAAAAACAACTTCGCGCAAAAATCGAAAGAGTGAGGGCTCTCGTTCCGCAGCGCCCGCGGGCAATTTGCCAGAAATCAAAGAGCCCTCCCAAAAGGGCTTTGATTTGGCAGTTCGGAGCCCCTTTAATTCGTATAATACGATTTTAAAAACGCCAATATCATATTTAGTGATGCAAGGCATCTTATCTCACCCGCGTTACACATTGCCCGAGACTGGTACTACACGTTTTTTAGTTTTCCGCCGACTACTCATCAGTCTGGCCCTCTAGCAATCTAATTAAATGGAAATATACGTAATGATTCTTTACCGAGCCTATCATCGAGTTACCTAGTTACCTAGGTGGGACGCAGGGACAGATCACTCTAGAAACCGATAACACCCAATTGGAGCCGTGGATCTTTGAGGATCCTTATTTTCCTGTCGGCAAACCGTTAATTTTCGAGGTATGTTTGCAGCCCTCGAAAAATTTAGAATCGTCAACTAGCCTAATTTCTTTGGCCAGAGGCTAAAAAACCGTTTGTAGTGTTATGCAAGCGATTGCGCGATTACATCCGAAGGAATGCACTCCTACGAGATGGCCGCCTGCGAGGTAAGCAACATAATCGATACAAGGTCGTAATAATTTTCGGTGCTAATGCAGTTAGGGGGGCAGTCCGAAATTGGTAGTAAGAGGCTACGAGGCGCTCCGATTAAGTAACTTGTTTTTTAGCTTAAGCATAGGCTTAAGTTAGCTTTAACTATGCTTATCTTCAGCTTAGGCTTAAGCTTAAGCCCAAGCTAAGCTTATCTTGAGCCTTAAATTGACTTACGAGGTCAAAATGAGGTCATTTAGTGCTTAGACTAAAGCTAAGCTTAGCTTGGCTTAAGCTAAGCTTAGGCTTCGTTTGTATGAAGCTAAGCCTAGGCTTATTATGCTTAGCTTTGATTTTCCAGAGGCTTCGAGTTTAAAAACGGCATCTGGAGCGTCTTGTAGTCAAAATCCGGACTGCCCCCCGATTGCATTAGCACCTAATTTTCTGCAGCCACCTCCTCCGAAATGCGGCAAGGGCAACAATCGGTGGGTCCAATATTATCTCATTTTCAAAATTCTGGGAACGAAACTATGATTTCACAGTTGTTTTTGCAGCAAGCGTCGTAACGCTGCATCTTCGTCCGATCGACGCGATCAGCTGAAAGCGCTTCTGGGCGGCCGGCTGAAGTTTCCGAAAAAGTTAGGACGACTGTTTGACGCCAAATAAAAAGTTACATGCCGTAACTGACCCTTCTGCACAGCTGTATTCAATGATGCAACAGTGTCAAGCGTAACTTTTTCTTCAAGCACAAAAGCCTCAACAGTTTCAAAACGACTTTTATTTACAAAAAAAACCACACACAAAGGCCGGTAAAGCAAATGCAGCATCACAGACAGCAAATAAAAAGGCATTTTGGTGGACATCTTTATTGGTTAGTAGGCCGGGGGAGAAGCACAAAAACGAAATTTCATTCACCTAGAGAGAGAGGGACAAAGGCACAGCGAGAGAGCAGGGCAGACCAGATGATTGCATGTCGAGGACACGTATACATATAGAGGGTAGGGGATGGGAAAGGCCTGGGGGCAAGAAATACAAATAAATAGTGAGAATACAATATATGAGTAGGCTGCAGTAGCCAACGAGCATGATCCGATTATTCAGGCACCGAGTTGTACATGAGGATGGCGAAGCAGACCATTGCCGTCCCGAGTACAAAGTACGCGCCGATGTAGACGCCTGAAAATTCGGTTCAGAAAACGTATTTCTATTTTTGGAAAAGGTCCCGGATTTGTCTTATGATTTTTGCTAAACAACAAAATATAAAAAGTCGATTTATAAGGGCGGAAAAATGTACTTTTTTAACTAGGAAACAAGAAAAACAACTTAAAATCAGTTTGAAATATAGAATTGAGATTTTTTTGACCGCTAGATCCACGGAAATTGAAGCTTAATCGTCTCGTAAATCAAAAAGTACAAAACGAAGTTTCTTTTCCGCCTAAAATGGTTTTTGAAACGTAAACCACTGAGGCGTTTTTAAATTTTTGAAAAATGCGTCTCTTTGTAGTTGTCCTCTTTTGTAAAATTCTCATTTTTCGGAGTTTCTGATTTTACTAGAGGCTACAAAGTCCAAAAGTGAGATTTTTGAGCGCGTAACCTTTTTTTCCAGAAACGGTTCTCAACCTCGTTTTCCTTCTAAATCTCGAGCAAAATACCGTACCCTCGAAGACGAACAGCGACAGGATGACGACAAAGATGACGGACACGGCCGAGGCGAACGATTTGTACAGGTTGTCGAGGTGCTTCATCACCAGCGAGATGTAGATGCCGCCGACGGAGAGCAGGCCTAAACACGTAGAATTTGACGGCACCAGGTAAAAATTAGAAATGACGCATGAAAAGAACATACCAACAATGATGAACACCTTCTCGTCGTACCCGTAGAAGAAGCCCTTCTCGCGGATGGCGCTGTGCTCGTTGAGGCAGCCGAGGGCTGTGACGATCTATAAAAACACGTTTTTAAAACCCAAAACCTTCAAAAACATAAAGTCGACAACAACCAACCACTCCGCAGCTGTACATTTGCAGATTCCGAATCCAGAACGGCGTCGAGCCACCGTCTTTCAGCATTTTCTCGTAGTAAACCCCTAGATTTCTTTATCCCATTTTGAACAATTTTTCTAACCTGCAAATCCAGCCGTAAAACAGGTCGACAAGACGGCGATAATCCCGACAAAGTAGTTTTCGACATTGCCGGCCTTGACCACGGATTTTTGTTGGATAGTGTCGAGCTTAATTATAAAAAAGTGTGCATTGGCAAATCAAAAAACCTGTACAAAAGCGACGCCGACGAAAAGCAGGAAAATCGCGACCCAGCGCTTGCCGGAGAACTTCCGGCCGAGGAACGCCATCATGAACAGGGCTGTGGTGACGACTTTTAGCTGGGTTGTCACCTGAAAAACTATATAAAAAAAGATTTCACGAATAAAAACTGATTCTACAATGTCTCGTATTATTATTAAACGCAAAAAAAACTTTAAATCTCACAAAAAATACAAAAAATCTAGATTTTTTCACCCAAATGCCGGATCTTCGATAAAACTGAAATTTTCAAAGATTTTTGAAGTTTTCTAAATAGGATTTCCGCTTGAAAAAAAGTACATTCTAGCAAAAAAGCCTTTCTTTTGAAAACTATTAAAAACAGCTTAAAACTGCGATGAACTAAGCTTTATTTTACCTGGTAAACGCCCGCATCCAAATTGCTGAGCGCCACGAAATCGAGGTTGTTCTGCAGCGCGTAGACGACGGATGGGACGGACATCTTGGCCAGCTCCCACGGTTGCCCAAAGTAGTGCTTTTGCAGGGTCTAGAAAATTAAACAATCTTTCAAAAATTCTCTACATACCGTGCCAAACTTGCTGATCGACAGGTTGCCCTCCCTGAAGATCATCGCCAGCGTGATGACCGTCTTGATGAACTCGGCGCACAACACCACGGTCGTCGAGGCGTACAGCTAAAAATTTAATAGAAAAAGTTATAAAATTGCGCCAACGTCTTCAGGGATCGTCGTAGAGCGGGTGTAGCGCACGGAGATTGTGTAGCCCGTCCACAGCACCGTCATTGAGGCTATTACATAGCATTTGAAGGCGAACGAGGCTTGCGGGGCGGCGGATGAGCCTAAAAAAAGTAAAATATAAACTGCAAGCCACAAACAATGGAAAACCTGCTAACACCAACAAAAAATGTCCAAATTTAGAAATCGATTTTTCAAAGTTTACTTTAAACTATCTTACAAAGTGAAACTACAACATGACAGGTTTTGGTGCGATATTTGGCGTTTATTAACCGTTTTTAGCTTGTTTTATTCAAAGCTAAAAATAGATTAAAACTACAGGCTAAAAAATATGAAAAATACGTCGAAGATTATTTTTGAACGTCTTACAAAGCGGAAAAACGCTAATTATAAAATTTACTGCGTAAATGTCGCATATTCTTGCTCTTTTTAGCCTGTTTTAAGTCAAAGCGGTAGATTAAAAGCTACAGACTACAAACTATAGAAAAACGCAAGTTGACACAAAACCAGGCAAAAATCGGGATTTCCAAGCGTCTTAGAAGCGCAAAAACCGTTATGTACAAGATTTTTAGCGTCATCTTGGGCTTTTTATCGTTTCAACCATTTCTGAACCAAAAACCAACCTCTCCTCCCGAAGACGTGGGCAGCAACGTCTCCTCGTCATCTCGGTCTTTGCCCATCCTGAAAATACAAAAAATTGACGAGTATTACACACAAAAAACTAAAGCCCGCCCACCACCAAGACAGCCCAGGGGCCCCGAAATGAATAGAGGAACAACAGAAAAACCAAGAAAAAGAGGAAAAAAACTTGCTCGTAGCGCACGACAAGCACCGGCTTGTACATTGTCATTTTGCGGGTGGGGGAAAATGACAGGAAAGTGGGAGTCAGGGTTACCGTCTAAATGTAAAAACAAAAATATGGAAATCAGGGGTTGCGGTTCGTTTTTCATCGAATTCTCGCCAGCTTACCCGTGCAGTAACGGGGCATTCTCTTCCGTCATTTTTCTGATTCTTGAATTTTTTAGAAAAGGAAATGAATATTGATTTAGGAGAAGAAAGGAATGGAAGAATGGAGGATGAAAAATTCACAGGTTGAAGGCGAGGGCGCCGCTAACAAAAAGCCGCACGTTTCCGAGCAACACGTATGAGGGTGGGTGGCGATTGTCAAGCCGTTTTTCAAGTGGCTAATTGAGATTTTTTGCTTTTTAAAAGGTTTACTTTTATTATTTCGCTATTTCCAAGTATCAAGGCGTTTTCAGTCGCTAATTAGGGGTTTTTAGTGCTTAGAAAAATTTGATTCCAGTAAAGTTATAATAAAGATGGTTTTTAAGGTACAAAGGAACTTTTCAAGGCAAAAGTTCATGTTTATGGCTTTTTAAACTGTTGAATTTTAGCGAAGTTATGATCTACGCTATTTTTTAGGTTTAAAACGGTTCAAAATGGCCGACGATCCGTATTACCGCGAATATATGGACCGGAGAAATCGTGAAGGTAAATCGATGGATTTATCTTTCAAAATGGTGTAAAAAATCGGGGGAAGCTTTTATGAGTTTTTAATAGTTGAAATATAACAATTCAGAGAGTTTAGGGTTCGGACGCTTCGAACCCACCGGCCGTCAATCCACAAATGATGCGGCGGCCAAAGCACAAGTTGCAGCTAATGAATACGCTTTGTAAAGCTTTAAAAATACTTTTAAAACTTTAAAAAAGCTGATAACTCCATTTTCTAGGCCGCAATATGGCTACAGATCGGACGGCTACACTTCGACAGCCTCGCATCTGGGCGATGACCCGATTTCGGCGGTTCGTCGTAAGAAAACGTTGTCGAAAACGAGCTTTTTACATTTAAAAAGTCTAAAAACTTGTTTGGCTTTACATACTTAAAAAAAATATACTTTAAAAACTGTTTTTTCAAGTAGCTAATTGCGCTTTTTGCCTTTTTAAAACTAAAACTTTAGGTACGAACGCTGAGAAGCCAGATGCGCAAGAAAATGGTCGATCACGAGAAGTCGGACCGGACTGTGAAGGTAACAAAAAGCCAAGCTTTTTATGTTTTTAACGAGTTTTAGGCCCATCTCTGCCAAGCCGCTTGCGATTCGCTAAACAAAACCGAGAGCCAATTGGTGTCGCTGGATAATCAGCGGAAAAATGCGCTTATGGTTGGCGATACGGGCCGGGCGAATCAGCTGAAAGCACAGATGGAGCAGGTAGGCTTTTTAGATAGCTTTAAAGCTTAAAATCCATGTATTAAACGTGTAGGGACTTTATAGACGTTTTAAAAATTGTATTTTGATAATTTATCCGTTTTTAAGGGTTTTTGAAAAGATTTTTAGGTAAAAGACGACGGAATCCGCAACGCCTACGCCGATTTGGTTACTGAGGATGGGCAGGTTGGGCGTTAAACTTTTTATGGTATCATCTATAGTTTGAATAAGTTTTTTTAAACATTAAATACACTAAAATTTGAGATGCAAGCCTACGGGGTGCGCTCAACTTGGGCCCCGGAAACGATCGAGTCGCCAAGAAAGCCAGCAACGCCCCAGCCACTGGCACCGGCGCGGCCTCGCAGCGAGGAGAGCAGGTTAGGGTTATACCATAAACTTTATAATATCGTAATAAAAAGCGTGTTTTAATAGTTATAGGTACCTCAATGGTATTTTAATATACGTTGAAAGCATTAGAGCAAATTAGCTAAAAATGACGATTTTAGAAGGCCAGCAACTCGCACGAGAACCCCCGAACAACGTACGCAAAGCAGGGATCGTAGGCGGTAGGTATAACTTAGTTTTTCTCACCGTCTAGCGTTTTAAAACGACGTTCTATAAGTTTTTAAAAAGCGTACGAAATTGAAATCAATTTTTCCAGGCCCACCACCAAAAAGGGGAACCACGAGGGCCGATTCCGGCCGGCTAACGCGCCGGTTCGCGAGGTAAACTTAAAAATTAAATTTTACACACTTTATAAGGCATGGTAAATCAACTTAAGGTAGATAAAGGAAGCTTGAAATAGGTCCGAAGACAACCCCGACAGCCCAGCCCTGATGGGAAGGAAGCGCCGCGCTCATTTCACAGCAATCGCAGCGCGGCACCGATCACGGAGTATGATGTGGGTTTAGAATTTAAAACGGAATAAATTAAAAGGATTTGCAAGCAAAAAAAGCCTTTAAAGGGACGGGCAAGACAAATCTATAGGAATTGGAGTTAATATACCTCTACTTTTTAGCCCGATATCCGGCGGAATGATCGGCTTTCGGAAGTGATGCAGCGCAGGAGGGGCGAGGTAGGGATTTTGAATTCGGAAATAGTAAAGAATGGAATATTGAGAACTAAAAAATAGCTGCAAAAGCATAAAGAGCAGAAGTAAAGTATTTTTTTTTTTGTTACAGTTTGTGCAGCCGAGAACGCAGAGCGAGGCGGACGTCATTTTGAGGGACGACCCCTACCGGCCTCCAAATCAATACGGGTCAGTTTTAAATGGGCTTGGAAGGGAAAATCGGGCAAAAAGTAGTTATTGCACGATTGCTTGATCCTGCTTACAGGATGCTTTCGTAAATAGGAATAATTCACTTACAGTAGGTCGCTCTGAATCCAAAAACAAAATTAGAATTTTATATAGCGGGCCTGATTCGATGACGGTGCGCTTCAGTTCTTTCCGGAAAATTTGTATTTTTGTAAACGGATTATATCGCTACAGTATTTCCCGTAAAATTTTATTAAAGTACACCATACACTCATAATACGAATATAAAAAATGGATCCGGAAGTGACTAGTATCGCAAAGAAAAGTAGTGCACTATGGGTGGATCCTACTATATATAAAAAAATAGTGTTTGTGTGTGTGTGTGTGATACTTTGCATGCAACTTCCGTCACCATGTCCGGAGGATATCTCGATAGGGAATAAATTTTAAGGTATGTATGATACGTCATTAGGCGCGTAATGGCTCTGGGATGACTGCACGCTTATCAGATTTTACTAAATTAATTGTTTTAAACATTAAATTTCAGTTTTTGTAAAAATTTCGGACATGCTCTTTGTTAGGAAACAATTAACATGCACCGGAAGTGGCGGTAGCCTATTTAATCAGGTAGAGAGTGTCATTTTTCATTTTTTTTCTTAACGGGATTCGAGAGACGTATGCAGAAAGAAGAATATTATGGGAGATAGA